TGCCGCCAAGTTTTCAGGCGTTTCCCTAAATTATATGATTTATCAAGGACCCGACACCACCGCTGAGCTAGTGTGTATATTATTGAGTTTTCGCAAGGAGGCAGTTACAATCTCTGCAGATGTTGAGGAAATGCTCATGCAGGTGAAGGTCCCTGAGTCTGATCGAGGAGCTTTAAGATTTCTGTGGTGGCAGGAGGGAGACATGTCGAGGGAGCCATCTGAATTTCAAATGACCTCTCATCCATTTGGTGCCACGTCATCTTCGATTTGTGTGAACTTTGCCATGATTAAGACAGCTCAAACATTCTCTGATAGTTATGATCGGTATGTCGTAGATGCTGTCAAGAACAATTTCTATGTTGATTGCTTGATATCATTTTCTACTTGCGACCAGTCGAAGGAGTTTGTTAAGCAGATAACTGAATTATTACGTAAAGGAGGTTTTAAATTAAAGAAATGGATCACCAACTCGGAAGAAGTGTATGGAGAATTATTTAGTGAATTTAAAACCCACAGTAAAGTAGTTAGTCATAATGATCTGAAAGAATTGTCACCTATAATACTGGACGGGTTAATCTGTGTTGGAGGTCGCTTAAGCTACTCAGATTTCTCCGATGCTTTTAAACATCCAATAATTTTACCCAGTCGACACTTGGTGACGGAAATGATAATTAGACATTATCATAAAGAACAAGGGCACACAGGAACGTCTCAAGCACTGGCCACGATTCGAAAAAGCTATTGGATAGTAAAAGGAACTAGCACAGTTAGAAGAGTGATAGGAAAGTGTGTGACATGCCGACAGTTTACGATAAATTTAGGACAATTGATGGTACCGCTTCCAGTTTGCAGAGTGCAACAAGGCTGGTATAGCTTCTCAAATGTAGGGGTAGACTACTTCGGACCTTTCTTAGTCAAAAGAGGAAGGTCATTAGAAAAAAGATATGGATGTGTATTTACTTGTTTGCAAACCAAAGCAGTACATATTGAAGTGACGTATAGCTTGAATACTGATTCCTTTATAATGGCCTTATTACGTTTTATTGGAAGAAGAGGGAAACCTGCAGAAATTTACAGTGACAATGGGTCAAATTTCGTGGGTGCAGTCACTGAACTAAGGAGATTTGTGAAACAGTTTAATCAGCAGAAGATAAGTAACGAGCTGTCAGCGAGGCAGATTCAATGGCATTTTAACCCGCCCTCATCCAGCCACAGGGGTGGAGTATGGGAAAGGATGATTAGGTCTATACGCCGACTGTTATTGTTGATCACCAGAGAACAGACTTTAACTGATGAGGCTTTATGCACTTATTTGGTCGAAGTAGAAAGGATACTGAACGATCGACCCTTAACTCCAGTTATCCAAGATGCTAACGATAAGCTAGCCTTATCGCCAAATACTTTGCTGTTATTGAGAGAATGTGACGGAATAGTAGATGAAGGTAGCGTTCGAGACAAATATGACAAACGTTGGAAACAGGTTAATTATCTAGCTAATGTGTTTTGGAAAAGGTGGTTAAGAGAGTATTTACCGTCCTTACAAAAACGTCAAAAATGGTTAACTGAACATCGCAATTTTCAAAAGGGAGATGTAGTAATCGTGACTTCGGATATTTCGACCCGTGGAAAGTGGCCCTTAGGAGTAGTGGAAGGTTGTGAAATAGATAACGACGAAAAGGTTAGGACGGTTACTGTTCGTACGAATAATGGATTAGTTAGAAGAGATATACGTAAGGTATGTCTCCTTGAAGGTTCGAATTAGTTCTTTGCTATTATCAAGGTAGGTAGGTCGAGTAGGCGTACAGTTGTAAGTCCTGCTCGTTCCTGTGTAGTAGAATATGTCGTAGTATGAACCATGACCATAGGCATCAAGGTGGCTTGTGTTGTATGGAGGGATTTTGAGGGCCGGTGTAAGATCCATTTTGAATGATTTGTGTGTGTGTAAATCCCTCCATGTATATACTTGCAGTTTATTCATATTGATACCTTTGGTTGTACATTTTTACTAGTCTTTTTCATTCCATTTGATTTAATAGCATCTGTATTTTATTATAGTCTTTATTTTTCTTACGCTTTCACTAAGTTTCCGTGTTTCTTTTCGAACTGCATTTATGTTGTTTGACTTGATACCTATTCTTGGCGGCAGCTATATTGGGTTGTTCCTCCCTTTGATTGTGTTGCGTGCATTGACTGGAATTGTGCATTTTTGATTGTGAGTTGAAGCACTCTTCCAGAATTGAAAACACTTGGTGTTATAAAGCAACCAAACATTATCTTTTGAACGAATCTGTGTGTAATCTATCCAGACAGGATAGAATAACATTTATTTGTTGCGATTGGTAATTTTCTAGCATCCTTTTTCAACTTTCTTATTTAATGTAATTTAGATTTGATTAATTGAACTATTGTTGGTTGGATAGCTGGGTGGTTATATTTGTTTAGGTAACGATGTACATTTAAATTTATGATGAATTATAGAACCGTCATTTCACCCGATTACTTTGTTTTGGTTTCAAACGGGCAAGGGCGCGTATCTAACCCACCAAGACAGCTATTCTTCAGTCCAAACCTTAGTTTGGATCTTACACCCACTACTTCTGGTACGAAAAGATCCGTTAATATTAGCAACAGATGATGTCGAAAAAATCTGAAGCCTTATCGGAATATCTTAGTCAAATGTTTTCCACCAGTAATGAGGAATGACCAACAATTAATCGTGATCGGGGCGGCTCATTGGAGGATCCTGTAGTTATTGGGAAAAGTACTGTAATATGGTTCTCAAAAAGTTTGTCTCAATCAAAGTATACTTTACAGAGTACATATGGCTATCACATCTTTTACTGAGGAAGGCTGTGCGGAATTCATGCTTCCAGATGGCGTGTTTTACAACCCTGTACAAGAATCTAACATAGACCTTACAATAGCTGTAGTAAATCAGTTTGGAAATTTGCACAGAAGAGAAGCTATTCTGAAAACGAAGGACAAAATAGATGATATGATTCCTTTTGATGACCATTAAGCACCACTACGAAAGAAACTCCTGTTTTCCATTGCGGTCTAAAGATGAAAGCGGGATGTTTTTTCTCTTTATAAAAACCCCTTTAACCTACAATATTATCACAAAATACATGCGTTTAAGAATGTGATCACGTTCATGTAAATAGCAAGCTTGTAATGAAAAGGACCCTTGAATTTTGAATGATGCAAGATGACAGGAATTTAAAAAAATGCACGTTGATCTTTTTTGATAACAGCGAACTAAACAAAAATATTTGAATTAGTCGTCCACCACTTTAGACAAATTTAAACCGAAACTGGTGCTGTGTACAATCAGGTAGACTATGAACCAAAAAAACTGCAAAGCAGAATAATATGACCGAAAACATTCACTCACAGAATCAGATGGTTCAGAGACAAAGAAGGCTGACAAGGTAGGGGTGGTAGTTTCGGAAGTAGTGTAGAGGAAGGCATTCAAGAAGGTCATCTGCAGGTAATTACTATCTACGCTGCACTTTGAAGAAAGTTGATATAGTGAGTATTTTATTTTGCTCAAAACGAAGGTGACAAATCTCTGAATTACGCAGCATGAACGTATTTTTCAAAGTTTCTTGCAAATAGCACCACTGATTACCATTGTGGGGCAAGCCAAAAGTGAAAATGATCTGAGATCAAATAGATTAAGAAGTCATATCATTGCAAGTTTAAAAAATTAGGTCAAGCTCATTCTTATGGTTGCACAAATAAGTCCACTGTGCCAATCTTAGGCATAAATCCCATACTTTCATCATATGGTTCAAGCGTTACAATCTGACACACTGTCTTTGTATTTCCTGGGTGCCGTTGATCAATGGTAACAAAAATATGATGTTCAGAGGTGTTTACCACAATGCTGTGTACGAAGTAAACCGAATTAGTGCCATGGACATGCATTTCACTGTGACAATCAACCGACTAAATGTTAATAATATGAAGTAATCGGTTGAATACGCCCAAAATCTGTGACACAAAGGAATCACAGCAAATATAAACTTTAATACGAACCCAAAGTAAACATGGTTAAATGTCACAGCTGTCCGTCAGAAGTTTACAAATTACCCTATATGAGAATTTCTTTTACAACAGAATAAGCGATTTACTGAGGGCAAACCACCTGTCTCGTTGGATCACTGAATGTCTTGGTTTGTCATTCGCTTTGGTACCTTAGACTTCATTAACTAGGTCTAAAACTTCAACAGTGACTTCAGCAGATGAGATTATTAACATCGAAGGACATTCTGAATTCTTGTAGTAGATATTTTGTCTCCAAGACCTCATTTCAACATGTACATGCCAGATTTTGAGACGATTTTAAAAAAAGCTTTGCATTCCTAGAATTCAATGTGTTTAGTTACAAAAAGTAATTTCGCTCAGTTATTTTAAAGTTATCATTTATATACTCAAGCTTTGGTTGACCGAAATTCTTTTGTACTGTAGTAGTACAAGAGTCGAATGATGTGCCCATGGACCTTTTGTAGTCGGTTTACGACAAACATTACTCTCTATTTCCCCATTAGTTATTCTCGTCCACAGGATATACAAATGAGATGGCGTGGTGGTTTTCTCCTTACTTTGAGGTCATTTTTGCCTGGTGGGCTCTGCTTAACACTTTTAGTTGATTCTGATTTTCGCTATTGATCTCTTAACTATGAAATCATTATCCACATGGCGTCAACAAAATTCTAGTTCAATCTAAGGAAGGCACTTATAGGCTTTACAGAACTTAAAAGACCTAAACACACGAAACTGATGAAGAAAAAGATTCAGTTATATTAAATACAAGACAAACATTAATCAACAGGAGTTCAATTAAGTTTGAAGTGAGAAAATAATGTGATTTAAAATATAAGATAAAATTGATTTATTCAAAAATAAAATAATCGCTTAGTAAATATCGTAACTATAGCCGATATCAATATTTTGAGAATATTGTTTTATTACACTATTTAAAATGAGCTCCAAGCAGTGCACTGTTTGATATCTATCTTTTATGGTACCAATAACGTAGCATTTCACCACTTGTTCATCAAGATCCAGACTTCGATTATTCTCTTTGGGAACTCGTTTATGTTTTTTAATTGTATGGTTTATAAGTCTGGTTGTTTATTTACTCATAAAAATACAAAAACATCTAAATCTCTATTTTTAGTTACATTGCACTTCCTTTTGCGCTTGCACCTTGTTGTCGGTTTAAATTCGTTACACAACTAGTACATTTGGAAGAAAGTTCTTTAATAACAATCACACGATTGTAAGGTTAGGTTTTCAAAAGACGACTACTGGGTTTGTAATACACGAGAACAGTTGTGAATCAAGTTTTTCACTGCATAATTTGATCATCCCTGTATACATGAGGAGCAATACTTAAATCTTAAACTTTAATGAAATGTTATAACAAATGTCCAATTTTAAACTCGCGTTATGATCCTTCAAATATGTTTAATTAATTACTAGATATTGACTATATCTTCATGAAAATATAAGGCAAGTGTCGCGTAGTATCGATTCAGGGTTTGAATCGAAGATGTAGTTCAATCTAGCTTTAATATCGTGCCGCTAGGCTTTTAGGTTTTTCATGTCCGGAAGTACACTGTATTTTATATTAGTTTTGCCAGGAAAAGTCTGAAAACTTAAAAGTAGATTCTAAATCAGCCTAGCTAAGTCATGGCTGGCCTCTTTTACATTTTTCGTTTCTATGAAGACTGACCACTAATAGCAGTCAATTTCATGGTCGTTTAGAACTTAGTGACTATCGAAATGCAATGATCAAATTTTTACGTGCATTCACTTTCAAAGTTTTGACGTCAAATTTATATTGTAACTATTGTTGCGTCATTTAAGCAATGATCACACTTATCTTAATACGTAGAATTCGGTCAGAACCTTGAACTATACATGTAAGATAACGCAAATATTTGCTAACTAATTCGATTTTCAATTTACAAGTTTTTCTGCCTCTAAAATTTCTGGGATTTTATATGTTGGAATATGGGCTGTATCCACTCTAGACAAAATCTTTTTTGATGGTATTTGGTGGTACTATGATGCAGACTTTATTAAGAAACTCATGTGTCAGTTAATGCTGTCTGAATTAGATCATTGATAAAGCTTCCTACGTATGTACCATGGCTTTGGCTGAAACTTCGATCGTCTATGTGAACATTGTATAGAATTTGTCTTGTCTATAGTGTAAACGACAGCATTCACTAACTTTTTATTTGTAGGTTAAATTTGTCAAAAAAGCCAGTTGTGTGAAATTTTTATATATTAAGACATGATAATAATTAGAAACATATACTTAGAAGATGGCCTTATCCATAATTTTCCATATAATTACTGACATAAGTTCTCATTTTGGTCAAATATTACCGACAAGTTTGAAGTTCAAACTGAATTCATCCAATTTCAGTTGAGGTATTTAAGTATTCCGATTAGTCTTCACATCATAAGTTTGCTTCAAAACTGAGTACAATAATCTATAATTAATTGCAGTCACTGTTGGGATTATCGTTAATTTTTGAAATATTATTGTTAGTACAATAAGTATTTCGTTAATAGCATTATAAAAATAGTTCATTTTAGATCACATCCGAGTAATTTTCTTTATCTCTCCTTCGATACAATAACTAAGTCTTATTATATATGCTGCCTGGAAATAATTAACATCTCAAAGCATTTTTTTACATTGTAATAATCACAGAACCATCCGGAATTGTTCACGAGAATATGAAATTTTTTTATTTTATCAGTGTAACATCCTACCACTTATAGTTCAATCCATTAAAAATTTTGGCAGATTATTAAAGTGAGATACGAAGTTCAAAGTACAACTAATCTTAAATCAAGATGTAGGATTTTGTGTAAAAAGACACAAGCTAGTTGATGAATTTCAATAATAAAAGTCAGCTAGCAAACATAATTGCTTAGATTATGACTTTATTTTTTAATATGATCTAGTTTTCACATCTTGGCTTCCCAATAAAACTTTGCGAAATTTATCTTTGGGTCACATTATGTTCAAGTTATGAATGCTACCTGATATAATGTAGATTATACTGCTAATTAAATTGCTTACATATATAATTTATTGTTAGCTATTCAGAGTGAAACACTGTAGAGAGAATTTATTAAATGGAAAAGAAATTTAAAGACAAATTAACACTAGATGATGAACAACTGCTAATAATGATGTAATAAGAATTATGCCTTGCAAATTTTTGACCAAATGTATTTTAACTCAATTTGTTGGTAAAACTATCTCTAATTCCAAACGATGAACAAATACACATGAAAAAATTTAGGTAGTTAGGCCAACTGGGTTTCTCTTAGAGACATATAAGTGAAAAATGTCATTTTTATTACTTTCATATTTGGAAAAACTTAAAAGAATGTACCCATACTTCTTTAAATTACGAATTAGCCTACAGTTTCTAATTTCAGTTAAATAACCAACATGATTTCATTTTCATTTAAGGTTTGAAAAGCAACCACCACCTTGAACTGTTAAAATTACATGGAAAGTGGAAGACACAGATCACCATATTATCGAGATAATCTTAATTTATCATCACATCAATACATTGAAGGTGTTGATTCCAATCCTGAGATACATGATCGTCAAAGACCAGCGAGTGTACAAGATTTGGAATATGGAGAAATGTATGATTCCGGTATACAACCACACTCAACATCACCACGACTGAATAACCCATACATTGATCCGTTAATTGAGGGTGATACAAGTGGAATCGATCATCGTACAACATCATTAGATCGTCGTGGCGAATATTATGGTACTCTAAGAGGAAATTTCGATTCACAAAGTGAAAGATTGACAAGAAAACCAATTAATCGGCAATCTTATACATTGAAATCACTTAGTTCAAACCCAGGCTTATCTGGCATATTGGGTTCAACAAACCCATCATCAAGTCGGAGAGCACATTCGTATGATATGAATTTAGAAAAACAAGGTCTGACGGATTATAATACTTTATTAGCTGCCGCTGCTGCTGGTGGTGTTGGGGCTGGTGGTGTTGGTACAAATCCACCGATTTACGGTTATCCTACTAATCCATTACTAGACTACAGTAGTACTTTAGGCGTACCAACATTTCCAACTATTGGTGGTCTTGACTATGCAACATTACAAAGATCTGCCGTTTATTCAGGTCTACCACAAACTCAACCAACATCAATACCAGCTGGATTAATTCCACATAATCCAACTACAGATATTACTACATTACAAAGAGAATATGTACGACTACAACATGAATTACATGTAACTAGAGAGAAATTAAATGCCTGTACAATTAGCATACGTACCTTTTGGAGTCCTGAATTGAAGCGTGAGCGAGCAATGCGTAAGGAAGAGAACGCAAAATATGCTATATTAGCTGATCACTTACATCAATTACAATTGGAAAAACAGGTAAGCTTACTCATGTATCTTTCTTATAACAATTAAGTAAATAAATATGTTACTTTCGTAGTCGTTAAAACTGAATTATCTTTGTTTAAAAGCCACGGAAATACAGGAGGCACTAGACAGTTTTTTTCACCGTCGTTTATGAGTCCTCACTATAGCTCATCCATGATTCTATTACAGAAGATCAAATGTAAGGCCTTTGGTCTCGTGCAGAACGCTTAAAAGCTAGACTACTGAGGTTTTCATGTTTTGCTTCAAAACTTCTCAATATCGTACAAACATCTTACAATGCTATTAGTACATAAATGTCTTACACTCGTTGTAATTAAACACACTGATCATGGCTTTCAATGGAACCTCGGTATTACTTTTCAACACCAATTATCAATAACCACCACCAACAGGTGACGTTTACCGAATTGCCTGACTTTTACTGTAGGTTTGATGTCCATCTACCGCTCAGTGGACGAACACACTGAGCAGAAACCCACTATGTGTTACTTTTTGGCTGTGAAACATGGTCATTGAAGATAAAAGACACACACAAGTTGCTAACATACGGTCATAGATGCTCTCAAAGTACAGTATTTTTATTTTCAGACAATACTAAGTTCCAGCCCCGACTGATAGGTAACGATGGAAATCTGTTGATATGATAATGAATCTCTACCATCTGATATAACTGCGACATGAATTAAATACACTCAACCATCTCCTACCTTGACTACCGCTGACGAAACAGTTGGCTAAAAGCAAACCAAGAAAAGAAGTAGGATAAGTTTATGAAGTGACTGGTGCAGATTACTTAGTTAGGATCCACTTGATTTTCGTAATCAATCGTTATAGACTGAGCTCCAAATGGTTTATTTCATTTGAAAAATTAGCGTAAATCATTTGACCATTTCTTTTATCGTAATTTTAGGTTAGTAAAAATAGTCTGAATTGTTGTTGAATACTAAGTTACTTTAGTAGTTCACCAGCTGTTGAATCCTGCTACTTCTTGAAAGGCGTAATCTCATCTTTTGAAGGTCTAATTACACAGATTTAACAAACCATTTTAGACAAAAATATTGGAAAATCAGTCTATCTGCAAATAAATTTTAAACATACAGACAACTTAAATATACTAACCAAAGTAGGCATACAATTAATCCAATCCTTAACTATATGAGAAAACTAAGGCCAACTTGTTATGAACTCTATTTGGACGTATTGCTTTATATATGAATGTTTTTCAAAGCATTTCATTCTTTCTTATAAGTGACTAATTTCGAAAGGTAATTCCCATAATTCTTAATAGAATCTATAGTCAGCGGAGTTCAGTCATGTTGTCAGCAAGATAAGTATCAACTGTGAAGTTAGAAATACAAACTATTGGATGCAAAATTAGTGATCTGAAGGTTAAGTGCTCACTGAGAAATCTAAAGGTCATGTGTTCCGTCCCTGATTAATTAATGAATGCACTATTAAATAATCAAATGCTAGGATGAAATAACTTTCCAGTGCATCTTGGTTTTCAACTAAGATCAATCCATGATGTAAACTATGAATATTATCAGAATGGGTTTTGTGGAGATTGTAATAATTTCAACAGTTGAGATCATGAGTTAATTGAAGTTAGACCACCATGGAAAACCTGGAAGCACTGGACGGCCATTTCGTCCTATTATTGGACTCCTCAGCAGTGCGCATCCACGATTCTGCCCACCCCCCGCGAGGTTCGAACACAGGACCTATCAGTTTCGCGCGCTGAGCTGGCCGGCACTCAACGGTGTTAATGTCTAACTTCAACCAATCCACGAAAATGAACCACCGTCACCATTGTCTTCAGTGAGTTGATATCTCACAACAGACCTTGTTGAGACTGATAGGTCCTGTGCATTTCAAGTAGGGACCGGAGTCAGACAAGGTTTTCTACTCTGCCTCTTCCTCTGTCTTCTGGTGATTGACTGGTTTATAAAGACCTCGACATCTGATGGAAAACACGGCATACAACGGACAGCTCAGAACCAATTAAACGATTTAGACTTCGCAGATGACCTAGCTCTTCTATTCAATACACACGAACAAATGCAGATGAAGACAATTAGTGTGACAGCAGCCTCTGTATCAGTAGGCCTCAATATACACAAGGGTAAAATCAAGGTCCTCAAATACAACACGGACAATACCAACCCAATGACATTTGATGGCGAAACCCTGGAAGGTGTGGAATCTTTCTCGTACCTGGTCAGCAGCATCATCGACGATCAAGGAGGTTCAGATGCAGACGCAAAAGGTTAGGATTGATAAAGCAAGGACAGCATTCCTACGATTGAAGAACATATAGAACTCAAAACAACTGTCTGTCAACCAATATCAAAGTCGCAATTTTCAAAACGAACATCGAGGCAGTTCTACTGTACGGAGCTAAAACTTGGAGGACTATAACAACCATCATCAAAAATGTACAAGTATTTATAAACAATTGTCTACATAAGATACCCAATATCCGTTGGTCGGATACCATTAGCAACAGCCTTTTTTGGGAGAGAAAAAGCCAGCTTCCAAATGAAGAGGAAATTAGGAAAAGACAATGGAAATGGATAGGACATACATTGGGGAAATCATCAAACTGAACCACGAGACAAGCGCTAACTTGGAATGCTGAAGGGAGGATCAAAGAACAAACTTTGTGAGAATTGGAGGCAGACATGGAAAGGATGAATAATAACTGGAAAAGACTGGAAAGGATTACCCAGGGTTGGATGGCGAGTGTAGGTGGGCGGCCTGTGCTCCTTCACGAGGAGTAACAGCCGTATGAAGTAGTAGTATATTTATTATTTTTATTACCAAAGATGTAAAATACTCATGATTTCTGCTCTGTTCATCTTGTATTTTAATAGACAATGTTAGAAACATTGCATAATATGGAATCAGATTTACGTCAAGAACGTGATAAACGAAATCGTAGCCGTTTCAGTGGTGGTGCAAGTGATTCAGAAGGTTTAAGTGAATTAGACTTAGCCAAACGTCAAATAGACGAATTAACATTAGAGAATCGTCAACTTAAAAAATCTATTGAAGATGCTGATAGACGTATATCTAATTTAAAATCTAGTCTAAATGCTACAGAGGAAAGTTTACGTCGATTAGTTGATGCAGTTAAAGCTGGTAAATCATCGAATATCAATCCAGAAACCACAACAACTACTAATGTAACTACTGGAGATGGATTAACTTCAGTTGGTGATCAAAGTGCTATTTCATCTATAAAATTAGATCGAATTGAAGCAGATAGATTGGAAATTTCTCGTTTAAGAAATCAATTGAATGAAACATCAACTCGAAGAAGTGAAGCAGAACGTCAACTAATTGAAAGAAATTTTGAATTATCAAGAATAAAAGAGGTAAGTATGTATTTTAATTAAATTAAATGAATTAAAAATCTCCGCTTTCATAGTAGACAGCCAGAAAATTGAATACTACTAATGAGTAGGTGAGTTATTCATCGGTAATTAGTTGATCAGTGATGTACATCCATCGTAAATGATCGCAACTAAATCGAATAATTGATAGTATATTATTGATAACACTAAAGTGTATAAATTTATAGTAACAAAATAAAACTATCTTCAAAAAAACCCATTAATTTCAGGATTTTGCACTCCCAAAACAATAAATTTGCTTATGTTCAAAGATGGATAATGGAATCTAGGATACTCGTTTCGTCCTATTTAAGACTCATCAGCTGAGTGTACCTTCATCTCAGAGTTTAATGTTCACTCTATCCATCTTTGCTTATAATGCTTGTAAATTAAAGCAACATCGAGACAATCTGTACAGGATGCATATATTCTAATAAGAGACTGATCAAGTGTAGTCTTAAACATCAATGGAAAGATTCAAGTAAACTATACCAAATAAATTCGCTTATCTGTTTGTTTCACTAGTTGAAATAATGAGTCACTTGAAACTAGACCACCATGGAAAACTTGGAAGCACTAGACGGCTATTTCGATTTAGTATAGGATTCCTCAGCAGTGCGCATCTACGACCCCACCTCTCGGGATTCGAACCCAAGACCTATTAGTCTCTCGCATGAGCGCTTGTTTATTTGTTTTTATTACAAAGTTGTTTACAATTTACAACATTAATTCAATTTAAGAAATAAGATGAAACAATTAAATAATTACTAAGTAGCAATGTAATATGTAACCTGAATAATAAATGAACCTAAATTAATGTTTATTTCTTCTGCTTCTCTATACCTTAACAACAAATATCGTAAAGACACGTTGTCAAGTTAAAGAAACTAACATTACACTATTTTACTAAAATAAAAATGAAAATATGAGAGAAAGAATTAAAAACAGAGAAGTATCTCTATGGTCTATTCCAATTAAATATTTATGTAATATGATATACTTTCAAACAAAAAAGATACCTCAATAATCGATTAACGAATGATACGAAGTGGAGGAGGGGAGAGAGTGGGGGGGGGGAAGGAAGACAAGGGTTTTTTTCCTACTCAAATACTAGTAGTATATATATATATATATATATATGTTGTTTTGTTAAAGAAAGTTAGCTGTTTGTCTGTTTCACTAAAATTTTAACCTAATTTGGTCTGTTTAACTATCACTAGAGTAAATGACTTAAATATATTACCTCTATGTGTTTGTCTATCTAAATTATTGGATCATATGTTTGTCTATCGAGTTTATTTAATTGATAGTGTTACAGACAGATTGAAATAAGTTAAGACATATATATTGTCTCACTTTATAGGAACTATAGTGATGAATTCTAATAGTGAAATTAGGTCAAATTTACTTGATATAACTGATTTTGTATAAAAACAATCTTCACTACAAATTGAGTCCCAATCAACTCATTATATATATATATATATATATATATATATATATATATATATATATGATGGATAGTGGCTAGCATTGAAATTCATTCTACTATTTGGGACTTGTCAATTGAATGTACTTGAATCTCAGAGTTGATATTCAGTCTGTGACTCAAACCTAGTAATGTTCGCTTTAAATAAAATCGCATTATCCACTTAGCTACTAAGTCTTGAAAGCCATCTGCTTGTGCAATGAGATGAAGTTTAAATTCATTTGTTATTGTTTTACTTGAATTTTCACATTGATGTTTAGGACTACAATTGATCAGTCTCTTAATATCATATGCACATTCTGTGCGTATTGCCCCGATATTAGCCTTCATTCATAAGCATGATAAGCAAAGATGGATAGTGGTTAGCAGTGCAATACAGAACGCGTGTTTCATCCTATTTGAAACTCGTCAACAATATCGAGTCATTACGCATAGTATACATATATACCGATAAGAAACTGATCACTTACAGTCCCAAAACATCAATAGAAAGGTTCAACTAAACAATACTATGTGGTTTTATATGGAAATATAATATCTAGAAATTCTTAGTTTGATTTATACTTTCTTAAGTTTATGTAAACTAGTTCTAATTTTGAAACGTAACATGAATCATTGATGGTATAATTTCCTGAAAAAGTTTGCTATTGTAACCCGTAAAGTTAACAGATCGGATGTTTTCTTAAAGTAATTGATTCCAATGTAATGCATGTTAACTTTTGGAATCCATTTATGGATCAATACTATAGTATACTTTTCTTGTATACTTGTTAAGTAACTCAACTATTCATATTCATGTTCCTCTTATTATAAGCTTTATTTTGATCTATAAACTATTATTATACGATTTACCATTCTTGAATTATACACTGTCTATTAGTCACTGCCTCCCACATTCACAGCCACATTTGGACAAATCTTGTACAAATGTTGTTACATATTTTATGGTAAGATGTGGTCTGTTTGGTTGGTAATATAAACCCAATATGTTTGAAATACATGATTCATATCGTGGAGGATGAGATTGGTGTTCTGGACTTTACAGGCAGGGTTATGCAGGAAGCAGGACCGATAACGACTCTAGACTACTCGTACATGTTTTATGCGTCATCGGTCCAATCGATAATTCACTGTTTTCTAATTGGTGGTATCATCACATGATGCATTAATAGGACATGGCACTAGGATGGAACTCCTGAGTAGTGCACATCCACGATCCTACATGTGAGACTCGATCCCAGGACCTTAACTTTAACCTCTGGACCGCTGAGCCGGCATCCAACAGTGTTAATGTCTAACTTTAACCCATCGACGATATTGCACGACCATCCACTATTGTCTTCAGTGAGCAGCTGCCTCATAACAGACACGGTTTAACTCTACTGGTCATGCATGCATGATCGTTGGTGCACACTGCTTAGGAGTCTCATACTAGGACGAAACGGCCGTCCAGTGCTTCCAGGTCTACCATAGTAGTCTAACTTAAGTTTTCTTTTTGAAAATCACTGCCAATAAAACATAATTAACTATTAGGTATTTCGAACAAAAAGTAGAAGCATTTTAGTATGATTTAGGTCTTAAAGTTTTATTAACTCCTATAAAGTATCCTCAATACTCAATAAACTAAGCTACCTATATAAAAGTAAATGGCTGGAAAATTTAGAATCATAGAAATCCTCTAAGATTTTTAACTTGCTACAAATATCATAAATGAATCGATGTTAGACCACAGTTGAAACCTGGAAGCAATGGATGGCCATTTCTTCCTAGTAGGGACTTCCTTACTGATTATTACAAATAGCCAGAATTCTTAATGACTTCTCTATAATTAATTCCTTTGAATAATTCAAATGTAATGAACATAAAGTACTGACAGTCGATCAATTGATCGATTCTCCAATCATCCTATATGAGACATTTCAGATGATTTGAAGGTATCTAAATAAATCATTCTGAGTCTTTTGTTTACTCATCACATGCTTGTAATGTATATATAATTCAAAATTTGAAACGATCAGTGGGATTTAATATAATCTATGTAGAAGAAGTTTGTTGGTACTATACTCAAGTAAACGTAGTATTAGATTAAAGAAAAGTTAACCAATTTAAATAATTCGTGAAGCAGTACGATGGCTATCCATTGATGTTGTTGTCGACTTTTCGACGAATTAGCCATTAGAAATAGAATAGTCAAAATTTAGTGGAATTAGGTTCTGTCATTTCATTGGTTGGAACTAGACGCTGCTAAGGAGCCTAATACTATTGAAGAATGGCTATCTACTGTCCTCTTGTTCTTCTTCTTCTTCTTATTATTATTATTATTATCCAAAAGTGATATTCATTCATTTAATACAAATAAAAGTGTGTATATATGTTAATAATAAATAACAGAAGGCTTGAGTAAATTAACGAAGATGATAATAACAATTTCCTACAGTATGAAATAGGTAGTTGTTTAAGTTTTTAAATGAATCAATAGATGAATTGATAATAGTTCCCAAAGAAATGACGACTATTTCAATGGAGTTGATCGAGATGTTATATCTAGAGCTTAGATTATTAATATACCACGTATAACTTGAGCAGTCGTACTTCAGAACCCTCCCAAGTCACAAATGAGAAGACAGAAAACAAGTGAATGGAATGCTATTCCAAAACAGTGTCAATCATGGTACAAAACTGTCAGGTATTTATAGTTTTTTTTAGTAAAAACGAAATCATTATTATAGTCCTTCAATCTGCATACAGTTCGGTTATTAGAATTTATTAAATGGGGAAGCTACATGTAGGGATTCTGGAATATTCTTCCAAAAAGCGATTAGATGGAATATCTTCGGCTCTTTCTGAACTTCTTAGAATTTCATCGAGTTCACCCATGAACTGTCCCCACAGGAAATTTTCACTTCCGGGAAATGATTTCATTAGAATTGAGTTTTCTGAGCTGGATAATTTAGTAATACGATCCTGACTCACTGAATATAAGGAAGATATTCAAGATGAAAATATGGTTGTTTTCTTACGAAAGCTTGTTTTTTTGAAGAATTATTCAGGTCAAAGAACTTAATTTCAATGAAGTTATTCCATGTTTATATACATATGTACAATGACCTAGAAATGTGGTCTAATCTAAAAGATATAATCAAAATAAAAAAAGATAATTTTAAAGCTTTGTTGTCAAGTAAATGAAAGATTAACCTTATTTTTAGACAAATAATCCTGGTGATTATAAAATTCTCGGAAATATGAAAAAAAAGATTGATGTTGTTTGTTTTCTCAATTCAGAAGACATACATTAAAATATTTATCCTATGTTTTATATCATCGAGTTACTGTATTGTTAGGGGATGCTCACTGCTGAGGAATCCCATACTAGAATGAAACGGCTATTCAGTGCTTCTAAGTCTTCAATGGTGGTCTAACATTGATCAATTCATGATCTCAATCAAAACACAACAATCTCTACAACCTTATACTATGTTATATCTTGTGACCTGGATAAGTAATGATACTGCCAATTAGAGAGCAGTGACCTGTCGATGGGATCGATGACGCGTAAACCCGTGTGAGCAGCCTAGAGTCTTGATTGGTCCTGCTTTTCGCCTAGCCTAGCCGATTAAGTTCGAGCCTCTGCGATATGAATCATGTATTTCAAACATACTGAGTTTATATACCAACCAAACAGACCATATCGTACTATAAAATAGGAAACAATATTTATACAAGATTTGGCCAAATGTAGCTGTGAATATAGGAGGTAGTAATTAATAGACAGGGTATAACTTAAGAATGGTATATCAAATAATGATGGCTCATAAGTCAAAATAAAGCTTATAATAAGAGGAACATGAATATGAATAGTTTAGTTATTTAACAATTATACGATAAAAATATACGTTCAATATTGATCCATAAATGGATCTCAAAAGTTACCATTCATTATGCTTATTCGGGACATAACATACTGATATTAAAGATGTATTCAAGGTATTTAGTTTTTAATTTTTCTACCTGTGAGATAAGTAAAGTAACCGTGATTGGTTAGACAACAAAAATATTTACAAATGAGTTACATTCAGTACAAAAATAACTAAGTTCATGGAGTAAAGACGACAAATTAGCTCATAAGAAAAAGAATTTTTATCCATCAAAATGATTAGAGCATTATACTTACTTACTTACTTACGCCTGTTACTCCCAATGGAGCATAGGCCGCCCAACAGCACTCTCCAACCCACTCTGTCCTGGGCCTTCTTTTCTAGTTCCATCCAATTCTTGTTCATTTTTCTCATATCTATCTCCATTTCTCGGCGTAATGTATTCTTTGGTCTTCCTCTCTTCCTTCGACCTTGAGGATTCCATATGAGGGCTTGTCTTGTGAGGCAGTTCAGTACTTTCCTTAATGTGTGTCCTATCCACTTCCAGCGCTTCTTCCTGGTTTCTTCCTCCACTGGGATCTGATTTGTTCTCTCCCATAGTAGGTTGTTGCTTATAGTGTCCGGCCAGCGGATCTGAAGTATTTTGCGTAGACAACTGTTAATAAACACCTGTATCTTTTGGACGATGGATTTCGTAGTTTTCCAGGTTTCCGCCCCATACAGTAGAACTGTCTTGACATTTGTATTGAAAATTCTGACTTTGGTGTTGGTTCCTAATTGTTTTGAGTTCCAGATATTCTTTAGTTGTAGATATGCTGCTCTTGCTTTGCCAATCCGTGCCTTCACATCTGCATCAGATCCACCGTGTTCATCGATGATGCTGCCCAAATATGTAAAGGTTTTTACATCTTCCAAAGCTTCTCCGTCAATTGTGATTGGATTGGTACATGTTGTGTTGTATCGAAGAATCTTGCTTTTCCCTTTGTGTATATTGAGACCTATTGCTGCTGAGGCTGCAGCTACACTGGTTGTCTTCGCCTGCATTTGTTGTTGTGTATGCGATAGAAGAGCCAGATCATCTGCAAAGTCTAGATCATCTAATTGCATCCTAGCTATCCACTGTATCCGTGCTTCCCTTCAGATGTTGATGTCTTCATGATCCAATTAGAGCATTATGTATATCTTATAATAGTCTACCTCGGTAAAAAATATTTATTATTGTAGGAATAAGTTGATTCATAGCTATGGAATCTCAAATCAAGATGTGTATTTAGTCCAGGAAGTTATTACATGTTGAATTGCACTTTGTTCATAGGTGAACACTACTTGGTTGAGGTCCACTTGATTATAATAGCTAGTGTTTCGAAAAACTTCAGTTAAGAATCATTTACAATGATGCAGAAGCATTCATTCTTTGTATCCCCTTTACATTTCAGAGTTTTAAAGATGTCTTATACAGTTTATGCCAGGAATTCATTTTTTATGAATCTTTCTATTATCATTATAACCGTCACTATTTCTACTACTTTGAGATTTGTATTGATACATGTATATTGCTGTACTGATGTATGATTACAACTGAGAATGTTTCAGGTTCGAAAATATTCATAACTAATTAACAGGTCAAGTATAGATAGAAAAAAAATAAATTTGACAGAATAAACAAAGTTCATTATCATTTATCATAAAATAGCTGCTAAAAAGCCTAAAGTCACAACAAAATTTCCACTCATACTTTAGGCAATGAATTTGAAGTGGATCTCTGAAACTGGATCGGAACTTATCATAAGTAAACAGAAGCTAGAAAATTTAATATTTAAAAAAAATGTTACGTAAGATTAATGTATCCGATCATGTTAATAGATTGTTCATACAAAATGAGATTAGCGACTTATTAGCGAATAATAATCATACTATTGTGTAAGCTACTGATGTCGATAGATATAAGTAATATATCACATCAATCAAGAAGAGGATGAGAACAGAAAGTGATTATTATTGAAAATGAAGGAACAATTAAATATACAGTGTCGGTTATTATGTTAAGCCTATATAACCCTGCATCAGTAGGTCTTAACGTACACAAGGGGAAAATCAAGGTCTTCAAATACGACACGGAGAACATCAATCCAATCACTCTTGGATGGCGAAACTCTGGAAGATTTAGAATCTTTCACGTACCTGGGAAGTATCATCAATGAGCAAGGAGGATAAGATTCAGACGTAAAGTCAAGGATTGGCAAAGCAAGGATAGCATTCCTACAATTGAAGAATATATGGAACTCAAAACAACTGTCTGTCAACCAATATAAAAGTCACAATCTTCAATACGAATGTCAAGACAGTTCTACTGTATGGAGCTGAAACATGGAGAACTACTACAACTATCATCAATAAGTTATAAGTATTTATAAATAGTTTTCTACACAAGATACTCAACATCCTTTGACCGGATACCATCAGTAACAGTCTACTGTGGGAGAGAACAAACTAGCTTCCAACTGAAGAGAAAATTAGGAAAAGACGATGGAAATGAATAAGACATTCATTACGTAAATCATCAAACTACATTACGAGACAAGCCCTAGCTTGGAACGCTGAAGGGAAGTGGAAAACAGGAAGACCAAAGAACACATTGCGCTGAGAAAGGGAGACAGACATGAGAAAAATGAACAAGAATTGGATGGAACAAGAAAGGAAGGCTCGGGACAGAGTTGGTTGGAGAATGCTGGTGAGTGGCCTTTACTCCTTCACAAGGAGTAACAGGCATATGGAAGTAAGTAAGTACATATCTTATTCTAGCTTTCGGACGGGCCTATCTATTCATTCTACTTGAGTCATATTTTGACCTTGTTAATTATTCACTTATCAACATTGACTGTTTTTATATGAGCGTATATATATGTGTAAACTTCTTATCCCATTACTCATCACATGTCTGTAACCTATTTTTGTGTGACTATAATTATTGATTAACGCTTGGTTAATTGGAGTTGGCTTACCAGCCATCCCTACTGAGCGTCGTTTCGCTTCTCTCTATTTTATTCACTTCATATACAAAATGCATGTATTCAAAAGTTCTTTCTCGTTATTTGACTTATATAATTCCGTTATTGACTAACACGATTTAAATCGATGATTATATGCAACGATAGGCGACATATATATTTCAATAACAATCATTCATGAGATCCATTTGGAGTCAGGTCTTGGGCCACTAAAGTGGAGAGCCCAACAACAAACATCCTCCAATCTAAATGACGACAAAATAAAAGGCCCCACTAAAAGTCTAAGGAAGTTGATAGATATTTCACAAATGAAGTATTTACTGTTTAGTTCTCAGATTACACTAAGACATTTTGTAATTTTATATCCCATTACATTTGATTATCCCTTCTTGTGTCCTCATTCACTATAATACTACTACTAATCAAATGAATTTCAATATACAATTACATTTCTCTGGTTGAAATCATGAATCCTGCCAGTACATTATTATACAACTTGAAATTCATTATTTTCAGTTCATATCACATTAGTTAGTTGAATTAGTTTGATATTTGGTCTAGTCTAATGCAATAATTAAGAAAATATTGTTAAGTTTGAAGCGGTTACGAGTTCACTTAGACTGCGAACGGAAACAAAGACTCGGTGACCAAAGACCGATAAGCTAGCTATTTGATGAGACCCAGCCCTGATAACTAGAGGAAGAAGTCCAAGCTTTGAATAGGGAAGTCTATTCCGCAAACAGCCAGAAAGGAGAAATAACAACAGACACAAATCAAAACGTATATATACAGCACAAAACCGTCCTTGGGGAGAGTTACCAAATAGTGTACGAAAAGACACAACCGACCAATAACATCTAAGATTCTTCACTGGATGAAATCATGAGTCAATTGAAGATAGACCACCATGGAAAACCTGGAATCACTGGACGGCCGTTTCGTCCTAGTATGGGACTCCTCAGCAGTGCGCATCCACGATCCCACTCCTCGCGAGATTCGAACCCAGGACCTATCAGTCTCGCGCCAGGCGCTTAACCAACTAGACCACTGAGCTGGTCGGAATCCAACGGTGTTAATGTCTAACTTCAACCAATCCACGAAGTTGCGCCACCGTACACCATTGTCTTCAGTGAGCTGATATCTCACAACAGACCTGGTTAGACTCCACTGGTAACGGCTTCTCACTAGAACTTCAGGAGTATCTCTTGAAGTCAGTCACTAGTGAGCAGATGATTATTATTATTATTATCAGAAGGGATTGTATGGAGATTTTCCATGGTTTTCCATGGTGGTCTAGCTTCAATGGATTCATGATTTCAACCAGTGAAATTTCTAAAATCTCTACACAATCCCTTCTGAGAATTACATTTCTATTTTTAATTAATGAATGTGTTTATCATTATTTAAAACTTATTTAATCATATAGACATTATGAATTTTGTTTTATTGTAATGAAGATTTTCATTGTGACATTTAGTAAAATTCATTTTCATTTTTGTTTCTTTCTCTTTATTAATTTCATAGGATTTTGATGCACTTTTACAAGAACATCGACAACTTAGACAAGAATGTGAAACACTTCGACATGATACAAGACAAACTCAAACATTACAATCATTAGTGGATACAAAAGTAAAATATTTTTTTCTTTTTTTTTTTTCATATAAAAATAGTAAATTTTTCACAAAAAAAAACATTGTAGATCCATTTCAATACGGTTTTTTATTCACTTTAAGTGAAGATTATAGTATTTTTTTTTTTAATGATTGAATTCATGAATTGATCTAAGCTAGATCATCAATGAAATCCTGGAAACACCGTTCGATGTTGGTATAGTGGTCTAGAGGTTAATCACTAACGCATAAAATCGAAAATGCTGAATTCTAGTCCTGTATGCTGGATCATGAATACGTACTGCTAAGGATTCTTATACTAGGACAAAATATCTGTCTAGTTCTTGCAGGTTTTCAATGATGATCATGTTTAGATCAAGTCATAAATTTAACTAATAGAGAACACTTCACATTGATAGTTATTCATAGTATAACAAGATAATTTTAAGTCGTTTGTTATATAATCTAATCAGAAGTATATTGGATTCGATTTATATTTTGATCGACAAAAACTGTTATAGCTAATCTTTAACTATCCTTCTAGATTTTCTTTAATGAATTATTTAACATTATACAAAGTATAACGTTAAATAAGAATTTCCATCTTAATTTCATCGAATGGTTTCATAGTATTTGAGCGCCAAGTTGATATGAGACATTAATGAGGAAGAATGTTATATTTATGAAAATGTCAACGAATAAATTTGAATTCATATACAAAAATATACTACTGAAATCATTTGACGCTTGCGCTCGAGACTGATAGGTCCCGGGTTCGAATCTCGCGAGGGGGGGGGCGGTATCATTGATGCGCACTAATGAAGGGTCTCATACTAGGACGAAACGGCCATCCAGTGCTTTCAGGTTTTCCATGATGGTCTAGCTTCAATCGACTCATGATTTCAACTATTGAAATTACTAAAATCTCCATAAAACTCCTTCTGATACTAATGATTCTAATCAATATTATAATGATAAGATAAATGAACCAATCAGAGAAAGGATAAATAATAATAATTTGATTGGATGAAATAAGTTTTAAGTAGGCAAGGTAACAGACAATTTAGATAAATATGATATAATTCTTTTATTACATGATTAAAATGTTTAGAAAGTAATAGACAGTTGCTATGGCAATTATACTTATTCTTCTAAATGATTAATTCATTTCTAAATGAGTCAATTAATTGAATCATTTGATTGTTTGATTTCTAAATCTAACTAATATTTAATATAGATAGTTAATTATATTGAATTTAATCAGTACTTGTCGGTCAGTCAGTCAGTTAGTCATTCAGCTACAATGTAGGACCAGGCATATATGTGATCAGTACTTTTAAAATATTTATATTCTAAATGGGTATACAGACTTAACCGGAAGTTGAATTAAACATTTCAATTTGCCTCAATTTATTATCGTCAACCTTAAATGATAGCCTAATGGGATTTCTTATGATGAAACAAAAGTAGTAACTTGGATAAATTTCACAATAAATACATAAATCAACGATGAAATTATAATTTATGAAAGACCTTTGAACGACGTCAGATTGACCTCGAGGGTGTCCATCTAATAACTAGGACCAAATGAGGGTTATAAACCTGTGTAAGGAATTATAATTATAATTTCCAGTTGATGATTAAGGTTAGAAATTAGCTTTAGGGTTTCTTTCACGAACTGACATAAGCTATAATGCCAAATCTCTATTTAGCCAAATGTATGAATGAATTTCGCGCCAAAATTCATGACTCGTTATCTTATATCTGATTGATTCGTCCACAAATTATAGTCTCGTCGCTAATGAATACCAACTTATTTGATTGATAATACGATAGTTACGTATTCAGTGTACTCTGAAGCGGATATAGTCATAAAAGTAAGATATCAAATCAGTTCGTCTGTTGGATATTTATTGATTCAGAAAATTAAAGTAACAATTTACTTATGTGATTGGTTATGACCATGTAAATTACTTACTTACTTACTTACTTATGCCTGTTACTCCCAATGGAGCATAGGCCGCAGACCAGCATTCTCCAACTCACTCTGTCCTGGACCTTCTTTTCTAGTTCCATCCAGTTCTTGTTCATTTTTCTCATGTCTATCTCCATTTCCCGGCGTAATGTGTTCTTTGGTCTTCCTCTTCACCACCTTTGGTCTTGAGGATTCCATGTGAGGGCTCGACTTGTGAGGCAGTTCAGTGCTTTCCTCAATGTGTGTCCTATCCACTTCCAGCGCTTCTTCCTGGTTTCTTTCTCCACTGGGATCTGATTTGTTCTCTCCCACAGTTGGTTGTTGCTAATAGTGTCCGGCCAACCGATCCGAAGTATTTTATATAGACAACTGTTAATAAACACCTGTATCTTTTGGACGATGGCTTTCTTAGTTTTCCAGGTTTCCGCACCATACAGTAGAACTGTCTTGACATTTGTATTGAAAATTCTGACCTTGGTGTTGGTTGCCAATTCTTTTGAGTTCCAGATATTCTTTAGTTGTAGATATGCTGCTCTTGCTTTGCCAATCCGTGCCTTCACATCTGCATCAGAGCCACCGTGTTCATCAATGATGCTGTCCAAATATGTAAAGGTTGTACATCTTCCAAAGCTTCTCCGTCAATTGTGATTGGATTGTTGCATGCTGTGTTGTATCGGAGAATCTTGCTTTTCCCTTTGTGTATATCGAGACCTATTGCTGCTGAGGCTGCAGCTACAGTGGTTGTCTTCTCCTGCATTTGTTGTCGCGTATGCGATAGAAGAGCCAGATCATCTGCGAAGTCTAGATCATCCAATTGCATCCTAGCTATCCACTGTATTCCGTGCTTCCCTTCAGATGTTGATGTCTTCATGATCCAGTTGATCACCAGGAAAAAGAGAAAGGGTGAGAGTAAGCAACCTCGCCTGACACCGGTCTTTACTTCGAACGACTTTGTCAACTGTCCTCCATGCATGATTTTGCAGTTTAATCCATCATAGGAATTCTGTATGATATTGACTATCTTCTGAGGCACGCCGTAGTGTCGAAGAAGCTTCCATAATGTTGTTCTGTCAACGCTATCAAATGCTTTTTCGTAGTCAATGAAGTTGAAATAGAGTGATGAATTCCATTCAGTTGATTGTTCCACAATGATCCGTAGAGTTGCGATTTGGTCTGTGCACGATCTATCCTTACGGAATCCTGCCTGTTGGTCTCGAAGTTGGGCGTCTACGGAGTCTTTCATCCTGTTTAACAATACCCTGTTGAAGACTTTTCCTGGTATTGAAAGAAGAGTGATTCCCTTGTAGTTGTCACAGTTGCTGAGATCGCCTTTCTTTGGTATTTTGATCAGAAGTCCTTCTTTCCAGTCTTTTGGTACTTGTTCCTTATCCCAGATCTTTCTGAAGAGAGTTTGGAGTATCCTTGCAGTTGCCGCTACGTCTGCTTTCAGTGCCTCTGCTGGAATGCTGTCTGGTCCTGCTGCTTTGCCACACTTAATTTGTCTGATAGCCATGCTGATCTCTTCAATTGTTGGTGGGCCAACATCGATTGGGAGGTCCGTGAGTGCTGCTTCGATGTTGGGTGGGTTCAGTGGGGCTGGTCGATTCAAGAGTTCTTTGAAGTGTTCTACCCACCTGTTTCGTTGTTCTTCAATGTTGGTGATTATCTTGCCTTCCTTGCTTTTCACTGGTCGTTCTGGTTAACGGTGATTTCCAGAGAGTTTCTTTGTTGTGTCATACAGTTGTCTCATGTTTCCTTCTCTGGCAGCCTTTTCCGCCGTCATTGCTAAATCTTCCACATATTTACGTTTGTCAGTTCTGATGCTCCTCTTCAGTTGCTTGTTTCCTCTGGTTTTGTGTATGCGTTTATGTGGGAATATACTGCCACCTATGACCAGTTTATTGAAGGCTCATAGATTTGCAAATCTCTCACCATTTTTGTTCCTTTCACCCAGTCCGTGTCCTCCCATGATCTCTTCATATCCGGTGTTGTCAATTCCAACCTTGGCATTTAGGTCCCCCATCAGAATGGTCAGGTCCTTTGTTGGGCACTTCTCGACGATTGACTGCAGCCTATCGTAGAATTGATCTTTAGCGTCTTCATTGTAGTCATTGGTAGGCGCGTAGCATTGGATGACGTTCATTGTAATCCCCGTTTTCTTTGTTTTGAAGGAGGCTTTGATGATCCTTGGTCCATGAGATTCCCATCCTATAAGTGCATTTTGTGCTTGTTTGGACAGCATCAATGCAACTCCTTGTGTATGTGGAGCATTTTCTTGTTCATGTCCGGAGTATAACAGCAGCTCCTCTGAAGCTAGTCGTTGTTGTCCAACTTGCGTCCAATGTGTTTCACTGATCCCAAGCACCTCTATATTGTATCTCCTCATTTCTGCAGCGATTTGGAAAACTCTCCCAGTCTCCCACATTCTGCGAGCATTCCGTGTACCTAAATAAATGGTCGCTCTGGTTGTCAGAAGGGGCATCGGCCTCGTGACTTCCGAAGAAACTCGGCTTTCATCATGAGGCGTCATAATTCTTCTAAACGAAGACCTCCTGACTCCCAGGGCAGAGTTTAAATGGTTTGAATAATTTTTTCTGGTTAGCGTTTTTTTTAGCGAGTTAGTTTTCTACGGGATGGGGTCGCTAACCCCATGCCCAACCCTCCTCCTTTATCCGAGCTTGGGACCGGCAGTAGCCCCCCGAAAGGGACTCCAGGCGGGGTTACCATGTAAATTACTTATTAAAAATCTTTCAGTATTATACATAGAAAGTGATCTGACCCATGTGAAAGTTACATTTATGTCTTATGCTTATTACAAGTTTAACTTTCCTTGTATCCCGATACTTCTGATCTTCAAACTTTGTTCCAGAACTTTCTTTTGGACGATATCTATTTAATGATCTGTGTGTATTGTAGTGTTTTTCGTGTAGAAAATTTATTTTATTTATTTAAACACATAAACATTAATACAAGGAGGCACAACATAAGTCATTCGATATATGTGTTGGTTGAGATACTACCCGGGTGCCCAAACTGAAACAGGTGATTTCTTTACAGGGCCACACTTCGAGCCTTCAACCTAAAAGTCTAATCCACAAGATAGTGAAGCAAAATCAAGAGATACAGCTCCATGGTAGCCGGTGACTAATAATTGGTTCATATGCTATTTGTTCCTTCAGGATACTGGAGCCCATGTACACCATTAGTTTGTAATCAGGGATTTTCAACCTCCCCTAGATGGACTCTCCCTGTCCACCAACCTGGTTAGAGCGCCAGACATTCGTTTTTCGTCTTATCTACTTCGTAAATAACAGTAATACTGAGAGAAGGCAGTGCGTAGAACTTATCTGTCAGTGGTTGTATGTACGTGGCCGTGTGAGAGGATTTCGAGAGGAAGAGCTGAGTCTCCCCATTCTCAGCTGTACTAGAGAATTTGGGAGTCAAGTTTTATCATTATCCTATTTTAACTCATTATAAATCTAGTACATATTTATTAATCACATTCATTTCTTTATACTAAAGGAATCGAAAATTTTAACATTGGAAAATGAAATACGTCTTTTAGAAGATGAAATTACTCGTCTTCGAGATGATGGCCTAATTACTCCAAATACATCAACTAGCAGTGGGATTGATGATTTAGATAAAACTTTACAAGTATTTCGAAGTAACGAACGTATTTTGAAATCTAAAGTAAGTGATAACACTATAGTCATATTGTTTATGTATAATAATGTTTCTTATACTACTAACTAATTATGGGATTATGAAAACCTTGACATCTGAGGGAAAACATGGAATACAATGGACAGTTCAGAACCAGTTAGACGATTTAAACTTGATGGTGAAATTCTGGAAGATATAGAATCCTTCACATAACTGGGAAGCATCATCGATGAACATAGAGGATCAGATTCAGACACAAAAGCGAGGATTGACAAAGCAAGGACAGGATTCTTTCAATGGAAGAACATATGGAACTCAAAGCAACTGCCTGTCAGTACGAACATCAAGACTATCCTACTACACGGAGCTGAAACTTCGAGAACGATTACAACCATCATAAAAAATGTACAAGTATTTATAAACAATTGTCTACATAAGATACTCAATATCCGTTGGTCTGATATCATCAGTAACAGCCTTCTGTTTGAGAGAAAGAACTAGCTTCCTGCTGAAGAGAAAATTAGGAAAAGATGGTGGAAATGCATAGGATATAAATTACGCAAATCATCGAACTGCAACACGAGACAAGCCCTAACTTGGAATGCTGAATGGAAGCATAAAAGAGGAAGAGCAAAAGACACATTACATCTAGAAATAGAAGCAGATACGAAAAGGATGAATAAGAACTAGATATTACTGAAAAGGATTTCCCAGGACAGGGTTGGATGGATAATGTTGGTGAACGGCCTATGCTCCTTCACGAGGAGTAACAGACGTAAGTAAGTATGTAACCAATTATGATATTTCAAATTATTATATGCATTGTTTAAGGTAAAACATATGAGTATTTTCCTGAATGCGTTGTAATAGATAATATGATGTTAAATGCAAGCATTTAACAGCTTTAAAGAAAGATTCTAAATTCAATTTCATGAAAAATTACACTTGACTAATCTGTTATAAGTATTTTAACAAGTAGTTCCTATTAAGCCAGATGATAAATGAAGCAAACAATTCATTTTGTTTAATTTATTAAGATTAAAAACTAATCTAAACTAGGAAAATATTGAAAACATAAAGTCATTGAACAGTTCTTTTGTGCTGACATTGAACTTGTCAGTAATGCCTATCAATGACCGTACTATTAAGGAACAGACCCAGGAACTTGTGTCTCATGCGCAAATCTCAAACCCCGAAATTAACTTATATGTGAATAGTATCAGCAGGGGTTTTTGTGGATATTATCATACTTTCAATAGTTGAATTCATAAGTCAATTAAAGCTAGACCACCATGAAAAACCTAGAAGCACTGAACGACCGCTTCTTCCTAGTATTGAATTCCTCAGCAGTGAGCATCTACGATCCTGACTCACGAGATTTCAACAAAGGACATATTAGTCTCGAGTGTGAATGCTTAATCACTGAGCTGGCACTCTACAGTATTAATGTCTAACTTCGACTAATCCACGAAATTGAGCGACATATCCACCATTATCCTCAGTTAGTTACTATCTCACGACAAACCTGGTTGAACTCCACTAGTCACTGTTTCTCACTAGAACTCCAGAATATACCTCTTGAAGCCAATCACTAGTGACCGTTTGCTGATTAATGTCTGAAGGGGTTTCTGTAGATATCATAGTAATTTTAATAGTTAAGATCATGAGTCAATTCAATGTTTTAAACTAATGTATTCGTTTTTAGTTGGTTGGTTGATTTTCTATCATAATCTATTCATTTATTTATATACAATTTGAGATTTATTAAATCTATTCTACTCTTATTTCTTATTTTATTTTCATCATTATTATAATCCATTTGTTTGTCATCATATTATTTCTCTTTAGGGGTGACAATTCAATAGCTTACATATATATACAATTATATAGGAAAGAAGATGGTGACAAGTATTGATTAGAATAGTACCATGTGACTTCTGTAAATTAAACTAAAATGAATATCCAAATAGAGAAAATAAACAACAAAATATAATTCTCGACAGAAAAGTAAATAAATGAAAAGAAAAAAAAAGATAATTTTAGTTACTATTTATGTCCATATAAGTAGCACACACCACATTCGTCTCTCCTTTTAAAGCAGTCGTTCTTGCGGTGGTTCATACTCGCCGTGCAACATTCTTCGTTTCTGCAGTCTGTACTACGCTCTCCGTCAAAATGTCGAGTCTGCGGCGTGCTGACCTCTATAGCTCCCTCGACCTGCCAGGGAAATAACACACGACATCCACTAGGCACCTGGGACGATTGACACCCGTGCTCCACCGGCCTGCTAAGACATCTACATCCGATGTCCACTCAGTAGCCGCACATCCCACCGCTCCTCTCTATCGACGGCACCCGCTACAGTCAACGCCAGTCCACCAGAACATTCCACTCGACACCACCACCCGCCCATCAGACTGCCCCAACCAGAACCTCAGCTTCAATTTGTTTATTAATAGGTCAATCTTGTTTGATTGATTTGATGGTATTTAAAAACAAAGCTTATATTGTTAAACAACAGTGTTCATGATGAACTGACTTAAACTAGATAGTCAGATAGCTAAAACATGTAACGCTAGCCTTGTGTTTCATATTTGCAAAAGACATCTCAACGGTGAAACTCATCCTTTACTTCGCCGTGGAAGGTTAGATTTAGCGTCGACTGATCCTATTAGAAGTAGAAGTAGACTGAAATTATTTCTCGAAAAATTCCCAATAATCATGAAACATTAAGTTCAAAGGAAATAGATTCGTTTCAAACTTTAAACCTTTTGAATGCGAGCCAAGACGTATAAATCACTAAAAAAAACAATAATGTGATCAATCAAAAATAGCAGTTTGATTCTTTCGAGTTTTTTATTTTTTTAGCTAATCTAATGATGTTAGCAATCCACTTGTTACTGTTTTGCTTGAATCTTCCCATTGAGGTCTTAAGACTGCAATTTATCAGTATTTTATTGGCATATATGCATACTGTGCGTATTGCCCCGATATTGCCTTAATCCACAAGTATTATAAGCAAAGATGGATAGTGGCTAGTAGTTGTATCCAGAACACGCGTTTCTTCCTATTTGGGACTCGTCAACTGGATGTACCTGGATTCCAGAGTTGGTGTTGACTCTTGGACTCGAAGCTAGTACCGTTCACCTCAAACGCCATTGTGTTATCCACTCAGACGAAACGCGCGTCCTGGATTCTACTGTTAGCCACTATACACCTTTGCTTATGATGTTATCAGTTGTCTAAACTTATTATACTTTTTTACTTCAACTAACCTGACTAATGCTTTTAGAATCATTGATTAATCTTAAACCACTTCTATAATCATTTCTTATTGAATTTCAGTATTGAATCTTAGTTCTATGTATCTGTCGGGCTAATTTGTAAAGCAAAAGACTGTTCAATTTACTCTAGAAATAAACAGCCGATCTCTTTTTATAGATCAGATGGTAGAGTTAATTGATTAATACAAAATTTCTTAATGAATTCATTGTTTATTTTATTTGAATATATAAATATTGGTGCAAGGAGGTACTAAACAGATATGCGCAACATAAATCATTCGATATGTGTGAAAGCTCGGATACTGCCCGGGTGCCCAAATTGAAACAGTTGATTTTTTCAGGAGGCCAAACCTGGAGCCTTTAACCTAATGTCTGATACACAAGGCAGTGAAGCAACATCAGGAAATTCAGTTGCATGGTAACCAATAAGTGGTTCATATGCCATTTGTTCCTTCAGGATACTGGAGCCCATGTACACCATTGGTTTGCAATCAGGGTTTTCCAACTTACCCTAGATGAACTCTACCTGTCCACTAACCCAGTTAGAGCACCGGACATTTGCTTTTCGTTCTCTTGAAAATTATCCAGAAACATCATCATACAACTAGAAGAACTGACCTGCTAAAATACTCAGTTAGCGAGATATCATATATTGGAGCGGAATGGAAAAAACTTTCTAGTGACTTAGCTTCGTTAATCGATCACCTTGATAACCGTTATCATGTAAATCCCAAAGGTGTTTGAATTCAGAAGGCATTATAAACGGATAGAACAGACGACAAAGTTATAAACACATCGGGCGAGTTTGAAGCAGGGAGGCGAATATATGTGTATGAGAGCAAATACAGAGTCAAATTAATAGTCAAATCGAATAAGGGCAAAGCAAAGGTTAATAATATGATCTGAGTGCATATATACATCGGGAAGAGAACGATTCATCGAGCGATATTTAAGCGATTAACATCTAGGCTAGAATGAGATATGTAAGTAGGCTGTTACATGTGATTACGCATACACGTTTAAACAGACACGACAGTAACCATAATATCAGAGAGGGTTTTGTGGAGATTTTAGAAATTTCAATAGTCGAAATCATTTGTCGATTGAAGGCTCAATGGTCTAATGCTTAGCGCTCGCCGCGAGACTGATAGGTTCTGGGTTAAAATCTCGCAGAGGGCGGGATCGTGGGTACGCACTGTTGCGGAGTCCCATACTAGGACGAAACGGCCGTCCAGTGCTTTCAGGTTTCCCAATTGACTCATGATTTCAACTATTGAAGTAACCTTAATAGTACAAAGAATAGATTAATTGTTAATATTGGAATAACACTAACTGTTTAATGAGTTAATAAAAGAGCTCGACAAAATTAATTGTAGGTAATTTGGTATAACTTAATCTATACTGTCTCATACCAGAATGAATAAACTTTGTAGTTTGTTCTGATTTTCAATGCCTTTATGATATGAACCATAAAAAAGTACCAAATTAAAAGGTTATAAAATAATTAATTAGAGGAAATATGTATTCATGGATTGGTTCAAGTTAAACATTAACAGCACTGGGTACCCGGCTCCAGAGGTTAAGTGTTCGCGTGCCAGATCGAAGATTTTGGGTTCGAATCCCACGGATGGGATCGTGGATGCGCGCTGCTGATGAGTTGCATGTTGAGTCGAAACGACCTCCCGGTGACCACAGGTTTTTCATGATGGTCTAGCTTTAATTGATCTATGAATTCAACTAAGAAATGGTTACAATAGTTTCATATCTAACAATACTTTCAATATTCTTTCTAGTATAACAGTGAACGTTTTGTTAAAAATAACTTTCAGATTGAAATGTTAAATAGTGAAATTTCAAAACGTGAATGTGAATTATACACATTACAATCACGTTTAGAAATGACTGATAAACAACATCAAGATCAAAATCATCATATTAATGTATTAAAAGAACAAGTGAATACACGTGAACATAAAATCTCCATGTTAACAGCTGATGTAAGTTGTGTTGTTTTTTTGTATGTTTGATTTTATATTGATGTATATGAAGTGTTTTGATAAATACTATAGAAAATTTAGTTATAGTGGTCTAGAGGTTAAGTGTTCGCTCTCAAGGCAGAAGGTCCTGGACCCGAGTCCTACGTGCTGGATCGTGGATGCGCATAGCTAAAGAGTCCTATACTAGAACAAAACGGCTGCCCAGCGCTTCAAGGTTTTGAGTGGTGATTGGTTTATAAAATCAGCATTAACATTTAAAGACCAAGTTAAGTATTCTTTATGACTAATTGACTGACTAACTCATTCGTACACTTAGTACATTTACTTATTTATATCTAATTCTTCGTTTCACTCTTCTTTGCCTTTCTTCTCTTCTTCCTGCTTTACTTTGTTACGTATTTACTTACTCACTTATTTAATTATATACTTGCTCACTCATACTTACTTACTTACGTCTGTTACTCCCAATGGAGCATAGGCCTCCAACCAGCATTCTCCTGAGCCTTCCTTTCTAGTTCTATCCAATTGTTGTTCATTTTTTCCATATCTGTCTTCATTTCTCGGTGTATTATGTTCTTTGCTTTTCCTCTCATCCTTTAACTTTGAGGATTTTAAGTAAGGGCTTGTCTTATGACGCGATTGGGTGGTTCATTCATACATACATTTACTCATATACATATATATATATATATATATATATATATATATATATATATTCACTTATTTACTGACTTCCTGAACTGTTTATTTATTAAAATAGTAGTTCCTTAGAAAAAAATAAGTGAAATATAATATCGATGAAAAGTGTTTGATTGTAATGAATATGACTATTTGTATGTATATGCAATTTCAATTTTAGTTAATTTGTGTTATCTCTTTTGAAATTATTATGAGAAGGGGTTTTGTGGAGAACTTAGAAGTTTCACTAGTTGAATTCATGAGTTAATTAAAGCTAGACCACCCCCATGGAAAACCTGGAAGTACTGAATAGCCATTTCGTCCTAGTATGGGACTCCTCATCAGTGCTCATCCACGATCCCGCCCACCCCCTGCGAGATTCGAACCCAGAATCTATCAGTCTCACGCGCGAGCGCTTAACCATTAGACCACTGAGCTGGTCGGCATTCAACGGTGTTAATGTCTAACTTTAACTGACTCATGATTTCAACTAGTGAAATTTTCTTTGAAATTATTATTATTATTAATAATAATAATGATCATTTAAAATAGGCAGAAGATTTTCGTAAAAGAATTAAAGAGAAAGAAAATCTTTTAGAAAAGAAAACAAAAGCATTGAATAGTGCACAATCAGCTAAACGACAAATTGAACAAGAATTAACTGAACTTAAAGATCAAATGGATATAAAAGATAGAAAAATATCTTTATTACAAAAAAAGGTAAGAAAATTGATTTATTCCATTGTTTAATGTATATTTATAGATACAATTATATAAATCATGTGTTTTCCATGGTTAATTTCCTATAATCAGAGAGTGGTTTTGTGGATATTATAGTAGGTTTAATAGTTGAGATCATGAGTCAATTAAAGCTAGATTACCATGGAAAACCTGAAAGCACTAAATGTCTGTTTTATTCTAGTATTGAACTGCTCAGCAGTGTGCATCCACAATCCTGCCTTGCGAGATTCGAACTCAGGATCTATCAGTCTTACGTGCGAACGCCGTCCAGTGCTTTTAGATTTCCAACAGTGGTCTAACATCAATCGGTTCATGATCTCAATTGAAAACTTAATAATCTCCACAACCTTTATACTGATAATTAACATGTGCTCACCAGTAACTAGCTTCGTGAGGAAATTCTCGGAGTTCTAGTGAGAAATCGTGACGAGTGGAGCTAATTCGTGTAGGATAAAGATAGTTATCTACCTCGGTACAATGGAAGATGATCGCGCAATTTCATGGATTGGTTGATTTTAGACACTAACACCATCGGATGTCGGCTCAGTGGTCCAGTAGGTTAAGCGTTCACGTGCGAGACTGAAGGCCCTGGGATCGAATCCCGCAAGCGGGATCGTGGATGCGGACTGCCGAGGAGTCTCACTATAGGACGAAATGGCTTTCCAGTGCTTCCAGGTTTCCAACAGTGGTCTAACATCAATTGGATCATGATCTCAATCAAAAAGTTACCATTCATTATTCTCATCGGGATGTAACAATTTTTCATCTTCGTAATTAACAAGACTGATATTTCCTTCTGATAAACACAAGTTCATCAGATTTATTGTTAATATAAAACATTAGTAACAATTTATTGTTATTCAATAGTAACTTATTCCATTTATCACATTGTCATAAATTGTCATGAATGTTGATAATTTAACATTGAAAATTGAGTTAATTCCAATCATACTTACTTACGCTAGTTTCTCCCATTGAAGCATAATTCACCGACCAGCATTCTACAACACACTCTGTCCTCAGCCTTCTTTTCTAGTTCCATCCATTTCTTGTTCATTCTTCTCATATCTGTCTGTCTCCATTTCTCGACATAATGCGTTCTTCGGTGTCCCACTTCTCCTTTGTCCTTGAGGATTTCAAGTGAGGACTTGCCTTGTGACTCAGATCGGTGCTTTCCTCAATATGTGTCCTATCCACTTCCAACGCCTCTTCATGATTTCTTCCTCCACTGAGATCTGATTGGTTCTATCCCACAGTAGTTTATTGCTCATAGTGTCTGACTAACGGATCCGAAGTATTTTTTGTAGATATCTGTTAAACACTTATATCTTCTAGATGTTTACATTCATAATTCTCCAACTTTCCGCCATCATACAGTAGAACTATCGTGACATTTGAACTTTCAATAATAGAACTGATCTATCAAGAAAGAATTTTCAAGGAAAAAAAAGAACAACAAATTGATTAACCTTATTTAAAGTTCAATTGAATTTGATCCAATAATACTGAACTTTCATTCGTTTCTATTGTGAAAATAATGAAAAAAAATCAATTAAATTTTATTTTTGAAATATTGGAAATTACTAAAAAAAAATTCATTTTTCATTGATTCATGACAGAAACTATGACCTTTTAGTCGTTTTAATCTTTGTAGTTTGTTTTCTCGCAAATTCAATAGTTACTATCCACCTGAGACACCCCTCCCCCTCTAGTGTTACTGCCAGTTATATGTTCGGATAAACAAGGAGGGTTGGGTATGGAGTTAGCGAGCCCATCCTGTAGAAATCCAACTCGCTTAATGAAATGCTAAACCAATATAAGTTGTGATTGCGTACTACTTTTTGGCATAGATATTAGTAGTATATTATAGAAATAGACTAAAATTTAGCAGAAAAAAAAAGAGAAAATTTTTTTTTAGTTTTTGTCAAAGTAAAATTGAATGAATCTTATGAATAGGTTATATTAATGATCTAAAATTGATTTTTTTTTTCTTCTTTCAATTCAATTAACTATTTAACTGATTCAAAGAATTCTGTTAATATAAAGTAGGTTTAAGGAAGAAAACTGTTATATCTTGTAGCTTGTGTACCCTGTTAATGTATGATTATTGATACAGCCAATTAGAGAAAAGTGAATGATCGATCGTATTAATGATGCAAAAAAAACACGTACGATTAGTCTAGAGTACGTATCGGTCTTGCTTCTTGACTACCCCAGCCAGTTGAGTCCAGAACACCAATCTAAGCCTCTGCAATATGAGTCGTTTATTTCAAGCATACGGAGTTTATATACTATCTAGACAGACCACATCGTATCATAAAAAAGAAAACACATATTTGTACAAAATTTGGCCAAATGTAGCTGTGAATGTGAGAGGTTGTAATTGATAGACCAGACATAATTCAAGAATGGTAAATCGTATAATGATAGTTGATAGATCAAGATAAAGCTTATGATAAGAGGGACACGAATATACATAGTTTTGTTATTTAACAATTATACGATAAAAATATACGTATTGTATTGATCCATAAATGGATCCCAAAAGTTACCATTCATTATACTTATCAGGAATTAACAAAAACTCAAGTATTGATCATCAAATTAACCATATAATCTGAAATTATTTCATTTATTGTAATTCTTAAGAGTTTTGGGTTTGCTTCTTGTTATATGTCGAGACGTGCGGATTGGAGGGCAGTGAGTTATCGATCGGACCAAAGACGCGTAAAACACGTAAGAACAGTCTAGAGTTCAGATTAGCCCTGTTTCCCTATCTAGCCCAGCCAGTTGAGTCCAAAACGCAAGTCTCAGTCTCTGAGATATGAATCATTATATTTCAAACATACACTGTTTATATACCAAACAAACAGACTACATCGTACCATAAAATAGAAGTAACATTGTACAAGATTTGACCTCCAGGAAATGACACAAATGAATATTGACCAGTGGGGAAATGACACCATTTTTCATTCAGGAATAGCATTAGATAATTTCTGAGGTATTTTCTGAATACCCCAACACTTCTTTACAAGATTATAAGTGTATATTTCTAAGGTTCTTAAGTCTGAGACATAACAATGTCTTGCTAAAAAATATATTTCTGATGGAAATTATCTTCAACTTAGATAAAACTCACTAGGGAATCACTTTAAGGAGCAATCGCAATATTTTATTGAGATTTCACAACAGATGAATATCAACCATGTCATATGGAAGATGAATCCCTAGATTTCCTACGGTCATTTAAAGAAGATTTTATTCTCATAATTCTTAGAACATTTCATTTTGATATACAGTTCTATTAACTTGTGTTAGGATAATATTAAGATGATATAACATATGCTCTTTTTGATACAACTATACACTTAAATCATTCTAAGATCATTATAAGTCTACTGATGCTTATTATGAGTAGTATAAGTTAGTTAAAATAAAATATTTAACACTATAAATCTATATCACAATACATTATATATAATACTAGATTGAAAATATAGAAGATTTACTTAATGATAAAGAAACACAATTAGCAACAGCTCAAGCACGTCTTTCACGTATTAGTACAGAACGTGTCAGTTCAGATGGTGGACGTATTGGATGGGAAGAAACATTAAAAGATAAAGATCGACAAATTGAACGGTAAGAAAATATAATAATAAGTTTGATATGAATTGTTTCATTTCAAAATATCACTTCATTCTATGTTGATTATGGTTTATTAGATTCAACTAATTAAATGTACTTACAGTTGGTTATTTATTGATTTTGATTAATCATTACTTGAACAAATTTATTTTTATATTCAAACTATGACCTATTTCATTACTTACTTACTTACGCCTGTTACTCCCAATGGAGTATAGACCGCCGACCAACATTCTCCAACATACTTTGTCTTGAGCCTTCCTTTCCAGTTCTATTCAATTATAGTTTATCCTTCTTCTCATAATTGTCTCTATTTCTCAGCGTAATGTTTTGTTTGATGTTTCTCTTCTCCTTTGGCCATGAAGATTCCAAGTGAGGACTTGCCTTGTGAGGCAGTTCGATGCTTTCCTCAATATGTGTCCTATCCACTTGCATCGCATCTTCTTGATTTCTTCCTCCGCTACAATCTGGTTTGTTTCTCTCTCCCATAGTAGGTTGTTGCTCATAGTGTCTGACTAACGGATCCGAAATATTTTGAGTAGACAACTGTTAATAAACACTTGTATCTTCTGGATGATGGCTTTCGTAGTTCTCCAAGTTTCCGCCAGCATACAATAGAACTGTCTCTACATTTGTATTGAAAATTCTGACCTTGATGTTGGTTGACAGTTGTTTTGAGTTCTACATGTTCTTCAGTTGTAAATATGCTGCTCTTGCTTTTTTGATATGAGCCTTCACATCTGCATTAGATCCAACGTGTTGCTGCCCAGATATGTGAAGGTTTTTACATCTTCATATTTCGATATATTTATTCATATTATCTTGTTATTTCTTACTATATGTGTCATCTTTGTATGAATTTCTACTTTCTGTTTAACGATTATATAATCATCAATCTACAGAATGCTTTAATTGGTTTACATAACGGATAGTTTACAATATTCTTCTTTCGCTATCATGTACTACACTACCCTGGATTGTATACTTGAATGATACACAATACAGGGACCTGATCATGTTATACCAGATATACGATTCACGACCAAGAATAAAATATCATGGTCATTATTGAGCCATACTTTATTCAATACAGTCGTAAACAGTCGAACTCAATGGGTTCGGAGTAGAAATCAATAACAGAAGACGATAGCACATATTTATTAGTTAGGAGGCTAAGTGTCTGCTGGTTGACTCTTAATGACCAGTCACATTTTACTTTCATTACCACACATCATTACTATGACATTTTACGTGAATGGATATGAATATTACTATGTATTAGAGTAGAGCATGATGAATATTGAACTAAAAACAATATTATTATAAGCAAAGATGGATAGTGGCTAGCATTAGAATCCAGAACGCGCCTATCTTCCCATTTTTGACTCGTCAGCTGGATGTACCTCCATCTCAGAGTTAATGTTCACTCTGGGACTCGAACGCAGTACCGTTCGCTTCAAACACTATCGCGTTATCCAAATTTTTTCAGTCGAACGTGTGTCCACCGTTGTCTACGTGCACTAATATAAGTAAGGACATGTCATGGCGGTTGACAGCTAATTGATGTTCATGCAAGCGAAGATGAAGAGGGTGTCCACTTTGTCCGATGTAGTGTTTTTCGCAGTTGGCACAATTTATTTTTTAGAGGTGTACAGGACAAGCTGTGAATCACCTGTGGGGAAATTCGAACACGTGACTTCTATCTGAAGTGTGTGTTGATGATGTCGTTCAGAAGAACGATGAAAGCTCCACGACCAAAACATCCAGTTCAGAGAAAAAAAACTCCATCAAAATCATCCATATGAGCTACAAATCTTCTTCACCATCTCAAAATCCTGTATGTTAATAACAGAATAATACAAGCACTTACTAATCAATCTGTGCCAATTTTAAATTAATATTTTTTAACTATCCTTAACATTGGCATATTTAATTTATCATTTTGATTGTTTTTCTAACCTTACTGAAATTAGTGTGCTGTAAATTCAACTTTACTTGACTTAGAATCATGTAATAATAGTTTTGAATTCATTTTTACCAATTTTTGTACGGCCTAGCAAGTAGTGATGTTGTGGTGTGGGTTACTTATATCTATATAAGTAGTATATAACGGTGGTCAGGCATAGATAGTATTTCAGTAAAAGATCGATAAGGAAAGAACGGGAATGGAACGCAATTAATATGAAAATGCATGAACAATGAAATCTCAAACGATCGACTGATATTTGCAAAAGGAATAGTCACGTTTGAGACGATGGATTGAGATTTTGCAAATTTACAATTTACTATATGGTTATCAGATTTTAGTGAGATGCTCTGTAACTTCGTGCTAAGTACATTCGATTGTCCCCAATCGTGTTCCTGTTCGCTATTATAATGTTTTATTTGAACACATAGATATTAGTTCAAGGAGGCACCAAATACATATGTGCCACAAAAGTCACTTGATTTGTGTGTGGTCTGTGACACTACTCGGGTACCCAAACCGAAGCAAGTGGTTTACTTAGGGGGCCATACCCCGAGCCTTCGACCTGAAGGTCCGATCCACAAGGCAGTGGAGCATCGTAAGGGGATGCAATCCCATGGCAGCCGGTGACCAATGATTGGTTCATATGCTATTTTTTCTCTCGGGATACTGGAGCCCATGTACACCATTGGTTTGGAATCAGGGTTTTCCAACTCCCCTAGGTGGATTCTCCATGTCCACCAACCAGGTTAGAGCACCGGACATTCGCTTTTCGTCCTCTCAATTTCGTGAACAACACCCCCGCCACGAGAAGGCAATAAGTAGGAATTCGCTGGCAGAGGCTATATACACGTGGCCATGTGAGAGCATTTCGATAGGGATAGCGGACTCTCCCCACTCCCGGCTGTACCAGGGCATTTGGGGGCAATATTGTCAGTACTTAATAAGGGAATCTATATTTGGGAGTATTTAAAATGTTAGCACTTTTATAGTATATCTGATTATGGAATTGATTGGCTCATAGTACAATGCCATATAATATAATATCAGTCGGTTCAAGGTAGAAGATCATCCTCACAAGTAGTAACAATCCTAAATCTAATCCTTTCTAGTAAGCTCTTCTTACTACTTATTATCAAATAAATAGCATTTTAGTATCTATTCGTTTAGCATAATGTTTTCGTGTTCGAAAGAAAACTGTCAATAGCAAATCTAGTACTAAATATCATAAAGTTAATCATTATTTATTCAATTAGACAACTATTGAAATAATAAACAGTCATTTAGTCATAACATGAAATATCTCAACAGTGAGCATTTACGACCTCACCGAAAGTGAACTGACGACTGTAAAGCTTTATGACAAGTACTTGGATTTTATTGATTTTGCAAAACCTAAAAGACATGAAAACGATTGTGTCAAATCCCACTGTGTTTACCAATTTAAATGTGTGTGTCTCTAGTCACACATACATAAAGAGGAGTAATAGTGATCTCAAAATTAGGGTATGTGAACATGTACCTAAATTGTTGGAGAAACAAATAGAATCAAATGACACAATAACAGTAGAGAATAAACATCCATCATCCTCTGTTGGCAAACACATAATTGAAATATTAATTCACTTGATATTGTTTTACTTGAATCTTCACATTGATGTTTAGGACTGCAATTGATCAGTCTCTTATTGGCATAAGTGCATACTGTGCTTATTGCCTCGATATTGCCTTAATTTACAAGCATTATAAGCAAAGATGGATAGCGGCTAGCAGTGGAATCCAGAACGCGTGTTTCGTGATACGATTCATCAGAATTCAGCCTTTGTTGTGTTATACAAAAGTGCAAAAGAATTTATTAAAACCTTAGCCATACGAAAATTCAAACCCCCTTTGTGTATTCTAAAAAGAGTTTGTTCTCACCTTAAACCTACCCTGGGAATATTGACTTATTATCCAGAGCGATTCGGTTTCGAATTGTGTTCACATTATTATTATTATTATTTTATTATTATTATTATTATTATTATTATTATTATTATTATTACTCTTCTTATTATCTTTGTCTCCTCTTACTCTCCATTTCTAGTCTAGTTGACCTTTTATTTTTATATATAAATGTTCTTAACAAGTATGTTAAGAGTGATCAGATTGTTCGAAATGTATTGCGCTAATATATCATTACATAGATCCGATCATCTTCATTTTCTTCTTATTACATTATTGAAATTTATCAAAGAGACTGTTGACGAGTCCCATACTAGGACGAAACGGCCGTCCAGTACTTCTAGGTTTTCCATGGTGATGGTCTAACTCCAATTGACTCATAATTTCAACTAGTGAAATTTCTAAAAAAAAAAATCTCCACAAAACCTTCTTCTGATAATAATCAATTACTCTTGAATGTATTTACATCTTCTATTATAATTAGTTATAACTATTCTTATTAATTTGTATAGTTTAAAAGAAGCTCGTCAACGTAGTGAATCAGAAATTGTTGAAGAATTAGAAACACAAAAACGTTTAAATAATGAATTTAAAAATCGTTTAGATATTTTACAAAAAGAATTAGATGAGAAAACAACACAATTAATGGAAATACGTGATGAAACAAATGATTATAGAACATCCAGATTTAAATTAGAAACAGAAATCAATCAATTACAAACCCAATTAAGTCAAAGAAATTCCGAAGTGACTACATTACAAATGGAGAAACAATTAGTAAGTTGTGAAATGTATTTCTTCTTTTTTTTCTTTTTCTTTGATGTATCAAAATTGAAAAGCTCAGTGGTCTAGTAGTTAAGCGATTGTGTGCAAAACTGATAGGTCCTGGGTTGGAATCTCGTGAGGCGAGATTACAGATGTGCATTGCTGAGTAGTCTCATACTAGGACGAAACAGTCGTTCAATGCTTCTAGGTTTTCCATGGTGGTCTAGCTTCAATTGACTCATGATTGTTTTCCTTTAATATATAGAAATTGAAAAGCTCAGTGGTCTAGTAGTTAAGCGCTTGTGTGCAAAACTGATAGGTCCTGGGTTGGAATCTCGTGAGGCAGGGTCGCAGACGTGCATTGCTAAGTAGTCCGATACTAGGACGAAACGGTCGTTCAATGCTTATAGGTTTTCCATGGTGGTCTAGCTTCAATTGGCTCATGATTGTTTTTTTTTTTGATGTATCAAAACTAAAAAGTGAAGAATTTATTTTCATTCTCGTTTTACACTTAAATTCCATGAATTACATATTCATGGTTATGTCTTACGAAGCAGTAAAGAGTTATGTTGGTTCGAATTCAACAGAGTGCATCAATGTTTTCAAGATTGAAAGTAAACTTCACAGATATGAGCCAACTAACACAAAACTTAAGTTAAAAGAAATTTCTTGTGGGTGAATCTCCAGTAATTTATCATTCATAATATATATAATATTGAGTTACTTAAACTAATGGCTACATAGGTGGTAAATCTTGCTAATTGAGCGGTATATTCGGTTCCCAAGCTATTCTCGTAGCCCCCAAACTACACAACAACCTGAACACAAGAGAAAAGGCTAAAAATATGCGAGAAGCACTTTACTCCAAAGGTTCGTTCTAGTACAGAAAACATAGGGTTTTTATAGTATCTTTTAGATATCTTTGGGTTTTCCGAAAATTCTGGAATGCTACTAAATATAGTAGTAGCATAGGTAATTATCCAATCGAAAACTCTACAAGTGACTTTTCACTACCTTGATGTTTCTGACTAAACTTTAAGTGAACGCTGATTAGAAAAATGTACTTCCTTGTGTTTTCTGATCCTTTCTTGTCTTTTTCGAGATGTTTTCTAGATCACCCTAACAATAGGATCATGATGAACATTTTGATGACAATACTATTATTTCGGATACTTTCCTACTCTTTTTTCCATAATTGAATTCACTAGTCAATTTAAGATAAACCCTCCATTGAAACCCTGGAATTATTAGATGCCTGTTTCATCCTATTATGGGATTATTGATATGGAAATTTAAACAGCTGGACATTTATAACAGATCCCATATTGATTCATTATGAATATAATATTAATGATAACAAGATCTTTTTTTTTTCTTGTCACTAAGATTTCCCAATCAAGAATGTTTCCCATGAAATGGGAGGGATGCATTCATCATAAAACCCTATAGTATTATTGATTAACTAGAATGATTGAATGAATTAGAGTTCGTTTTTCAAGAACCAAGTAAAAGATTCAGTCTACCCCAACTTTTCGCCTACTTTTATGTCATTACTGAGATTATTATAAAGAAAGTAATATGGCTTAGACGAGTAATTATTTCTCACTGAACTATATTAGAAATCTTAGAATAATAAAATTACTTATACGAGTTCAATCGTACAAATTTAATGATGGACAGTGGCTAGCAGTGGAAACCAAGATGAGTGTTTCGTCCTGTTTAGGACTCGTCAGCTGGATGTACCTACATCTGTGCTTATAAAGCTTGTAACCTTAAGAAATATTGAGGCCGTCCATTTTGGGATTCACATATGTCAATAAAAGACTAATCAATTGCAGTGCTAAATAACAATCGGATAATACAAGTGAACAATACAAAGTGAATATAAAATCTAATGATATTTGTGTTGATATATACTGTAATTCCTAGCTATTTTCAAATAATATTTATGTGTTCCAACCAGAAGGTTCCACATTACTGAACCCTGTAACTTTTCGTAGTTTGAAATATAAATTTCTGATTGAATATATAATTGAAAATGGAAAGTTTTAGGATTCAGTGATTACTAGTGAAAACCATGTGGATGATATATTCACCGTAGATAATCATCAATCTGGGTGTTTTTTTTATTAAATTATATCGCTTTTCTCACACATACTTACTTACGTCTGTAACCCCCAATGGAGTATATGCCTCTGATCAGCATTCTCCAACTCACTTAGTCCTGGGCCTTCTTTTCTAGTTCTATTCAATTCTTGTTCATTCTTCTCATATCTGTCTGTCTCCATTTCTTGACGTAATGTGTTCTTCGGTATTCCTCTTCTCCTTTGATCTTAAGGATTCCAAGTGAGGGCTTGCCTTGTGATTAAAATCGGTGCTTTCTTTTATATATGTCTTATCCACTTCCAACGCCTCTTCATGATTTCTTCCTCCACTGAGATCTAGTTTGTTCCCTCCCATAGTAGGTTGTTGCTGATAGTGTCTGGTCAACAGATCCGAAGTATTTTGTGTAGACACCTGTTAATAAACACTTATATCTTCTAGATGATTGCATTCATAGTTCTTCAAGTTTCCACCATCATACAGTAGAACTATCTTAACATATGTATTCAAAATACTCACTCTGTATAGAAACAAAAACGCTAACCAGAATAAATCAATCCAAATCATTTAATTTTAATGATAATACACAATATTGTTTTATTTTTTGTTTGTTTTTGTCTTAGTTACAAAAACAACTAACCACTGAATCTGATATGAAATTTTTACAAAGAACAGCAGAATTAGAAGGACAATTAAATCATTATATGGAAAATTCATCTAAACTTCAAACAGAAGTAGATCGTTTATTAAGAACAATTGATACAGAAAAATTTGATAAAGAAAATCAATTAAATGAATTAAAAGAGTAAGTTATTAGTTTTAGATTAATTTATTTGTTAAAACTAGACGACCATCCTTAAAGACCTCTGAGGTCAATCTATCTGGACCAGATGACCTTCCTCGTTTTAGATTAGCTATAGCCTTTTGAACTTCAGCTAGAGTTGGGAGACCTACTTCAATATTCCATTCACACTGTCTGGGAATAAAGGGTAGTTGTAGAGTAGTTGAAGGCCAGCTGAACTGTTCTCTAAAATGTTCCGCCTATCGTTCTAAACGTCTGAACTGGGGGCAGATGAGAGTGCCGTTTTTTCCCAAAATAGTCTGATTTACACTTAACTTATTAATTCCAGTTTCTTTTATTAGTCTGTAGAGTTGTCTTGTGTTCCCTATAGCCGCCGTCTTTTCCATCTCTTTTGCTTTCGTTGCCCACCACTGCTCACGGTCGTTCCTTATACTTTTGCTTGACCTAGATCTGATTTCTTTACGCTCTTCATCGTGTTCAGAACCTGATGGGATGAGTTTGCAAGAATCCATCAGTGTAATAGACCTTGAAGAAATCCATTGGTTCTTTGTAACCCTGTGGTTCAAATCACTAATAGATGTCACTGCTGTTTCCACAGCTGCTTGTATATCTTTCCAAGCAACATCTGGGTCAGCATCGTTTTCAGAACTACCTAAGTGTGACCTCAGTTGTTCTTGCAACCTACGTTTGGTTTTCTCGTTACTCAGTTCAGTTCTAATGGGTCTTTTTAGAACTGAACACCTGAACACCGATCGCCACGACGCGCAATGCTAACCGGTGTTAGGGATAATTGGAAGAAAGTGAGAGGCGGCCAAACCAAAACGTGGCGTCAGTGCTTGAAGTCACCAACTTCTGGTCTGAGCCATGTTGATAGATGCAGACTGCCCGGTTGGGGTCCGCGTGACTGTCACAACCAATGGTTGGAGATTCTTGGTGACATGGCTCAGGATCGATCACAATGGTGTCGGTGTATGCACTCTGTGTCTTTCTTCAAACTAAGAGATTAAAATCACTTCATATCTTTCTTTCTACGAACTAATTATTTCTTTCTGTACTATCTCTTTATATGCAATCTTTCTTCTATAATATTACCACCACTGAATTAACTACTTCTATGAATCCGGTGTTCATCGTGTTGTGCTAATGAGGTATGGCAAGTTGGACCGATGCATATACGTGCCTGGTCCTACGTTGCAACTGACTGGCTGACTGACTATTTATATTACATTCTCTCTAATCATAAGGATTGAATTACTTACTTACTTACGTCTATATTACTCTCAATTGGGAGCATAGACCGCCGACCATCATTCTCCAACCCATTCTGTCCTGAGCCTTGCTTTCTAGTTCTACTCAATTGTTGTTCATGCATTCATTCATTCTTCTTCTTCTTCTTCTTCTCATATCTGTCTCCATTTCTCGACGTAATGTGTTCTTTGATCTTCCTCTCGTCCTTTGGCCTTGAGGATTCCAAGTGAGGGCTTGTCTTGTGACGCGGTTGGGTAGTTTCCTCAATGTGTGTCTTATCCACTACACCTGGAGTCCTTCTAAGGCTACTGCCGGTCTCAATGTCGGATAAAAGAGGAGGGTTGGACGTGAGGTTTAGCGACCCCACTCCATTCAGTAGAAAACTAACTCACTAAAAGAAACCAGAAAAAGTAATTCAATAATTGAATTGCTAAAATTTTATTATCATTCAGAACAATAATGTCATCATTTATATCCAGTGGAAGTTAACATTTTAATGATTCTATTCAATTCATAAGTAGATATCATTAGTAAGTTTTAACTTGATAATTTCAAATAAATTAAGCGTTCAGTAGATTGTTATTAATAGAATTAATACCTATGCAATATCGCAATGGATAGAAACATTAAAATTTCTGATGTTTCTTGACTAAATGTAATCTATTTCTTGGAAAAACCTTTTTGTATTGTTATGATATTCCTAACAATGACTTGATGGTTATTAGACATGGTATGCACTTCTATTGTCGACTTAATTTGAAGTCTTTCAAGTTTTACAGGATTAGCATGTGGGCTTTTGTGTACTGAATACATTCTTTGGCTTGAGTCAAGATTTCACGATATCACCTGATACTGTGGAACTTAAAAGTCCCCAAATTAGATCGACAATAGCATTGTATACCATCTCCAATAATCATTCAGTCATTATAAGGAATATTAAAATAACATAAAAAGACTTTTCTAACTACAATGAAACGATATTAGCTGAAGCTTTCAATATATTTATAAATCCTACAGCATTCAACAGAAAAGATGGCTTTACTATTCACCAAACTTTGATCATCTATCTAAGCTCCCGTGTCTGATTCTATTCACATTTCACATACTATTATCATATATATAAATTCAACTCTATCCTTGTCACATATTTTACTCATTAACATACAAACTAAATACACGAGCATATCTCACATTAATCACCGTAATCAGAGTGATATGACACTAATTTGGTCAGATCTAATTTGTAATTGATCGTATCAAATATTTCAACTTTGTTCCATTGTAGTATTTCAACTTAGCTTAGTTTAAATTGTTTATTTATTCATTGAAGAAAAGGCTTAAACTGAGTGACAAAACATCTGAATATTTAATTTTTTCTACTCATTATTGAACTATTACCAACGTGTTATTTCTTATTTCATTGAGTCAATTCATTCTGATAACCATGTTTATAACTAATTGTTTTCATAAGTTGGATTATCATCAATGCATTATTTACATTTCCGTTGAAGGGGGGGGGTTGTTTGTTTACCTGACCTCTGACCATATATTCAATCTAATTCAAAGAATGAATATGTTAACACTTTAGTGTAGAGGAAAGATTGATGTCATATTCATTAGTGAACATTTAGCTTTTATATGATTGTATTAGGATTATAATTAAAGAGTGATATATATTGGTACACCGTTCATTGGAAGTCAAATTGTGAAGTCATTAGAAACAAATGTGTTACATTTGTATATTAGTACACTATTGTCATGTTTCTATAAGATTAAGATGATTGGTTTTGTACAACAGAGTACGGAATAGCAAATGCTCATAGTGTCGTGCGTGCTACTTATATTGATATAAGTAGTATATAACGCGAGTTAAAAACGTAATGTTTGGCAGCAGAAGATGGAGAAAGATCAAGAAAGAAAGAGCGGGAACACAATGCAATTTGTATGAAAACTTATGAACAATGCAATGTCAGACAATGGATTGATGTTTACAACAGGAACAGTCTAGTTTGATATGACGGATTGATATTTTGCAAATTAACAATTTACTATATGGTTTTCACAATTGATTGATCACTAGGTGGTGACCAATTTCATGCTTGTCTAGTACTTGTTATTAGTGCAGATCGAATGCTATCGACCATGTTGCATTGTGGCCACCAGTCTAGGTGACTCGACACTGCGGGCACTATTGTAAGATTAGATGGTGGTTGGAGGTAGTCGACAGGAAACCTTGGGCCCGGGTTTCGTGCTACTTGGCACTCGTCAGCAAGGTGTACCTGTAATCTTTGAGGGAACTGGTGCTCCCTGGCGGATTCGATCCCGTCTCACCCAGCTTCACAGTCAGAGATGTTACCACTGAGCTATCCGGGCCGCGGCCCAGTATCTCATTGTAGTTCTTTAATGTTTACTAAATATCTTTGTTTAAAAAAGTGAGTATAACACTGAGTATTAATTAGTGCATTATTGTTCGTGTACTTACTATGAACACATGAATGGGATTCGAGGATTTCAAAATGAGAGAATTTTTATTAAAAACGAAGATCACGGAAAAAGTTCCAGGATTTTTCGAGAAGATCTCAAAATGTTCCCTGGCAGGGAGTAGTGAGCGTATACCATAAACGTCTCATACCTGGACAAAATAGTTGTCCATTGCCCTCCTTTTTTCCATGGTACCTCGAATAAGATCCATCTGTGAAGAATACAATCTATAAATTAAATAAGTCTGCAAGAAAATCTCTTCAACTATTCCACCTATCTGTCTTCTTTTTTAAGATTGACGTGTTTTTCAGTATATTCCTTCATACTAATTTCTAGCCAACTTTATTCCTTATTTCATTGTTACAGAGAACTTCGTGAAGCACAAAATAATTTGAATAATTTAAAACGTAATCAACAGAATGAACGAAAAAAATCAAGTCAACAACTTGAAGAGTCAAGACAACGTGAAGAGAATGCACAATCTGATAATGAAATATTAAAGGTAGGCATTGATTTAAGCGTTAATCTTGGTGAAGATGGAAAGTGGCTATCAGTGGAATCCAAGACGTGTGTTTCGTCTCATTTCGGACTTGTCAGCTGAATGTACCTGCATCTCAGAGTTTATGCTCACCCCAGGTTTCGACCCCAGTACCGTTCACTTCAAACGCCATCGCGTTGTCCACTTACCTACTGAATCCTGATAGACACTTGCTTGTTCGATGAAATGAAGTTTAAATTCATTTGATTTTGTTTTACTTGTATCTTCCCACGAGACTGATCAATTGCAGTCCTAAATAACAATGGAAAGATACAAGTAAAACAGCGCTAAGTGAAGTTAATCTTGGAAGTTTAAACTTTCACTATATTTTAAATAAAATATCTGACGTTAGTTTGTTGCACGTGGTCTGTTGATAATCTTGGTTTACTTAGATTTCATGATAGTCAACACTTATTAACATGGTGTGTCTGTAATCTTCATGGAACTGAGATTTCTTATGTGATTCGAAATTGAGCACCCAACATCACAATGTGATATGTTCCCATCAAATAGAGACGTGATTTTGAATTTCACACAGAGCATCAGCTCTCTCAAAATTTTAAGTATATCTTGTTGGAGAATGTGTACTTGCATGTAATCTAGTATCACTTGGATTATTTGCGAAGTGAAACGTTGATCAACGCTAACAATCAGACAAACAAGATATTTGTTACTACTGAACGGTTAACCAGTGAAAAAAACGTATTTTTGTAATTATTAAATGTCAACAATAAACTATTCAGTAAAATGTATGGTACCCTTGTGGTTACCAAAGTTGAGTTTGATCACCACCCAGTGATCAATCAATTGTGAATACATCTCAGTCCTACAGGAGGTCAGTCGCGACTCGGATAGTCTGGTGGTGATATTTCTGACTGTGAAGCTGTGTGACACGGGATAGAATCCGTCAGGGAGCATCAGTTCCCTCAAGATTATAGGTACACCTTGCTGATGAGTGCCAGAATAGCACGAAACCCAAGTCCATGATTTCTTGTTGACTACCTTCAACCACCATCTTAGATAAACAATCAAACTCACTGTTAAGAGAATAAACGCTTAGTTAAATGTGTAGAAATTATAAAGTTTTTTCATAAAGCTTGTACTGATAATGTTATCTTGTACAATTCAAGAAATCTAAATTCACCTAAATTATTAAATAGACTGACTTCAAGAGGCATTTCCTGGAGTTCTAGTGAGAAACCGTAATCAGTGGAGTTCAACCAGGTCTGTTGTGAGTTATCAGCTCACTGAAGACAATGGAGAAATTTCGTGAATTGGTTGAATCTAGACATTAACACCGTTGGATGCCGATCAGCTCAGTGGTTTAGGGGTTAATCGTTTACGTGTGAGACCGAAGACCCTGAGTTCGAATCCCGCGAGTCGGGATCGTGGATGCGCACTGCTGAAGAGTCCCATACTTGAATGAAACGGCTGTCCAGTGCCTTTAGGTTTTCAGTGGTGGTCTAACATCAATCGATTCATGATTTCAATCAAAAACTTAACAATCTCTACAACTCTATACTGATAATTTTTTTTGACAATTCTGCATTTTATTTGATTAATAATAATTGCCAATAAACTTACTTACTTACTTACGCCTGTTACTCCTCGTGAAGGAGCATAGGCCGCTCACTAGCATTCTCCATCCAACCCTGTCCTGGGCAATCCTTTCAAGCTCTTTCCAGTTCTTATTCATCTTTTTCATATCTGCTTCTATTTCCCGACGTAATGTGTTCTTTGGCCTTCCTCTTTTCCGCTTCCCTTCAGGATTCCAAGTTAGCGCTTGTCTCGTAATGCAGTTTGATGATTTCCTCAATGTATGTCCTATCCATTTCCATCGTCTTTTCCTAATTTCCTAATTGCCAATAAAAAAAAATAGAAAAATCAACTCAATGTTGGTTTTGCTTCATTATTGTTTTTTTCATTCCTAGGGTATTATAACAGAGAAAGATGGAAGAATTCGTGAACTAGAGCAAGCTTTGCGCGAAAGTGTACGTTTAACAGCGGAACGTGAAATTTACGCTTCCGGTCGTGATGATGAAACAAGACATTTAGAGCAACAGGTATATTTGTTATTCTTAGTTCTACAGTTTCATGACTACTAATAATAGTGATAGTAATAACAATGCTATGATGAGACACTTTTCCATAAATTGTAACTAACTGCGGTTTCATCAAAATACACGAAACCCTGAACAGTTGGTTAGTTTTATTTCACAATCTCTGTTACAATACATGTCGGCTATTAGTCGAATAACTTCAGATATTGTGACGAACTTATAAGTTTTTTATGCTTCGGAATCCGTCTTTAACTGACCTGAGCTGACTTCATTTTTATCCTTAGGTTAATCCTCGGGGTATAGTTATATTGTGTTCCATTCAAAAAATTCAGTAGGGGAAATACAAACTAGGTAGTAATCTATTTTGTATGTATGTTGATTAGACAGACCATATGTTTGGTAATCAGGCTAGCGAAGAGAAGAGAACATGAAGAGTGTCATTTGGATATGAACATGGTTTTCACACTAATAACAAATCATGACGAAAATTTATCGTGAAGTTACAAGTCAACTAAGTATAAAAGAGTCCTGATAAAATTAATAAATAAGGGTTCTGAAGATTGTACAGTTTGTTATTTTCAACTACATTGCTCAAATAGCACTATGATAATATCTCAAATTGTGAAACCAAGCGATTTGTGTTCGAATTCCACAGGGAGCATCAGACTCCTCAAGATGGAAGCTATACCTTGTTGATGAGTTTCAGCTAGTAAGAAGTCTAAGTTATATAGGGTATCGTAATAACTTTTTCCAACCGCCAATCATATTTACAAACTACATTAAGCAGTAGTAGTTATGTACCCGAAATTCCAATAATGAGTTGTAGCTATTGAGCTTGTGTTTTGCGTCGCTAGTGTCAACTAATGATGCCTTTGAAATATCGCAACCTACCTGATGTTGGAAATATGAATTATCAGATGTCAACTCAATATTTTAAAAGAGTAACCCGCTTGCTAAGAAACCTAAAGATCCTGAGTATAATCCAAGTTGCGAGAGTTAATGGAAGAGAAGCTTAGTGCTAGGGTAAAACACTTGTTCAATCCATCTTGATTTTCAGTGGTTTTCTAGCTGAAGTCTGTCAGTGTCATCGACTAGAAACAGTTTGAACATTGTGTTGGGGTATTCAGAAAATACCCCAGAAATTATCTAACGCTATTCCTGAATAAGAAATGGTGTCATTTCGCCATTGGTCAGTATTCATTTGTGTCATTTCCTGGAGGTCAAATCTTGTACAATGTTACTTTTTATTTTATGGTACGATGTAGTCTGTTTGTTTGGTATATAAACAGTGTATGTTTGAAATATAATGATTCATATCCCAGAGGCTGAGACTTGCGTTTTGGACTCAACTGGCTGGGCTAGACAGGGAAACAGGGCTAATCTGAACTCTAGACTGTTCTTACGTATTTTACGCGTCTTTGATCCGATCAATAATTCGCCACCCCTTCTCTCTCTCCTCAAATCACACTCACGTCTCTCTCACAGTTATAACACATTTGATACTCTAAAAACTGCAAAACAATAAAAATTGATAAGAGTCATGATAATAATTGAAAATACGAGAGATAAAGTTACAGAACTGTCTTGACAGGTTCTAGTTAGAACACATTATTTAAATCGATAATCGTGTTATAAAACCTAGATTGAGTTTAATCTTGTTAAAGGACAATTAAAAAAGTACTTTTCACTTTCATTGATTTATACGTCTAATTGTAGGTACGTGAATTACGAAGTAATCTGGAACATTTTCAACGTGAAAGAAATAATCTTTCAGCTCAGTTAGCTTCAGCACAAGAAGAATTAAGTGATCGTGAAAATCAACTTAAAACTTTAGAACAAGAATGTGTAAGTTATTTAACTGACTTTTATAATGAATTTAATCATGTAATTGGAATGTTTAAAACATTATGATTCATTCTTGTTGATAAACAATCTTATTCTCACTTCCTGATGTTAACATTTCGAATTGATGTGTCTAGAACGTTTGATTGCATATTAACTTCCGTTACATAAATTGACACGTAATGGGAACTGGATTAGAAACAGGTCGGAAGATAGCTAAGTTTCTTTTTATCAAACAGTACATTTATCCACCAATCAATGAAATCACTGACTTTGAATAGATTGAGACTACTTGTTTTTTTTTTTTTTTTTGAATTTTGACTAATTATCATGATTAGGAATGTTGGATAGAAGTAGCATGACTTTTATTTCTTTTCTGTCATCTCTAGGAACAATCTTTGTTGATCCTGTCAACAAACATTTCTAAATCGTCAAAATGTAAAAATGGTGAATATTTTAGAGAATATATAGATATATATTATATATTTAAACACATAAACATTGGTACAAAGGGGCAATGAATACATATGCGCCACACAAGTCACTTTATTTGTATGTGGGCTGTGATACTAACCGGGTGTTCTTTTAGGGGACCACACCTGGAGCCTTAGACCTGAAGGCCTGATCCACAAGGCAGTGAAGAAACATCAAAAAATACAGTTCCATGGTGGCCGGTGACCAGTCATTGGTTCATATGCTATTTGTTCCTTCAGGATACTGGAGCCCATGTGTATCATTGATTTAGAATCAGGGTTTCCCAGCTATCTTAGACGGACTCTCGGTGTCCACCGAGTCGGTTAGAGCAACGGACATTCGCTTTTCTTCCTTTCAACTTCGTAAATAACAGTAATGCCGCGAGAAGGTGATGAGTAGGACTTCCCAGGTAGTGGTTGTATTCACTTGGCCCCTTGAGAGCATTTCGAGAGGGAGAGCTGACTCTCCCCACTCTCAGCCGTACCAGGGCATTTGGGGGTATTTTATCAATAAAATCTAATAAATACAATTCATCCTTTAATAGATAAAACTATATTCCAATATTTATGCTTCCACTGAAACTTAAATCCGTTAGTAATCTCTTCAAATGTCATAGTCATCTGGTAAAATGTAAGAATTTTCAACTTTAGAGATAACTTCTGATATTATCTAATGAAACCAATATTAATCACTAAGAATTTGCTTGTGAAAAAGTTGTTCAAAGACTTATTATTCACAGTCATGGCACGTACGAAGCAGATTTCCTGTAATAGTACTGGTAGAAATGCAATAAGAAATCAGTTAGCTACCAAGGCGGCATGTAAGAGTGTACCAGCTACTGGTAATACTAAGAAACCTCATCATTATCGTCCTGGAACAGTTTCCCTACGTGAGATTCGTCGTTACCAAAATTCGACCGAGCTACTCATAAGCAAGACTTAATAAGATAAACAAAGCTCACACAAAATAGTTTCTTAACGTATTCAAACAATGTAGGATTAAGACATGAATCACAATGATGTTAATAGTAATGCTAATTTACAAGATTTCAAACATTTATGCAAATATTATAGGGGATAAGATACATGTCCATAAATGTGTATATGTTAGTGTAGCCCTTCATTTTGACGTAAATTAAATTGGACGGTGTTGTTGAAGTTCTCATCACTTTAATGGTCAGGGATCTAACTTCAATTGGATCGTTAATCCTCATATAAAATTACCGACTTAAATCGTGTTAGTGAATAACGGAATTAAATTAGTCAAATAGGAGAATGAACGTACATTTTGTACAATCGTTTATCAGAACAGATAATCAGAGTGATGTAGTTAAGGTAGCAAAGAAGAGAGAGCAAAACGAAACAAAATGACGAACAGTGGAGAAGGTATGTAAACCAACTCGATTTAACGAAGCGTCAATCAATATTTATAGTCACACAAAAATAAGTTACAGATATGTGATGAGTGAGACAAGAAAAGCCCACATATACGCTTATATAAAAAGTCAGGGTTGATAAGTTATTAATTAACAAGGTCAAAATGTAGCTTGAGAAAAATGGATGAACTGGCCAGTCCGAAAGCTAGAATAACTTATTTCGGCTCGACATAGGACTAGACACTACAATATATACTGAAAATAATAACTAAAGAATACCAGTTTACAGGAATGACTAGTAACATTCAATGTAGAGAACGCTATTGGGTTCGAGGTCCAGAGCGAACATAAACTCCAGCATGATAGTACATTCAACTGACGAGTCCCAAATAGGACGAAACGCGCGTCCTAGATTTCACTTCTAGCCACTATCCATCTTTGCTTATAATGCTTATGAATTAAGGCAATATTGAGACAATAAGCACAGTATACACATATAACAGTAAGAGACTGGTCAGTTACACTTAGTATTTACAAATTACTCAGACTTCAGACTTCTTGCCATGTAATTCATCAAAGGCCTTTAAATATAAACTTTATATTTACTTATTATGTATCTTACAGTAAATCTATGTTCTTAATCAATAATTTAGTTCCAGAATTATTTACCTGAATTAGAAAAATTACGACGTTCAAATCATGAAGCCAATCTACGTGTAGCAGCTATGATTAAACTAACACAAGGACGTGAGCATACTTTAACTGATCAAGATCGTGCTGCAGTATGTCTCATTTTCAATTGTATTATTCATTTTTTTGATGACATATATATTTATGTAGTCTATACATCTTATTGGTTGACAAGGGGTATTAATAATAGTAGGGTTCTACTGTTTTTTTGTATCAAGGATTTTTAAAATCATACGACCCCCCTCTTAGTGACCACACATGCCTCACACAATAGATTTGAGTAACAGTACCACTGTCTTTTTTCTATATATTTGTTTATATTATTTAAGAAAAATCTTTTGATCATCAATGAATCTATCTTCGATGTGCTTCCTAAGTGAAGTGTATCATTAATGAAAGGATACCGTACAGTGAAATTTGTACAACCTTGAAATTAATTAACCAATAAAAAACAATAGAAATATATTGCTACGTAAAGTTATGGTAATTCATCATAAGGCGGCCTGCTTGAATATCTTAGCTACCTGTTCCTGTCATCTGAATATTTCAACAAGTTATCTGTTTTCTTGTTTGTTATAACACATCATTATGCCTATTAGTCTCATAACCTATTCAGATGCGTTTGTGAAAAGTTTACGACATTTCGCTGTACAAGTTACAAAAGAGCTCAATCAGAGACATCATGGTTACTGGCAATATGCATTGAAAAGGATATACATTTATCAGATGTTGATTCCTGAACCGCTAACATCTAACTGGCATCCACTCAATATTTATCTCAAGGAACTGATCAAGACACAAGAAAGGGAAACTTGTTGAAATACTTTGTGCTGAGAATTCTATATTGTACCAAAAGATATAATATTGAATAAAGCCACTAATAATAATAATAATAATAATAATAATAATAATGGTTGGATGTATTGGGCAAGTAACCTTGAATTTAGGCTTTATGTTATCTGGTTACACTACACCATACATCCCAACAATAGTATATATGATGTTGAGTCACTCAATCTATTGGTCACATTGTAATTAGATCAAATAGAATTAGACAAGTATTAAGAAGAACTTGATACACATAACATTGGTCATAACTAAGTAGTTAATCAATTAGCAGTATATTGCTACATCAATTGTGGAATATAATTGTATATCAGATTTTAAAGTCTCTATGCAGTTTCTTTAGTCTTTCATACTCCTAGTTTTTTTTTCGTAAGAAATCATGTTCATTTAATGATTGTACAAATTACTTTGTTCTTATCAATCCTACTTACTTACTTACGCCTGTTACTCCTCGTGAAAGAGCATAGGCCGCTTACCAGCATTTTCCATCCAACCCTGTCCTGGGCAATCCTTTTCAGCTCTTTCCAGTTCTTATTCATCCTTTTCATATCCGCTTGTATTTCTCGACGTAATGTGTTCTTTGGCCTTCCTCTTTTCCGCTTTCCTTCAGGATTCCAAGTTAGCGCTTGCAATTTGAAAATGCCTTTTTTTGTTATAATTGTGATCATTGGCATTAAATGTAGGAAAATATGGATTAAATGAAAAGACAATGAATGATTATAGATGAAAATTTTACTCATATTTCTAAAATAATGAGATAATCACTTTAACCGATATGTACTCATTTATACATGGAATTTACACATATACGAAGTAGGGGTCATACAAAATTAGTATCAGAAAAAGTATTCTGGATACTATAGTAATTTTAATGGCTGAGATCATGAGTTAATTGAAGCTAGACCATCATGAGAAATTTGAAAGCACTGGACAGCCGTTTCGTCCTATTGTGAGACTCCTCACTATTCTCGCCTCGCAACATTAGAACCCAGGACTTATCAGTTTCATGTACGAACGTTTAACCATGGTAGTCTAGCTTCAAATGATTCATGATCTCAACTATTAAAATTACTATGATATCCACAAAACCCCTTCTGATATGAATCAAAATATGCTTACTAGTGACTGACTTCAAGAGGTATATCCTGGAGTTCAATTGGGTTTTTTATGAGATAGTAACTCACCAATGATAATGGTGGATGTGTCCTTCAATTTTGTGGATTAGTTGAAGATAGACATTAACACCGTTGGATACTTGGTCCTGGGTTGGAATCTCGCAAGTCGGGATCGTAGATGAGTACTTCTAAGAGGTCCCACAACAGAACGAAACGGCCGTCCAGTGCTTTCAGACTTTCCATGGTGGTCTTACTTCAATTGACTCATGATCTCAACCATTAAAATTAATACAAAATTAGATGTTACACAGAAAAGGCACAAAATTTGTGCTGTATATTACTTTGAACGACAAAGCGACTGAATAAATTCAATGGATTTTTTGCTGAACAATCATAATACTAAATTGAAACGTAATCTTGCGTTTTATGTCATATTAACACTTCTACAAAGCTTTTTATGAATTGAATCATAATTGGTATTGGCTTATTGATTTTTGTGCAAAATACTGAGAGCTCTTCTATTGTTCGTGATGGCTTGAAAAGTACGATGTACTTTTGCTGTACGCTTTATTAAATACTCTGTAGTTTTCATTAATTTGCTGATTACATATCCTTTACTATTTTGAAACTTACATATTAATATTGTTCCACTGTTTGTGAGCCATGTTGTACTACCCTGTTTTGCCGAATATTCTATACATGATAGATGAATAAGTAATGTCAACGTCACATAATGTTTATGGCTTGAAAGTTACTTCTCATTAATGTGCTGTTAATTATTATTTCTTCTTAAATAGTTATCTACCATTCCTCTCTTCCCGAATATATCACTTCATGGAACTTGGTCAGGAATGTCTGGTGGTTTAGAAAATATCGGTGCAACATCTGGTACAGGAAGATCAGGTTATTTGGCACCATATCATACAGGTAGTGGTGGATCATTATCTCCACATTTAGCAGGAAGTGCATTTCAATTTATTGGAAATACTTCATCTAGTGGTGGTGTAGGTGCAGTTGGTGGTAGGGCATCAGTACCTGGTCAATTGATGTCTAGCCCAGATGTTATTATGTTATCAAGAATGTTACAGGAAAAAGAAAATATGGTAAGTAGTATATATATGGTGCTTCGATTGTGTAATAAGATGACGAAGATTATCAAGACTATGTGATATATTAGCGCAATACATTTCGAACAATCTGATCACACATACTTGTTTAGAACATTTATATATAAATATAAAAGGTCGACTAGATTGGAAATGGGGTAATAGGAGACAAAGATAATAACAATATAAGTAATAATAATGTGGAAACAATTTGAAATCTAATCATTCTGGATAATAAGTTAATATTACCAGGGTAGGTTTAAGGTGAGAACAATTATGTGTTTGGCAATAGAGGATGACGGATGTTTATCTTCTACTCTTGTTGTTGATTCTATTTGTTTCTGCAACAATTTAAGTACATGTTCACACAGCCTAATTTTGAGATCAATATTACTCCTCTTTATGTATGTGTGACCTCACATACACACATTTAAATCGGTAAATACAGTGAAATGTGATGCAACCGTTTTCTTGTCTTTTACGTTTTCAATGAAGCATGAACCTTGTTGTTTCCTTGATAATGATCTTTGCTGCACGATCTGTCTTGTTAATGACTGATTTAAGCTTTTGTTTCAATAAAAGGCTAGTTGAATCACCTCTAAATAGTAAGGTGATGTAGACAGGTTTTTTTTCAGCCAAGGCTAATAGTAGGTCCCACTGTATCATGAACTTTCCATCTATTTATGAATTTAAGGGGATAACCATTTTCAATTAGTATTGTTTGGCTTGTACTTTCCCATTGAGATTTAAGACTGCAATTGATCAGTCTCTTATTGACATATGTGCATACTGTGAGTATGTCTCGATATTGCCTTAATTCACAAGCGTTTTGTAAGCAATGAGATACAGGTACATCCTGCTGAGAAGTCCCAAATAGGACGAAACGCGCGTCAACTTGGATTTCACTGCTAGCCACTCTCCGTCACTGCTTACAAAAAGATAACCATTTTCCATTAATAACTTATTTAGCAATTTAACATCATCATCATCAATGACATCATTTGTGTAAATACAATCAAGCCTGTTAAATAGTCACTTTATCAAACCCCATTTGTAATGCACAGGGCGATAACTATAATAACTAAGACATTGACCTATCCAAGTTGATTTTCTAAAAGAATGCGCTTATATATATCATCACATTGTTCCTGATCATCTTCATCTTCTTCATTATTACACTATTGAAATGTATCAAAGGAACTAATTGAATAGATGAATTTCATTTAATCATTACAAATTGATGTATTCATTTTAGCTTCAACAACATTTACAAGAATTAACTCGATTAAGATTTCAAAATTCTGAACTTGAAATACGTTTAAAAGCAACACAACGTGAATTAGATACAAAATCAGCTAGATTAAATGTACTTGAAACTACTCATGTAAGTTAATTATTGAACATGTTTTACACTACACGCTTTTCTCTAGTTTGAAAAAAAAAAACTTATCATCATAGATATATAGTCGAATCAATGGGATTTTTCGATTTCCTGGGTGGGTCAGTTAGTCAGTCAGTTACAACGTAGGACCAGACACATATATGCATCGGTTCAAGTTGCCATATCTCATTAGCACAACAAGATGAACACCGGATTCATAGAAGTAGTTAATTCAATGGTGGTAATATATAAAAGAAAGACTTTATGTAAGGATATAGTAAAGAAAGAAAAAATTATTTCGTAGAAAGAAAGATAAGGGAAGATAGAGAGTGTATACACTTACGCCATTATGATCGATTCTGAGCCATATCAACAAGAGTATCCAACCATTAGTTACGATAGTCACGCGGACCCTAATCAAGTAGTCTTCATCTATCAATATGACTAAGACTAGAAGTTAGGGTGGGTAGCTTGCTAGTTTCGAATATTTTTTAGTTAAATCAACTATTTTTTCTTAAGATATTTATGGATAGAGATTTTATGCTGAATACCAAAATACATGATCTTGATTTATGAATGAATAAACAAGAATCTAGGTATTCATTTGTTTTTGGGACATAAGGAAATGTTAACCTCATTGTTATATCCTATAGCCCTGTTAATTATCATGTGACAAAATTATTAATCGGAATACCGACTTCCTGTACTTCGCTGTACTAAAAAAATTACACGTCAACAAGCACTATCAGCCTTGCACCAACTTTAAGTCCTTATTGATCCTCTGTATAGCAACTTCTCCTTTAGCCCAACCCAACCTGTTCATTTTTGATGGAGTTTTGTTCTCTGAGCTGGATAGATTGGTCATGGAGTTTTCACGACCAAAATCATCCACCTGAACTACAAATTTTTATCATCTTAATCTGTTCAGTTCAGAACAAAATTATTAATTTCCACTATGATCTTGACTTTCTATGCATTACTCAATGAATCCCAATCATTATTTGAGAACATGTAACAATAAACTTTATAGTTATTCATATGGAACTTTATATAGAATCGATAGTAACTATTCTACCTTTTATCAATGTTTATCATACATCAGAGATAGAATGATACAAATCGATCATGAATAAGTCTTGATTATGTTCAATTAATATTCAATATTACATTGTCTCTATACATTCATTCATTAAGACTAATGTCATTTCTTTTATATTGATTGATTCAATAGTTGAATTCAGCTACTGGAATACATGATTTAGGCACAAGATCCCCATCAAGTAATCAATTATCAAAAGAATTAGCAATATTACGTAAAACAAATCAAGAATTAAGTGTAAAGTTTAATCAACTACAAATGGAATTAGATGAACGTTCACGTGGTGGAACATCAACTGTTGGTGCATACGATAGACTGAAACCTTCAATTGTAAGTATTCTTATTTTGTTAATAATAATAATAATAATATCAATAATTGAGATCATGAGTCAATTGAAGCTAGATCACCATGGAAAACCTGGAAGCACTAGACGGTCTTACGTGTAAACACTTGACCTCTTGACCATCGAGCCAACATCCAACATCTACCATTCCATGATATTGCGAGGCCATCTTTCATTGTCTTCGGTGAGTAACTTCTTGACAGCCGATACGGTTGAACTTCATGTTGAAAGTAAGAAATTGCAAAAGGGTTAATCATGCAATCAATTAATAAGATTTTAAAAAGAAGATAATAATATGTTCTCAAATTGAACAGGTTGATTGAATAGGTAATGAAGAATTTGAGATGGAAACTACAACACAATAACTATTATCTTTTATTGTAAAGCCATTATTTTATTAACATCTTAAGCTGACAAGTTTCATACAATTCAAAATAATTTCCAGAGTTTTAACTTACAAGTAGAATGTTTAGGATAAGATGGGGGTTGGAGGTAGTCAACAGGAAACCATGGACCTAGGTTTCGTGCTACTTGGCACTTGTCAACAAGGTGTACTTGTAATCTTGAGAGAATTGATTCTCCCTGACGGATTCGATGCCGTGTCACCCAGGTTCACAGTCAGAGACGTTACCATTAAACTATCCGGACCGCAACTGATCTCCTGCCGGACTAAGATGTATTTATAATTAATTGATCACTAGGTAATGATGTTCTTCCTGCATATTAGTTGCTTAGGGTCGTCTATGCGTATTGGTTGGTTGTACGACATAACAATTTAATTTTGTTATCAGTAGTACAAATGTTTAATGTTTGATTTTTTTAAAAATAAGGATATATATTTATCACTTATACTTTCAGGGATTACATACAACAGACTTTACAGAAATGGCTACTTTGAGACGAGAACTTGCTTCTGCTAAAGCTGAACGTGAAGTGGAGGTATTTAGTTTTGTTTACGTGTACATATATCGATCTCTAATTTGATCCAATATTTACTAGTATAGGATTGTGAAGATTGTTAAGTTTCATTGAGATCATGAAATAATCAATGTTAGATTACCACTGATCAATTCATGATCTCAATGATGCGATACCAAAAATTAAGAAAAAAAATCATTATTATCTAGTTTAAAGCAACCAACAAAAGTTCTATTCCTAAGCTTAAATTTTTTTAAGACTCAGTAATAAAATATAGCTTCAATCTTGTAGTACCTAATATTAAGTCATCATCAACGAAGAGTATGGCATAGTTTTAAGTGACCCCAAGTTGCCCTACCACATTGACACAACGAGATAAAATTAGCGAGAGGAGTAGTGAAAATAATCGAAATATTGTAGTATCAATGGTAATTTGAAAGGATAAACATTGGAAATATCGTTTAAAAGACAAGGTAAATATGTGTGTATGAAAGAATACTGTAATTCACTATTGAGAGGAAGATATAGAGTAAATACTGTAATCGATTATGAGCGATGACACCCAAAAGTCACAAGTTACTGATAGTAATTAGTTAGTCTGTATCCACTAGCATAGCTCAAACTGACAGTTTATGAATTCATGGGCTGACTGGAATAAATTAGCATAGGTAACTAACAATGTAATGTTGATAATATCAAGTAAACTGATTAGTATAACAACAATATACTATTTTCTGTCACATAGCTGGTAAGCAAATTAAAATGTATTATAAAATTATTCTAAGATGTATATGAAATGAACAAACAGAGAGTTGTACTTACAGAACCGATCTTCAACTGACAATTGTGTAAATTTTAAAACTGATAATCACATTCTAAGCAGACATGGATAGTGATTAGTAGTGAAATCCAGGGAGCGCGTTTCGTCTTATTTCGGACTCGTCAGCTGAAAGTACCTGCATCTCAGAGTTGATGTTCAGTCTGGGACTCGAACCCAGTACTATTCGCTTCAAACGTTATCGCGTTATGCACTTAGCTACTGAGTCAATACGTTCACTATGCATATATACCTATAAGAGACTGATCAATTGCAATCCTAATCATTAATGGGAAGATTGAAGTAAACAATACCATGTGAATTTGACAATTACATTGTCTTAAACATACGAACGTATATTTTGGTAAATTTGATTTGTTATCTAAATGACATTTTATTCAGTTAATTGAGTGTCAATGTAAGTCAAACATCATTTAAAAGATGAATAGTCAAAGATGAAACTAATGGTTACAAAGTAACCAACAGATAGTCATTTCACCTTATTAAAGCAAAATGAAGATAGATTATAATCAGGAATTGGTTCACCAACTAAAAGCTACTGAAGTCTAAGACTTACTACAAAGTTGTAATCTAAGCTTGGGGTATTGTAACGATATATATCTATAATTGTAGATCAGGAATTTTTTCATTTTTAATTGAAATAAGTTAAGGGACTAATAGCAAATCAACTTACCACTAAAGGAAGCTTATATTGTACTTTGTAACTTTTCACCTAATACATAAGCAATTTCATTATTCAGATACCAAATCAAGCTTCATCTAAGTGCATATGTAAATCGGTAAATAATCCACTCTTTATTGTTATAGATTCTTTTAAATCTAGTAGTTCTGAAGTATTTAAGTTCCATTCATTATAGATTGATTGAACTCAATTAGCTTACCATTGAAAAGTAGAAAATAATGCACAGCTGATGTTCCCTAATATTGAACTCTGACAGTGTGCATGAGGCTTTTAACAAGGATTGAGCTAAGAACTTTTAGGTAACTCATTAAATAGGTTAACCATTAGAATGCTCTGGTACGGCCGAGAGTGGGCGGAGTCCGCTCACTCTCCCGAAATGCTCTCACATGGCCACGCGTATATAGCCTCTGCTAGGGAAGTCCTAATCATTGCTTTCTCGTGGCGGAGGTGTTGTTCCCGAGAATGAGAGGACGAAAAGCGAATGTCCATCACTTTATCCGGGTTGTTGAACATGGAGGGTCCACCTAGGGGAGTCGGAAAACCCTGATTCCAAACCAATGGTGTACATGGGCTCCAGTATCCCGAGGGAACAAGTGGCGTACGAACCGGTCACCGGCTACCTTGGAACTGCATCTTCTTACGATGCTACACTGCCTTGTGGATCAAACCTTTAAGTCGAAGACTCCGGATGTGGCCCCCAAAGTAAACTACCTGCTTCGGTTTGGGTACCCGGGCAGTATCCCAGCCTTCACACAAATCAATTGAGATTCGTGTGGCGCATATGTACTTGGTGCCTCTCTGTATCTATACTTATGTGTTCAAATAAATAAATAATAATAATAACTAGACAAACATCCAGTTTTTACAATTTATATCAATTCATTAATTAGCCAATATCCTTTCCTTTGTTTTTCTATCATTTAATATAAGGTTGCTAGTTTAAACAGTCAAATTGAATTAATCAAACGAGAACGTGATGATTTTAATGAAAAGTTTAATGAAACAAAATCTGATCTTACAGAGAAAATTCATCAGCTACGTACACTGGAAGCCGAAAAAGTAAGATTATAATTTATGGATGACCTTTGAGTGAGTCTAAAGTGATTTTGAGAGTGTTCACCTAATAACTAAGACTAAATGAGGGAGGAATTATGATTTATAGTTGATAGTTAGGGTTAGGAATTATATTTAGGGTTTTCATCGCTGTTATAACTTGTGACGTGAGTGCCCTGTTATGGATAACGTAATAATACCGCCAATTAGAAAGCAGTGACTTATTGATCGGAACAATGACGCGTAAAACCCGTACAAGCAGTCTAGAGTCCTGATTAGTTCTGCTTTCCGCCTAGCCTAGCCAGTTGAGTCCAGAACACCAATCTCAGCCTCTGCAATATGAATCATTCATTTCTGGCATACTGGGTTTATATACCAACCAGACAGACCACAACGTGCTATAAAATAGAAAATAACATTTGTATAAGAATTAGCCAAATGTGGTAGGCAGTGACTAATAGACAGGGCATAATTGAAGAATGGTAAAACGTATTATAATGGTTCATTGGTCAAAATAAAGCTTATAATAAGAGGAACATGAATATGAATAGTTCAGTTATTTAACAATTATACGATAAAATATACGTATAGTATTGATCCATGAATGGATCTCAAAAGTTATCGGGACCTAACAATCACGAACTGACATCAGCTATAATGCTAAAACTCTATGAATGAGTGAATTTCGCACCGAAATCCAAGACCTGTCATCTTATACCTGATTGATTCGTCCATAAATTATAGTTTTACCAGTTTCTCAAATTAATTTGTATTATCTGCGTAATTCACTCACTGATCATCATTCTTTTGTGTTAACAGATTTCATCTAATTGTTTTATGGAATACGTCTTTTATTCGATTTTCTACTGAAGCGGATATAACAATGTTATCTGATATGAATTAGTACTAGACTATATTTTTTCTCAATGACTATTCATTAATAAACTAACTGTGGAGTTTTGTTCTTCCAAGTGAATGGTTTTGTCATGAATCTTTCATTGTTCTTCTAAACAACGTTGTTAGTATAAACTTCTGGTGGAAGTCTACCTGACGTTTGTGCTGACAATGTTGTTTAAAAGAACCATGAAAGCTTCACGACAAAACCATTCAGGTGGAAGGACCAAATTCCATCTAAACCATCCACCTGATTTAAAAATCTTCTCCACCATCTAATAGTTTAATATGTTTACAGATTACTTCGCCCTTTCACTGGGATGCTATTACGTTTATGTCTTTAAAATATATTGATTTTTAATTCCATTAGATTATACTCTTTGAATAACATCTTCAAACCCTAATTTTTTCTGATTACTGCTTATACTCTTACTACCTCTACCACTATGGGATTTCAATAGACAATCGTATCACCATGCTAATGTAGTATGACAACTCGAACTGATGTACGTACGTACGAGGTTCTACATTGTGGCTGACTGAATGAGATATTTGTAATATTCCATTGAGTTACCTACTTACTTACGCCTGTAGCCTCCAATGGAACATAGGTCGCCGACCAGCATTCTCCAACCCATTCTGTCCTGGGCCTTCCTTTCTAGTTCTATTCAATAGTTGCTCACTCTTCATACCAATTTCTCGACGTAATGTGTTCTTTGGTGTTTCTCTTCTCCTTCGGCCTTGAGAGATCGAAGTGAGGGCTTGCGTTGTGACACAGTTGTTTGCTTTCCTCAATGTGTGTCCTATCCACTTCCAGCGTTTCTTCCTGATTTCTTCCTCCACTGGAATCTGGTTTGTTTTCTAATACAGTATGTTGTTGTTGATAGTGTTCGACTATTAACCGATTTGTCCCTTTCTTTGATTGTTTAATCTGTTTTCTTCAAAATCACACAAATTATTCTCTTTTTATTTTTTCAACTAAAACAGATTCATATTTCATCTGTATGTATAGAGTGATAATTTAAGAAAGCTTGTGACTTAAGGTAATATCAAGATAATTAATCCTCACAAGATGTACATATGCCAACAAAAGGCATATCAACTCTAGTCCTAAACAACAATGGGAATTATACAAGCAAACAACACATAATGAATTTAGTGAATTACTTGTTTAAAGATTTCCCTTAATATAAATGAAAAGCATTTCACATATTTTCTTTTCTTTACTTTTTTCATTTTTTAATAAAGGAAAAACTGATTACAGAAAAAGATTCTTTACAAAAAAAATATGAATCAGTTTTAAGTCAATTAAGTGAAAAATCTGAAAAACTTAAACAACTAGAACAAGATTGTGTAAGTTTAATATTACTATTTCATTTTTTGATTGAGATCATGAATTGATCTATTTTAGACAACCATTGAAAACTTGTAACCATTGAATGACCGTTTCATTCTAGCATACAATTCCTCAGCAGTGCACATTCACAATCCTGCTTGTGAGATTCGAAACCAGAACCTCTGGTTTCGCACGCAAACACTTAACCTCCATACCACTGAGCCTAAATCCAGTGGTGTGAATGTTTAACCTCAACCAATCCACAAAATTAAGTGATCATCTTACATTATACTAAGGTTGATATCTGTTTCTACTTGACATGAATTAACTTCACTGGTCACGGATTCTCACTAGAACATATTTGCTCATATTATAGGAAGTAACTTCCTACAGATAAAATTATGAACTATTCTCTAAACTATCGAATACAGAGTTTTAGCTTAGCCAAAATTAGAATAAGTAAGCTATTTGGCTTGATTATATTTATCTGTTTCTAAATTATAAATTCACAGTGTTAGTATGGTGTATGCTACTTATGTCGACAGATACAAGTAGTATGTCACACTAATCAGAATTGAAATGTCTGTCGAAAGAAGGTTGAGAAGATTCAACTGAATAAAACAGAACATGAAAAATAAAGGAATTGAGAATTCTAAGAATCATGAAGGATTTGTAAAGGATAATTAACCTAAGATGTGCAAATGAAGTATCTAATGCATAGTTTTCACATTTTATGAAATAACTCTGTAATTTTACATTAGACAATAAATTAGTTGTCTCCATCTGAGTATTCATTCATTTCATTAATATACAAAACAAACTATTAATACAATCTGTCAAACATGGAAAAAGAGAGATATAAATAACAGAAGAGGTTTTTGTGAATATTCTAGTAATTTCAATAGTTGAAATCATGAGTCAATTGAAGTTAGACCATCACTATGAAAAACCTGGAAGCATTGGATGGCCATCTCGTCCTAGTATGGGACATACCAAACATCAACTGGAGAATAATAAAAATAAGTTAACAATCTTAACATCGTTTAGTGATAAACATAAAGTTATGATTATTGAATAAACATAACATAATCTGACAAGATCATAGAAAGTTGATGTATTGCTAGTCATCAGGCGCGCTATCTAAAAGGACAGTGGTATTGTTTCTCGTTGAGTTAATTAACTGTTTTGATCGTAAATTACGCATCAAAACTACTGTTTACACTTTAATTGAATCTACTCCAGTTAAAGTGATATTGTATTGATTGTTTTGATTCTGCTTTTGTGTAATTATTGCACCAAAGCATACTTGGTCGACTTTTACTTGATAATTTAGTCAAGGTTTTAGCATTTTTTTTACATATCCTCTTTGTATCACCATTGTATTTGGTTTCCAAGATGGCCAAATCGGCTCATAAATGTGGACAACCATGTTGCTTATTCCCCGTGGAGGAAGGGATGCAATGTGATGAGTGTAAGAAGTGGTTCCACAAGATGTGCACCCGACTAAGCCCCGCTGCATATAAAAGGTGCTCGAAGCCCAACTCTCATTGGCTTTGTAGTTTTTGTTGCTCAAACAAAACAACACTCATCCAGGAAGCCATTAGCCTCCTGGTGTTGGCTAATAAGAAGGTTGACGAGGGCTGCACTGACAATATTGGTGCTGATAGCGAAGATCGCGTTAGTGTCGTAAGTGCTGTCACGGCGCAAGTCAGACATCTAACTGCGCAACCCGAGATCAAAATTTTTACCTCGAAACAATCAATGAGTGATACCTCATTAGATATTGGTGGCCATGTTGCTACAGCAGCAACTGGTGATCCAGATAAAACAATTATTGTCCCGAGCAGTTCCGATGTAGATGCTACGGCTGACGGAATATGGATGACGTGTAAACGCAGAAGAGTAGGAAAGACAGCTAAAAGTAAGGACCGTTTACTTGATAAGTCTTTGATGGACTCTCAGACCACTCCGCCAAAGTCCCAAAGTAAAGCCTCGTCAAACATTGTTGTGAGGCACTCGCTCGACTCCAATGATTCTGTTACAATAAAAACTAATCGTAAGATACCAGAAGTTAATATACAGGATGTTAGGTCACGATCGATAGCTGTAAACACGATTCCTAAAGAAACTAAACCACTCCCTAGCTTAATTATTTGGAATCTAGAGGAGTCGATAGACAACGATCCTGCTAAGAGACATGCACATGATCTGAAGTTAGTAGAATCCGTGGTAAGAAACGTACTACCTGAAGAGGTTCCAGGAGTACATATCACGAAAGTGATACGACTCGGTAAATGGGTTGGATGCGAGACCCAACCAAGAAGGATCTTGAAGCTGGTTCTAGGGAGTTTTGAAGAAAGAGACATATTATTGAAAAATTCACAAAAAATTCGTGATTCAAATATTCGTATCCGACCAGATTAGCCGCTTGAGGATCGAATCAAGTGGAAGAATGCTCTTACGGAGTTAAGAACTCGCAAGTTAAATGGCGAAACTAACCTTACCATTAAGGGTTTTCGGGTAGTCAGGTCTTGGAAGCCAATGCTTCCGAGGCCTGTATGGGTAGAACGAAGGATTACCAAAACACCTTAAGTGTGTGCTACACAAACGCCCGTAGTCTTAGGAATAAAACGTCCGAGCTAAGTCTGATGGTGGATGAATTAAGTCCCGATATAATTGTCATTACAGAAACTTGGTTCACCGTAGATATAGAATGTTCTCCCATCATTGCAGGCTATATCTGTATTAGAAGTGATAGAGTTTTAAGCCGCAAGGGGGGAGGCATAATGTTATACATTAGGGACCACTTTCGTATACAATCAATCATATCGGAGGCTCATGTTAGTGGTACATGTGAGGTAGCATGTTGTAAGATTAAATCTAGAAATGGGTTAGTGACTATAGGCGGAATATACCGTAGTCCGTGTTGTCTTGCTGACGACTTTATCTAAAGACACATCTGTTCTTGGAGTATGGCAGAATGTTGCCTCATCATTGGGGACTTCAACGCTCCGCACTCAAACTGGATAGAGCTTACAGCTCCAGGTGGAGGTTTCGATAGCGAACTTTTATCAACAGTTATTCAGTGTGCACTTGTCCAATGTATCACTAAACCGACACATATTGATCTGAAACGTGATCCGTCACTGCTGAACCTCGCCCTCACCCACCACTGTGAGGACGTCTTTGATATTCAGCACCTTCCTCCACTAGTGAACAGTGATCACGTTGTACTTCACTTTAAGTTTAGGACACATGGTATACGATTTGTATCTGCTCCACCCCGTCCCAATATCTGGCGGGCTAATATTCCGGCAATCAGAGACTGTGCGATCTCTACTGATTGGTCGGTTGACGCAGATGGATCGATCGAAGACGAATGGATTAAGTTTAAGGCTACATTCGAGTCCGTAACGTCGCCGTTTATCCCATGGTCAGCACGTAAGCTATCGCATTGCCCTCCATGGATTAATAAGGAAACCCGTAAGCTGTCAAAGCGTAGGAAACACTTCTGGGACTTATTCTTGTTGACAGGTCATGCATCTTTTAAGCGTGAGTATCAAAAACTCCGGAATATTTGTAAGAAAACCATAGCTAAATCCCGTACTACTTACGAACGACAGTTGGTATATGATAGCCGTACTTGCCCAAAACGATTGTTTTCGTATGTTAAACGGCAAATAAAACGTAGTGATAGTATTCCCCCATTATTGTTACACGATAATTCAGGTTTACAAGCTGAATCAGATCGAGCAAAAGCTGAGACATTTTCAAACTACTTTAGCGAAGTCTACTCTACGTTTATTGTAACAAATACTTGTCCCAGTTACGCCGCGATACCAGCCATGGAATCCATACAGGTGACTGAAGAAACTGTCCTTTCGTTGATAATTAACCTCAAACCTTGTAAGATACCGGGTTCTGACGGGTTACATCCACGACTGCTGTCATCTCTTGCAGACATTATTTCAAAACCGCTCGCGACACTTTTTAACATGTCCCTTTCACTCGCTCAACTACCTAGGGATTGGAAAGATACTATTGTCAGTCTTATATTTAAGGATGGCCAGAGACACATCGTATCTAACTACCGACCTGTCAGTCTGACTAGCATTGTCGTTAAGTTACTTGAAAAGATAATTCGGGTTAGGTTGCTAAGCCACATAGATTCACACAATCTGTTAGCTCCTGAGCAACATGGATTTCGTGATAAGCGTTCATGATTGACTAACTTACTTATTGCGAGAGAGGATTGGACAGCAGCCTTAGATAAAGGTCTGTCTGTCGATGTTATATTCATAGATTTTAGCAAAGCATTTGACAAGGTTTCACACTCAGGTCTTATGCAGAAGCTCACAAGCTTCGGAATAATAGGTACTGTACAGGAGTGGATAGGAAACTTCTTACGTGACCGCAGACAGAGAGTGAGGGTCAATGGGACGCTATCCGATTGGAAGCCGGTCAAAAGTGGTGTACCCCAAGGCACCATATTAGGCCCTCTGCTATTCCTTCTCTACGTAAATGAATTACCGCTGTTGCTTAGGTCGTCGACATTATTATTTGCGGATGATGTCAAAATATGGAGAGCAATAAGAGGTGAGGCTGATCATCTGGATCTTCAAGCTGACTTAGACGATTTAGTTAGATGGGCTCGAGATTGGGGTTTAGAAATTAATTCTAGGAAGAGTGTGCTAATGCACATCGGTCACGGCAATAGTTACCATTATACTATTGATGATAAACCTCTTCCATGCGTTCAAGAACATAAAGACTTAGGAGTAATAATAAGTCATGATTTAAAAACAACTGCGCACTGCAACGCAGCCTCTGTCAAAGGTTTTCGTGCGTTGTGCTCACTTCGCCGAGCGTTCAAATCCTTTGACGAGGAAATGTTTCGAATTTTATATCCCACCTATGTAAGACCACATTTAGAGTACTGTATTCAAGCAGCTAGCCCATGTCTGATAAAGGATACTACTTCACTTGAGCGTGTCCAGCGTGCGGGAACGAAATTAGTGAAGGCTCTTTCTAAACTCCCTTAAGATGAGAGTTTAAAACGCTTAAACCTTTTCCCCTTGTCGTATCGTAGGACTCAAGGTGACCTTATACTGGAATTTCGTATCTTTAATTATGATTTGGGTGTTAATATGTCTTATCATTTTGCTCCCCCCAGCACTAATAATCTCCGAGGTCATAGCAAGAAGGTTCATAAACCACGATCTAATAAACTCAAGGTGGGGTTCCGTTTTTCCCATCGAGTAGTCAATGATTGGAACGCCTTGCCCGAACAAGTGGTATCAGCCCCATCAGTGAATATTTTCAAAGAGAAACTGGACCTTCACTGGAAGCCAACCTGTTAGGATTACCACAGGTTCACTAACCTACTATCCTTATTACTGAAGACTGAAGACTGATTTCATGTTAGGTTCCATTGATCAATCATACTTTACATATATGTTATTCATATATAAACAATTAGTACTACAGGGAAAAAAAAAAGTTAGATTCACTATTCAAATAGTTTTACACATTATTTTATTCTTACTAATGTTAACTACAGCAAACTCACTATTGAACTTACAGTTTCTAAGTGATATTGTATATCAGAAGGGGTTTTGTGGATATTATTAGTAATTTTAGTACTTGAGATCATGAGTCAATGAACACTGTTAAGGAGTCCCACAGTAGGACGAAATGGCCATCCAGTGCATCCAGGTTTTTCATGGTGGTCTAGATTTAATTGACTCATGATCTCAACTATTAAAATTACTATGATATTCAAAAAACTCCTTCTGATATTAACCAATATATAATCACTAGTGACGGTCTCCAAGAGGTATTTCCTGGATTTTTAGTGAGAAGCAGTGACCAGTGAAGTTCAACTGGGTCTGATGTGAGATAGTTACTCACTGAAAAAAATGGTGGATGTGTCGCTCAATTTCTTGGATCGGTCGAAGTTAGAAATTAACACCGTTGGATGTCGGCCAGCTCCGTGGTCTAGTGTTTGAGCGCTCGCGTGCGAGACCGATAGATCCTGGGATTAAACCTCACGAGTCGGGATCGCAAATGCGCACTGTTGAAAAGTCTCACAATTAGACGAACAGTCGTTGAGTTCTTCCAGGTTTTTCATGGTGTTCTAACTTCAATCGACTCATGATTTCAACTATCAAAGAAAACGATTATGTTTGAAAGAAATATCGATTTCAGGTGATGAACAATACAAAACCACAACCTTTCAGTAATCAAGAAAATCCCTTTCTAATGTTCCCTTATATTCAATGATATTCTACTTGATATTAGTTTGTCATTCAACACTTGTCATTAGATTATACAATATAATGTAATTAATCTATTTTTTTCTAATTTAGGCAAAATCACATATTGAAGAAATAAAAAGATTAAATACTGATCTTGATGATTTGAAACATCATGTTGGTTATTTACAAAATACCATAAAAAACCGTGAAACCCGTATTGAAACAACTGAAAAAGAATCTGTAAGTCTACATATATTCATACTTATATAAATAGTTTTGTTTCAGTGTAAAATCAATATTATTTAAATACATACAGAAATGCCCTAGTACGGACGAGAGTGATGAGAGTCAGCTGTCACATGGCTACGTGCATACAACTACTGTCAGAGAAGTCCTACTTACTGCCTTCTCTCACCAGCGGTGTTGTTTACCGCTCGGTGGACATAAAGAGTCCATCTAGGGGACTTGAAAAAAACTCTTATTCCAAACCAATGGTGTACATGGACTCCAGGATCCTAAGGAAACAAATGGCAATATGAACTAATTATTAGTCACCGGCTACCATGGAACTGCATCTCTTGATGTTACTCCACTGCCTTGTGGATCAAACCTTTAAATCGAAGGCTCCGGATGTGGCCCTCTAAGTAAACTAACTGCTTCGGTATGGGTACCCGGGTAGTATACAAGCCCTCACACAAATCGAATGATTTATCTGGCGTACCAATGTTTATATGTTTAAATAAAATAAAATAAAAAATACATATAGTGAAAAAGAATTCACAGAGCTACGTTTTATAATTAATATAAACTTATCGATAATGCTTATTTGCAATTTCAAGTTATTTGATATACATGACAACAGAATATCATCTAGAGTTTGTGATGTATCGATATATTTATTATCCAATGATTGATTGGTTTGATAATTGATTGATCGTTAAGTGGTGATCAATGTCATCTATGTCAGATCCTACATAGTTCAGATCGAATCCTATCGACTAAATCACAATGTCATTACTAGTCTAGGTGTCGTGATATTGTGTGCACTATGTTGAGATAAGATGGTGGTTGGAGGTAGTAAACAGGAAACTATCAACTGAGGTTTTGTGCTACTTGTCACTTGTCAGCAAGGGGTTCCTATAATCTTGCGAAAATTAGTGCCACCTGACGGATTCTATCCCTTGCCACCCAGCTTCACGGTCAGAGACATTACCATTGAACTATCCGGACCTCAGCTGGCCTCCTGTAGGACTGAGATGTATTTACAATTGATTGATCACTGGGTGGTAATCGATGTCATATGTGTCAGATCCTTCTTAGTGTCAATCGAATCCTATCGACCAAGTGATTAATTACAATAGAATTCTCTTCATAGAAGAATTGAATCGAACAAATTTGGATGTTGTTAGCAGCATCTCTTGTTAAACATAGTAGGAGTATCAAACCAAACTGACGATAAATTTTCAAAACGCTACAAGTGTTTACAGGATTTCCTTTCCCTAGAAGCATTATATGAAAGAACTATCAATAATTAAATACCTGGAAATATTCATCCATTACCTATGGATTAATTTCACTGAGTAAATTTAAGTTGACTTAGAAAAGAAGAAATATGTTCCAGTACTGAGAAACGGAACAAATTTTAAAGAGGTAGAAGCTATTTGGATGATTTTGTAATAATGTTAATTAATGATTATAAAAATTTGACAGACTGTGAATGTTAATTTCATCCTATTAATAAATTCTTTTAGCCGCTCATATCTTGATATGATGGAAAGAAAAGTCAAAATTCCGTTCTGATTCAATGTGATGATCATTTAGTGTAGTCGTTGTTAGGTTTGCTCGTATGATATTTTATTCTGTATAATATACAATATTCGGTGAAACTCTATTTTATGGACGACCTTTGAACGTACGTTTAAGTGACCTTGAGAACATTAGCCAATCAGAAGAGAGTTGGTATAAAGTAAAAATATATTATGAAAAACTGATGAATTACAATGGATATTCTTCTTTCACATGATTTAGGAACTTGTTAAGGTTGGATAAAGGTTCAGAAGTTCTGAAATCATAATGCATGCGGTATAGGAACTCGTCCATATGGCTCCATAATAATCGTCCTCTGGAACCGTGGTACGGTCTTAAAAAATACTTCAGCCTAGACCACATGCCTTCAATATTGTTTGTATGAACCCCCGTCATTGGATCGAGAAAATCACGTATATTCACGGAAGTGTTACTTACCCAATCTTCCTTGATAAAACGTCCTTTGTTGTATTTTCGCTTTCTAATTACTGTCTCATCTATTTCCACTATCTTTCCAACTCCCCCAAACGATTCATGTACTTGTGATCGCGCAAAGAAAGTGCCAGTTCGAGCAGATTTTTTTCTCCAACATATAGTACAACGAAATACAATATCATCACGGTAGTCTGCACATCATGCTGCAGTCATTTGATTGCCGCAGTCACAGACACAGGAACTTCTTAATAGTCCCGTCTGTTATAGTCGCTCAACAATCACGTCTTCTTTGAAATCTGCTGTAAAACGATCGAATGTGAGCATCTCGAATCGAACTTAGCGCCGTGACCTTGAACTTCCTCAAACGCCTCTGATTGGCTCGTCCATAAATTAGAGTCCTACCCAATATTCTTATATTCCATTGACATGAACTATGCTCAATATGTGATTTGTTATTTTTCAATAATTGTCCAATTGACCTTATTCCATGATTGGAACTATCTCTAAAACATCTGGTTATTATTTACTTGAATCTTCCCATTGATGATTAGAACTGTAAGTGATCACTTCCTTATTGACACATATGCATACTACTATGCGTATTGTCCTGATATTGCCTTAATTCACAAGCATTATAAGCAAAGATGGATAGTGGCTGACGAGTCTCAAATAGGACGAAACATGCGTTCAGGATTCCACTGCTAGCCACTATCCATCTTCGCTTATAAAGTTTGTGACCTAAGGCAATGTCGAGGCAATACACACAGTATGCCTATATGCCAATAAGAGACTGACCAATTTCAGTCCTAAAACAACAATTGAGATGATACCCGCAAACAATACGAAGTAAATTTAAACTTTACCCCATTGTACAAACAGATGGCTATCAGAACTCAGTACCTAAATGATGTTTGAATCAAACTGTACTGGGTTCAATTTTCAGAGTGAACATCAACTTTGAGATGCAAGTACATTCAACTGACGAGTCCTAAATATGACGAAACACACATCCTGGATTCCGTTTGCTAGCTACTATCCATATTTATCTATAAAACAGTTATTGGTTTTAAGTAATATATTACGATTCTATCATAAGAATAGTTTCACATTTACCAAGATTCATTTTATTCTGATTAAATTTGTTTAAAATTATAATTTTACACTTGAATAATATAATGGAAATCTTCATGGTGTGTTTTGTTGTTGTTGTTGCTTTCCTTTTTAATACAGTTTAAACTAAGAGATGAATTAACGAATATACGTAAACAATTGACAACTGCTGAAGCAGAGGTAAAAAGTTTACGTGATGATGCAGTTTATAGAGAAGAACGAATTAAACAAATACAAAATCAATATGTAAGTTATAAACAATTATAGTACAATATTTATATAACATAGAGGTAATGACTTATATTGGAACAATCATTGGATACTAGTAGGAAATTGAGTAGATGTTTTTCTTTTTTGAAAAACAACTACAATTGATTTTATATTCAAGAAAACAATGTATAATATCCATTTTGGTATACTGTTAGCTTATATGTCTTCAATTATTATAAAATTGAAAGTTTCAATTATTCGAAGGGATGTTAATTCTGTTGAGATGATCTAGCAACACGCAAGGATCAGGAAAACATTAAGAAGCATTTCATTTAATCAGCGTTCATTTGGAGTTTAGCCAGAAAACATCAAGGATGTGAAATATCATATGTATAGGTTCTGATTGACTGATTATTATACTGCTACTATGTTTAGTAGTATTCCAGAATCTTCGAGCAACTCAAGGACATTTAGAATATTATAAAAACTCTATGTTTTCTGTATTAAAATGAACCTTTGGAGTAAAGTAATCCTCGTATACTTCGCGTTTTCTTTCTCGTGTTCAGGTCGCTGTATAGTTCTAGCTTGGGGGTTACAAGAACAGCTAAGGAACAGAGTATAGCGTTCAAATTGCAAGACTTATCAAATTCTAAGTGATTTATTGTTATGAATGATTTGAATGGAATTAGTTAAAACTACAAGGCAAAACGTTTGAAGAGAACAGGAACAACTAAAGATAAATCATAAGATGATTTACTCAAATACATAAGTCTCTTAATCTATCATAACGGCGAGACTCTAATTTATGGACGGGCCAATCAGAAACGTTTAAGAGATATCAAGGTCATGGCGCCAACTTCAGTGCCTAATGCTAACCTGTGATCGGTTTACAGGGAATTTTGTACTAAACGTGATAATTGAGCGGCTATAACAAATAAAACGGCGAGACTATAACTTGTGAAAGAACCAATCAGATATAAGATAACAGATGTCGAATTTTAACGCGAAAGTCTTTCATCCATTTGGTTAAATAGATTTCTGGCATTATAGCTGATTTCAGTTCGTGATGAAAACCCATATATATAATTCCTAACTAAGGCAAATTATGACAATTATTGCGAACTGAATAATAAAAGCACCAGTAACACTGGCTGCAGCCAGGTACTACAATATATACGGATGATTGGAGAGCGTACAGACTCCGACATAGGCTTGGTTATGTAAATCATATCGTTATCCACAAGTGGCATTTTGTGTACTCAACAACTGGAGTGCACACAAACAATATTGGATCTATGTGGTCGAGGCTGAAAGAGTTTTTGATACTTTATCATGGATTCAGAGGCCGACTATTCTGTAACCGTATGAATGATTTCCTTTACTTCATGCATTACGATTTTAGAATCTCTGAATCTCTTTCTAATCTTGACAAGTTTTTGAACCATGTATAAGAAGTGTATCCACTTTATTTCGTTGGTTTTTTATCCTATAATTACTGTTTGCTGAATGGCTAATACTTCTTAAGGTCACTTGAGATTCGTTCAAAGATCGTCCATAAATTATAGTCTCTCCATCATAACTGATATTACTTTATATTACTGGATTAGATTTGCACTAAAAAACTTTGACCTTGTATGACAAAATCGTTTGCAATGACTCAGGTACATCCAGTCTTTGTGTTGTCCAAAATTCTAATCTTCTGAATTCTTCATGTCCCTTTTCTTTTTCTCTTTCCAAACTTATTTCACTAGTTTATACTCCTTGAATAACATCTTCAAACCTAAATGTTTTTTTCGATAACTGCTTATACTTTTACTACGTCTCCCACTACGGGATTTCAATAGACAATTGTATCTATGTGCTAATTGGTATGACAAATTGAACTGATGTACGTACGTATGAACTTCGACGTTGTTGATGACTAACTAACTGCACTGACAACACATAAATCGACAATAAGTATCATTGCTATCCTTAGTTGTCTATATTTTATTAGGCCTCAGAAACATTAGAAGATAACACTTAGTTTGTGACTTATTACTACTTTAATGTAACGAAAATATAAAAAATCCTTGAATACATTTTAAATCAATTAAGTCTATAGAAGAAAAGGATTTAATAATTTATGCTGATTGGTTCAATAAGATTAATCAGACTACGTTGCAGTACAAATTACATTTTCAAATAAAGATTGTTTGAACTTCATCATCTAAATGTCTAACGTATTAGATTTTTCATTGTAGCTATGTCATTTATTAGTGTGAAATGAAATAAGACAGTTCATGTAGTATAAGGTATCTCTACATAGAATCTATCCACTTAATCACTTCTAATAGTTGAATTCATTAATGGATACAAGATAGACCATCATTGAAAACTTGGAACCACTGAACGACCCAGCTCAATGGTCTAGTGGTTAAGCATTCACTCGTGAGACTGAAGGTTTCGAGTTCAAGTCATGTGTACGGGATCGTGGATGAGCACTACTGAGGAAGTCCCATACTTAGACGAAACGGTTATCTGGTACTTCCAGATATTCAATAGTGGTCTAATTTATATCGATTCATAAATTTAACTATTAAAAATTACTACAATCTCTACAAAACCCTATTCTGATCTTATTTATTTTCTATAATTAAGCATTCAATATAATCAATACAATTATATCTTTGTAATTATCAATTTAATTTTTACATACTTTAGACAGAGGAAATGACACGATTACGTTCTACTAATCAAGAACAAGTAACACGTATTGGACATTTAGAAATGAAACTTGATGAGAAAGGACATCAATTAAAAAGTCAAACAAGTGAAATTGTACGTTTATCTTTTGAAAAAAAAAAAAATCATATTTATTTTACAATTGTATGATACATGAGGATTTTCATTAAAGAACTATTGTGAAATAGAAAACACTGTACAATTGTTTCTTCCTAATTATAGTAGTGTTCATCAACTATAACAGATCATGGATTTAGAAATTCATAATCTTAAGGCTTCTAAGTAATCGATTAATTGAGTTAACATTCAATGATTTGCAGGGCAACGCTAACCCGTTGTGGCAACACTTCAGGGATATCGTGACACTTTTTTTTGCGCTATTTTTTCATTTCTACTTTGTGTACAGCCAAAATTTAAAATTATTTTTTAAAAAAAATATTAAAGTTATGTGGAGACTCATGTCTCTACTCATTTGAAGCTGTACACTGTCAATCGCTGATTTCAGTTATAATATTGCCTAAATCTCACTCTTGCTTTACTTAGAGCTTCCATCATTTAGTATCATCACTAGATATTCATCTGTCTTGTAATTATATGATATTATGCTACACTATATGAAGGGTGTAACTATTCCAGAGAGAAATGGTGATATCCAATATTGTTTCAAATGTTGAAGTTCTTCTTTTTAGAATTTATCTTCTTATCATTTGGAATATAATAATATTATATCAAATCCTGCGTAAAAGAAGAGACTGTTGGATTCGCATAAATAACCTGCTTGTAGTTCATGAGAATCAAGGCTTTTTAGTTATAAATAAGTATCCTGAGTTACTTATAAACTGCACAACCCCATGGATTAACTGTTTAACTCTACAAATGCAGTTGTTCTACAATTGTCCACACTATGTTAACTGAAAACTGAAAAATATGTTTCATTTTGTCCATCGACTCGATTGTTCAACAAACGGTTTAATATGCATTGCTTATGATTTCTAATATTACTGTTAAAACACTTCAACTCATAAATCTTAATTAGTGTATGATCAAAACATTTTTTAATAGAAGGTTAAACATAACAGACGACACTTAATCAATTGAAAACGTTTTAGCAATATTGATTGTCTATCTATTTTTTGATGAAATCGATCATGTACAACACTTTGAATGTATAATTTCTATGAGTGGACATTTTAGTTGAGTTTCAAATGATAATAAAATGGTTGCTCAGTTGTTACGATCAATGCTTCTTCTTTAATGGATTTTTATCAGATAAGGTAATTTAATAGTTTAATTCATGAATCAATTGATGCTAAACTACCATGGAAAACCTGAAAGCACTGGATGGCCATTTTGTCCTATTGTGGGATTCATCAACAGTGCGCATCCACGATCCCACTTTACGAAATTCGAACTCAGAACCTATCAGTCTCGAGCGCGAGTGCTTAACCTCTAGACCACTGGGCTGGCTGGCATACAACTGTGTTAATGTCTAACTTTAAGTCCGTTAGAAAGATTTATTTACATTCTATACTTACAAGTTATCTTTATAAATCTACCTAACAAAGTATTGAAATCGCTCTCATTCGAATCAGTTCAGTTTATTTTAAATGATTGGATTTATGATTGTGATTAGTAGATCAAGTTTGTTTTCAAAATCTACCAAGAACAAACAATATTTGAAAGAACAGTTGTTTTTGATAATTCCTTCATGATAGTCTACTTATATATGTGGAGGGGACGTTAGATTCCCAGAACTCACTTGAGAAAGGAAGTAATTTTGTAATATTACTTAGAAAATTCGAATTTCTTTGTTTTTGTACCAAAGGTGCTCTTTTCACCTTCATATTATATTTCCCACTGAAGACAATGGTGTATAGTGGCGCAACTTCGTGGATCGGTTGAAGTTAGATATTAACACCGTTGGATTCCGACCAGCTCAGTAGTCTAGTTGGTTAGGCGCCTGGTGCGAGACTGACAAGTCCTGGGTTTGAATCTCGTGGGGAGAGGGATTGTGGGTGTTCACTACTGAGGAGTCCCATACTACGACAAAACGGCCGTCCAGTGCCTCCAGGTTTTCCATGGTGGTTTAGCTTTAACTGACTTATGATTTCATCCAGTGAAGGATCTTAGATGTTGTTGGTCCGTTGTGTTTCAGTACACTATATGGTAACTCTCCCCAAGGACGGTTTTGTGCTGTATATATACGTTTTGATTTGTGTCTGTTGTTATTGCTCGTTTCTGGCTATTTGCGGAATAGACTTCCCCATTCCAAGCTTGGATTTCTTCCTCTAGTTATCGGGGCTGGGTAGCTTGTTAGTCTTTGGCCACCGAGTCTTTGTTTCCGTTCTCAGTCTAAGTGAATTTGTAATCGCTTCAAACTTAGCAATATGTTTCTAATTATTACATTAGACTAGACAAAATATCAAACTAATTCAACTAACTAATGTGAGATGAACTGAAAATAATGAATTTCAAGTTGTATAATAATGTACTGGCAGGATTGAACTAAAGATTAGACGTCCTTATTGTTGAGCCAAACTGAACAAATTGTGTTTTTATGCATTGATAGATGCTTACGTGATTGACTTTACAATGATTTATTTATCCGACATTTGGATTTTAGTTCTATAGTGAACAGAACACCAGTAGGGAACAATCGAACATGTTAATAAAATCTAACAACCATATTGTAAATGCTCAATTCACAAAATGACCATCAATTATCTCAAAATGGCTCAGACTTCATTGTTCTTGTATTTTCATACAAATTGCATTCTGTTTCCATGATTTACTGTTCGATCCTCGTGTCTCTCTGCTACCAGACATTCTGTTCATAACTAATATTATATACTACTTATGTCAATAAAAGTAGCACACCTCAGTTCTAACATTCATATGTATACTTTCACATTTTATCTAATTCAGTACAATAACTATGAATTTATAAATGTAAGGCCTGAATAAGTTATGTATATGTATATATATATATATTGTTTGGAAATCTTTTGTTTTATGTAAAGCGTTGTCAAGCTGATGAAATTACTCGTCTACAGTCTACAATTGAAGAAACCAATAATCGATTATCAGTTAATCAGAAACGTGCAGAAGAACGTGAAATGAGATTAAGAAAACTTGAAAATGAAAATGTAAGTCTATTGATTCATTATGATTGATTTTATATGGTTTTAAACTTTATTCTCTAGTAATTGATTTTACTTTTTTATTATGTACATCAATTCACAACTTATTCAGTCTGAAACTATAAGATTTGTTTCTATAGCATTATTAGTGATGTTGAAGGCAACAGATTATGTATTTACGTGTTGTTACAAACCTTCACATACATAGTCTTTCAAGCAAACGTGATTAAGTACACATTAGTGACTAGTTTGGAGATATCTTAATGAGATTCTACTGAAATATCATGATTAGTAGTAAGTAGAGTTCATTTATTCACGAAAGAGATCACATGATGTCTCATTATATGGAAAATAGTTTACTACAGCTATTTAGTGTTGATTTATTCTTTAATTATTTTACAATGTTTATCTGACATAAATTCATTCTTTTGTACCCCAATTAACATAAACATTCATTTTCACAATTGATTGATCACTGGGTGGTGATCAATGTCATGTGTGTCAAGTCCTTATTAGTGCAGATATAATGCTATCGAGCAAGTTGCAAGGTGACCATCTAATCTCAATATAGTGCACGCAGTATCGAGTTACCTAGACTGGTGGCCACATTTCAACGCGGTCGATAGCATTCGATCTGCACTAATAAAGACTTGATATACATGACATTGATCACCATCCAGTGATCAATCAATTGTGATTACATCTCAGTCCTACAGGAGGTTGATCGCAGTCCGGATAGCTCAGTGGTAACGTCTCTGACTGTGAAGCTGGGTGACACGGGGTCGAATCCATCAGGGAGTATCAGTTCCCTCAAGATTACAGGTACACCTTGCTGATGAGTGCCAAGTAGCACGAAACCCGGATCCAGGGTTTCTTGTCAACTACGTCCAACCACCATCTAATAACACATTCTTTTTATTAAGTTCATTTACGATGAGTTCACTTACAACAATAATGCTAAAGACACATTCATTTAACCAACAAAATCCAACCATGATATTGACACTCACAGACTCAAGTAACTTATTCCTGGATCTCATCACCTCCATAAGAACACGAGCAAGGATACCTTACTTATTCTGTATTTTTTTTAGAATTCAAAGGATACAATCGATCACAAGGAACCATAAATTAGAAATCATAATCTGTACATAAGTAAATTACTTGTGTTACTATACTGAGTAGCTCATAATTAATTAACTCTATAATCTATGGCTAACAATAAAATATGTATACCCATAGCTAATGAGTTAAATAATTAATGAATCCATAATATAATCATTTATAATAGTAATCCAAATACCGCTTTCTCATTCATTTATTCATTCACATAGAACAATATTAATCCATGAAGGAAATTAATCATGAATTGTTTATGGATTCACCGAACAGAATGTATGGTAATAAGGTATATAATAACAAATGAGAAATATCACATTGAATCATTAAAAGTACAGTTAATTATTAAAATATTCTCAGTATAGGGGTTGTGGAGATTATTAAGTTCTTGATTAAGATCATGAACCGATTGATGTTAGATCACCAATGAAATCCTGGGGGCACTGGACGGCCGTTTCGTACTATTGTGGGACTCCTCAGCAGTGCACATCCATGATTCCTTTTGTGGGATTCGAACCCAGGGCCTTCGGTATTACGCGCGAACGCTTAACCTACTGGACCGCTGAGTTGTCATTCAATAGTGTTAGACACTAACACCAAATAAAATATCCTCTATATTTCATCGGTTTACAATTAGTTAGAATGACAAATTAGGACTCATAAGTTTAATGTAAAATTTATTAGTAAAATAAGTTATAATAAGGAAGTAATCAATTGTAATCTTTGATCATAACTAAACATGAGATTGTACATTGTATATTCTTCATTAATTATTTATAAGATATCGCAAACTCTAATAGAGTTTTGTTCTGTGAACTGGATGGTTCCGTCGTGGAGATTTCATCATTCTTCTGAACGACATCATCAACACAAACTTCAAGTAGAAGTGAAGTGTTCGAATTTTCTACATATGCGTTTCACAGCTTGTCCTGTACACAACTGTCAACCAATATCAAGGTCAAAATTTTCAGTACAAATGTAGAGACAGTTCTATTGTATGGGGTGGAAGCTTGGATAACAACGAAAGCCATCATGCAGAAGATACAAGTGTTTATTAACAGTTGTCTACGGAAAATACTTTGAATCCGTTGGTCAGATACTATCAGCAACAACCTACTATGAGAAAGAACAAAGCAGACCTTAGTGGAGGTAGAAATCAGGAAGAATCGTTGGAAGTGGATAGAACACACATTGAGGAAAGCACTGAACCGTATCACAAGGCAAGTCAAGTCCTCACTTGGAATCTTCAAGGTCAAAGGAGAAGTGCAAGATCAAACAACAAATTACGTTAAGAAATGAGGACAGATGTGAGAAGAATGAACAACAATTGGATGGAACTAGATCTATGCTCCATTGGAGGTCACAGGCGTACGTAAGTATGTAAATACTGTCTGAACAAAAAGATGTGAGGTTGACTGGATTCAGTTCTATATCGATTGAAAGTTGAATGTTTTAACCATCATTTAAAACTATTCTACTATTCTACAAGTTTTCTTGTTATTGTATATAATTGATTAGGATAGAAGAAAAAGATCAGGTTGTATAGAACAAAATTGTAAAAAGTATTTTTATAAACTAGTCAATGTTTTTTCTTTCCATTTTGTTAAAGCATGATTTATTAGATGAAATTCATGGTCTACGTAAAGGTAATACAGAATTGGAGAGTCAAATAGATAGTTTAAGACAACGTTTATTGGATAGACAAGAATCAACAGAATCTGTTACTGGAGTACCATTAACATCTACTAGAATATATCAAGTAAGTAATATTATTATCACAAGGGGTTTTGTGGAGATTGTAGTAATTTCAATCATTAAGATCATGCGTCAGTTGAAGCTAGACCACCTTGGAAAACCTGAAAGCACTGGACGGCCGTTTCGTCCTATTATGGGACTCCTCAGCAGTGCGCATCCACAACCTCGCCCCCTATGAGATTCGAATCCAGGATCTACTGGTTTCGCGCGCGAGCACTTAACCATTAGGCCACTGAGCCGTTATCCAACGGTGTTCATGTCTAACTTCAACTAATCCACAAAATTGAGCGACACATCCACTATTGTCTTCAGTGAGTTTCTATCCCACAACAGACCTGATTAAACTCCACTGGTCACTAATTCTCACTAGAACTCCAGGATATACCTCTTGAAGCCAGTCACTAGTGAGCATATGTTGATTATTATCAGAAGGGGTTTTGTGGAGATTGTAGTAATTTCAATCATTAAGATCATGCGTCAGTTGAAGCTAGGCGGCCGTCCAGTGCTTCCAGATTTTCCATGGTGGTCTAGCTTCAACTGACTCATGATCTTAATGATTGAAATTAAGTAATATTAGTTGTGAATCATTTAAATCTTGTTTTTGTTTTGTCTTGATCATATGTATTAAAATTGTAGTAAATAATTATTTGAAATACAGTGATCATTCACCGATTAAAACTCTGGTCAGGATCAAATCATATATTTTAATTTGATACAGAATAGTTGAACTTGTCGAAGAGCTTCCATAGCTTATTGATATGAAGAACTACAATTGATCCGACTCTATTAGCAGATATCCATCCTAAGTGCATTATCTAGATCTTATAATTTTGTCACAAGTTTTTATTAAAGTTAAATAGTTGGTAGTAGTGGAATTCAGGATGCACATTTCGTCTTGGTTGACATTTCACAGCTTCATGTACCTAGATCTTAGTGTTGATATTACCATTGAGACCTAAACCTAGTACATTTTACTTCAAATTTCAATATTTTATTTGCTGACCTACAGAGTCTAGGTAGTCACCGGTTGATTTGATAGATATAAGCACGTTATAGCTTGAAGCGACTAGTACTGAGTTTGATTTTAAATGTAAATTACAACAATCGGATACTGTCATATCCATCTGACAAGTTCTAAGGTGGACAAAATGCTCGTGATAAATTCCATTGGTAATTTAAATTAAATCTATGTTATTGTTACTGCTTTTGTTTAGGTCTATTATGTTTACGTTGCTAACGGATATAAGAGTAGCAGATGTCTATTATTTATTTATTTGTTGTTATTTACTGTCAATATTCTAGATAATTGACTTCAATCTTATCTACTAATATTATTTAAACATAACACTAACTCTGATGTGTTTAAATGATTTAGCGAGTTAGTTTTTTACAGGATGGGGTCACAAACCCCATGCCCAACCCTCGTGCATGGGACCGGCAGTAACTCTAGAAGAGCTACAAACGTAGTTAACTCTGATCTGTACTCAAGCAATTTAAAAGTTCTTTGGTAAATTAGGAATTTTTTTTCAAACTTTCTTAGATTCTTTTTAATCACAAAGTCCACTAACTACTGTGAGCATCTTAGTTGTACAAGAAAGTAATTGAGACCCTAAATGCTCTTTGGAAATATCTCAATCTGTTATATTTGTTTAAGCGGGTTTGAACATCAATGGAAGTCATTTATTCCTTCAGAGTGGTATTTATCCCTTGCTTATTAATGCTAACTAGCATCGGACCTAAAAAAATATATCTTATCGCTTGAAAAATAATTCTTTACATTATTCAGGCTATCTGGCTGTGTAACCGAAAGTAACTGAAGTACTGGATTAGAGTAAGCTACTTTAAAACTTCAAACTTCATTCTACTGTTTACAAAACTTAACTACGTACTCTATGTCTTTAGTTATAACGTGGTGAATCTTATCAACATTGAACAATTTGTTATCAGAAGGGGTTATGTGGAGATTGTAGTAATTTCAATAAAAATAATCAACATATGCTCACTAGTGACTGGCTTCAAAAGGTATATCCTGGAGTTCTAGTGAGAAGTAGTGACCAGTGGAGTTTAATCAGGTCTGTTGTGGGATAGTAACTCACTGAAGACAATAGTGGATGTGTCGCTCAGTTTCGTGGATTAGTTGGAGTTAGACATGAACACCGTTGGATGCCGGCTCAGTGGTCTAATTGTTAAGCGCTCACGCGCAAGACTGATAGATCCTGGGTCGGAATCTTGCAAGGCGGGATCATGGATGCGCACTGCTGAGGAGTCCTAAACTAAGACGAAATGGCTGTCCAGTGCTTCCAGATTTCCCATGGTGATGATCTAGCTTCAACTGACTCATGATCTTAATCATTGAAATTGAACAATTCGCTTCATCATTAAATATGTTTTCAAATCATTCATCTTCTTTTTCTTTTATACTTAATATTAGCCAAGTATAGGATTATCTACAACTTCTACTCAAGAATTAGACAGATTACGTAAACAGTATACTGAAATGAAAATATCTTGTGAACAAGCACAAAAATCATTTGAAGAAACTCAAATACAAGTGAGTTTAAATTGAACTTCTTTCTTTTTCATTTGTTTATTCATTTATAAAAGAAAAGGTCAGTGATTTCATCAGAACAGATTAAGTTTGTTTTTTTACTTATGTAAATCACCAGCATAGATGATCTATGTCGAATGATTGGAGGCCCTATTAAAGTAAGACAGGAATGGTGTGACGAACCAGCTAACGTTGAAGTCACACCTCGCGGTCAGCACCTTATTTGGGTTGTACCATCGACGTATCGAAGTACTATAGATGCTTTGAAAACTGTACGACACAAAGGACATTATTTCAGAAATATATTAGTTAAAGTAGATAAAAACGAAAGTAAGACCACCGCCGCATGAGCCAGTCTATGGTATACGATTAACTGATTCGCGTTGTTTATACTTGATCTTGACGAGGACCTATGATTTGTTCGATATTTAGTGACCCAACTGCCAAATGATTTAGCTAGGGGTCAGTGACATTTCACTAGCCCTACACTACTGATAAACATATAAGTAGTAAAGTATCAGTTTAAAATATCAGTTTAAATTGTTAATCATATAATAAAGATTTTATAAGTGATTAAACAAACTAATCTGTTATTACGCGCAATTAATTATACAATTCGACCTATAAAAAAGTGATCACAGTTATTACATTTTGACGTGGTGGTTTCCAGCCGAAAAGATATTGATATAGCAGCAGTCTCTGCATCAATAGGCCTAAACATACACAAGAGGAAAACCAAGGTCCTAAAATACAACACGGAGAACAGCAATCCAATCACTTTTGGGTGGAAAAACTCTGGAAGATGTAGAATACTTTACGCACCTGGGAAGCATCAGCGGTGAACAAGGAGGGTCAGATGCAGACGTAAAGTCAAGGATTGGCAAAGCAAAGGCCGCATTCCTACAATTGAAGAACATATGGAACTCAAAACAACTGTCTGTCAACCAATATCAAAGTTAGAATCTTCAATACGAACGTCAAGACAGTTACACTGTACAAAGCTAAAACCTGGAGACCTACTACAACCATCATCAAGAAGGTACAAGTATTTATAAATAGTTATCTACACAAGATACTCAACATCCATTGACCGGATACCATCAGTAACAGTCTACTGTGGGAGAGAACAAACCAGCTTCCAAATGAAGAGAAAATTAGGAAAAGACGATGGAAATGAATAAGACATACATTACGTAAATCACCAAACTGCATCACGAGACAAACCCTAACTTGGAATGCTGAAGGGAAGCAGAAAAGCGGAAGGCCAAAGAACACATTACGTCGGGAAATAGAAACAGAAATGAAAAGGATGAATATGAACTGGAAATTACTGGAAAGGATTGTCCAAAACAGGGTTGGATGGTGTGTGCTGATGAGTGGCCTGCGCTCCTTCACGAGGAGTAACAGGCGTAAGTAAGTAAGTAAGTGGATGATGAATCGGATAATAGATTATGGAAAATACCATTGAAGATAACTTCATTAAGAGCTGATATCAATTATTGTAACAGTGAAAATCGAGAAAAATTGTAAAACATTTCTCTCTCTTTTCAAGTTTCTTGACAGAAAATACTCATAGCCTCAGAAATTAATATAGAAATAAACCTGGTACTTCAGTTTCTTGTGGAGTTAGCAATTAGTTACTGAAACATAAATGAATAGCAAAACTTTACCAATTCTATTCTGTATTAGGATCTTATTTGTGTTCAACATTGTGTACTACTGAGTTTTGTTATTCCATAATAGAAAACTCATTTCAGTACACTTTTAGTCTGATGATCTTCCAGATACTCTTGATTAAAGCTAAGTTTATGGCAAACAAAGGGCTAGACGATGATCGATTTGAATCAACTAAGCAATCGATTGTTATAAATTATCTTGTTAGTTGCTTTCCAATATGCTTACAATGAAATGGTCTCTACCGTTTAGATCATTCTTCTCCGTGCAAATAAGCAATATTACGATACATTTTAAAGTTACTCTTTATTGAACTAAACTATCCAACACTTGAAGGATATTTTCTGCACTGGGATACATCAGATTTAAAAAGTAGAAACTACTGAATTAATCTTTTATCAAATTGAAATACCTTAAAATGATTTTTCAATGTTCTATCCAAAAGTAATGGCATGTATGTTTTAAATATGTTCAAAGTGAGAAAATAATCTTATCAACCATTGAACATCTGCTTAGTAACTAGATAGTACACTGAAAAGAAAAGATCCTCAGTTTGAACGTGTGTGATCGTTTTATTATATACTGTCAAAATTTTTCAAAATTAAATACAACAATCACTCAATGTAAGCAGAGATGATGGTAGCTAGCAATGGAATTTCAGGACGCTGGATGTACCAGCATTCCAGAATTGATCTTCGCTCCGGGAATAGAACACAGTACTGTTCGCTTCCAAAGCTATCGTGATATTCACTTAGCGACTAAGTGACTTAAGACACTATCGAAGCAGTTCACGTAGGATGTACATATGCCAACAAGAGACTGATCAATTGCGGACCTAAACATCAATGGGAAGGCTAAGAAAACAATATTAATTGAATTTAAACTTCATCGCATCACAAAAGCAAGTAACTATCAGAACTCAGTAGCTAAATGAATAACGCGATGGCATTTGAAGTGAATGATACTGGGTTCGAGTCCCATAGTAAACATCAACTCCGAGATGCAGGTGTATCCAGCTGATGATTCCGAAATAGGACGAAACGAGCGTCCTACATTCTACTATTAACCATTACTTAGAATGCTTGTGAATTAGGCAATATTGAGACAATACGCACAGCTTGTACATATGCTCATAAGTGACTGATCAATTCTGGTCCTAAATATGAATGGTAAGATTCAAACAAACAATACAAAAATGAACAACAATTTAGTGTTAGAAGAGGTTTCGTGAAGATTTTTTAATAATTTTATAGTTAAATTCATAAGTCAATTGAAACTAGATCACTATGGAAAACTTGGAAGCATTAGACGGGAGCATGGATGAGCACTGATGAGGAGTCCCATACTAGGATGAAACAACTGTTCTGTGCTTTCAGATTTTCCATGATGATCTAACTTTAATGGACTCATGAATCCAACTAGGATATTATTTAATAGTTGTTATCTATGTATATATTACTTAATTCTCTAAAAAAATATATATAATTATTAGTATGATCAAATGAAAATTCAATATGATCATTTACAAGTACAATATGAACAAGAAAATGAAAAATGTAAAAAATTAGAAGAACAATTACGAAATAAAATCAATGAATTCAATGAACAAATTTCTGATTCGGTAAATATTTTTCTTTCTTTTTCTTTTTCTTTTTTTTCTGTTTCTTTCTTTCTTTCTCTTTTAATTCTTATTGATTATTATATGTTGATTACTTTTTAAATGATTAAATCAAGTGTGAAAAAGTAAATAAAACTTGATCAAATTTAGATGGTGGTTGGAGATAGTCGACAGGAAACCCTGGATCTGGGTTTCGTGCGACTTGGCACTCGTCAGCAAGGTGTACCTGTAATCTTCAGGGAACTAGTGTTCTCTGATGGATTCGATCCCGTGTCAGCCGACTTCACAGTCAGAGACGTTACCACTGGTCTATGTGGGCCGCGACCAACCTCCTGTAGGACTGAGATGTAATCACACTTGATTGATCACTTGGTGGTGATGAATGTCATGCGTGTCTAGTCCTTATTATTAGTGCAGATCGAATGCTATTGAGGTTGGTCGAGGCCCGGATAGACCAGTGGTAACATCTCTGACTGTGAAGCTGGGTGACACGGGATCGAATCGGTCACGGAACAGTAGTCCCCTGAAGATTACAGGTACACCTTGCTGATGAGTGCCAAGTAGCACGATACCCAGATCCAGGGTTTCCTGTCGACTACCTCCAACCACCATCTAATCTCACAATAGTGCCCGCAGTGTCAAGTCACCTAGACTGGTGGCCATATTGCAACATGGTCGATAGCATTCGATCAGCACTAATAATAAGGACTAGACAGGCATGACATCGGTTATGGAGATATAAATTTCTTCTGAGCAACATCTGGATGTTGTTCAGATTTCCTTATTTTTCTTTGGGTTCAGATAGAAGTGAAGTATTTGAATTTCTTCATATATGGTTCATTGTTTGGCTAAAGGATGAAATAATAAAAAAAGACAAAATACTATACTAGACAAAGCAGATGATCTCTTCATCTTTGCCTTCATGAACATCAATTAGCAGTTAAATGCCATGACAAATGCGGACACATATTTGACTGGAAAAGTGGGGAAATTTTGGATAGAAACAACTTCAAAAACATCAGAGAATTTTTAGAAGCTTTGATACTCAGGTCAATTAGCCATCAATAAGCACATGAAAATCGATTCAATTTATCAATCAATCATGAAAATGGTGCACAAACATAGGAATGAAAATCAAACCAATTGGAAATACAACCTAAACAAAGAAGTATACAATGATAGGTTTAAGGTCAACAAGAACTAATGAACATCGTGGTGTACATGATAAGCTGTGAACCACATTGAATTTTGTGTTGATGATGTCGTTCAGGAGAACAATGAAATCTCCACGACTGAACCATCCAGCTCAGAAAACAAAACTCCATCAAAATCATCCACCTGAGCTACAAATTTTCTCTACCATCTCAAATAACCATCTTGTATGATTTAAAAATAAATATTATTAAAATTCTGATTAAGATTAGACAAAATAATGAATTTTCGAGTTCAAGACCGAAAGTCCTGGGTTCAAGTTCCGCGTACGTCATCGTGAATCTGCACTCCTGAGAAATTCTGTGCTAGAACATTGATCGGTTCATTATCTTAAATAGAACTCAATAATCTCCACTACTCTATACACAGAAACAAAGATAATGTTGTAATTATTATTGATACTATGATTTCATCTTTAGTTTGATTAATTCTTGTAGTGGTTAGTAGACATTTGTAATTTTTTGTAGTATACATTTTATGATTCACAACCTATTCAATGTTGTTTGTATGGTTTCTTGAAGTTGTTTTCCTACATTTTTATATCTTTGGTACAATAAAACAATCCATATTCCAACTATTTATTTAAGTAAAGTACATTCTAATGAACTAATAATGAATTACACTTCACATGGGGTTTACACTAACACCACAGAAGACATATAAGGTCGTTCGAAGTAATCATTATAGATGTACAAACGCTTTCAAGGAAGTATATATTTTAGTCATATAAATAAGTTTGTATACTCAATGTTTTCAGATCCTACAGTGTATAAACGGATTCCCAATTGAGGAAAGTTCATTGATTACACTAAAACTACATGTTTATTGTAAATTTTGTACTTTTGAATCCTAAATTCTATAAAGTTGAACTATAATACCAAGCCTTAGTCATGTTTGTAGATGCAGATTACTTGGTTGGGGTCCGCGTAACTATCGTAATCAATGGTTGAATACTCTGGGCGACATGGTTCAGAATCGATCACAATAGCGTAGGTGTATACACTTTGTCTTCCCTTAAACTATGAGTCAAGGTGGTACATCATATCAAGTTACATAACATGACTATGAGATTAAAATCACTTCATATCTTTCTTTCTACGAACTAATTCTTTCTTCCTGTACTATATCCTTATATGCAATCTTTTATATATTACCACCAATGACTTAACTACTCCTATGAATCCGGTGTTTATCTTGTTGTACTAATGCCGTATGGCAACTTGAACCGATGCATAAATGTACCTGGTCCTACGTTGTAGCTGATTGACTGACTGACTGATAATAGCGAGCCAACCACAAACATACAAACTATTTCAAGGTTACAGCATATCCTTGTCTAACAGAACAGTATGTCCCCTACAAATGATGAAACAATGTAAGAGTTTAATCTAAGGTTCTCATCACGAAATCGCACTAGTCATCATACAAGAATACTTTGTAGCTATATGGAGCAATGTATCAAACAAAAATTCGAAAAGCTAACTTTAATTCCCATCACAAATCAATTATCCATTTATACTGTTGGTTGAACGGGTTAAAACTTGTCAGGGTTACCTAGAGTCACTTAAGCCGACCTTCGTAGTTCAGCTTCACTATGCATTCTTCCATACGTGAACACCGATTACTGATTGATTGAAACGATGTTCGTCATCACAATGTACTTTAGACGTTAAACTTCATCAAATCTTGGACGATAAACTTCAATAATGGCTACATTTAAATCTCAATATAATATTTATACTGATTTTATCTAATTGTATATTTTTAAGTTTATATTTCATTGATCTTTAGCGTACTTCAACACAACCTACTCATCAGTTGACGTTAAAAATTGATGAACTTCAGAAAGAACTGGAACGTAAGGAAGCTCAGGTGAATGTTTATTAATTTGTATTTTTGTTTGTTTAAAGTATTTTTCATTTGTTGTAATCGCTTTTTTGTGAAGCACCTCAATGGATACTGACTCGATGAAATACCTAAAAATACCTCCAAATGTATGGTGCAAAGACGGAGTTGATGAAAAGCCCCTTGAGTAATCAAGTTCTACATTGATTTCATCAATGACTTTCAAATCAGTTCCGTTTTCCCGTCACTTTTGATAAATTAGTTGTCAATTTTCTTTATTCTGGCAACAATCTACTTGGGAGAGAACAAACCAGATTGTAGCGGAGGAAGAAATCAGGAAGAAACGCTGCAAGCGGAACGGACAAACATTGAGGAAAGCACACAACTGCGTCACAAGGCAAGCCCTAACATAGAATCCTCAAGGCGTGAGGAGAAGTGGAAGACCAAAGAACAAATTACGCCGAGAAATGGAGACAAATGCGAAAAGAAAGATGAACAAGAATTGGATGGAACTAGAAAGGAAGGCTGAGGACAGATTATGTTTAAGAATGCTGGTCGGCGACCTATTCTCCATTGGAGGTTACAGGCGTATTTAACTAACTAACTAATGAGCCCGTGTTTTATTTTACTTGACACTCATCAGTAGGGTGTATGTGAAATCTTGAACATACTAATGTATCATCACAGATGATTGGAACAAATGTTACTATTTCGGTCAAGTATTTTCCCATTTATATATTGTAAACAATCAAATAAGTGATAATTAAAAGAAATATAATAATATTATCATTATTTAATATGTTTATGCTGTAACTGACATGTGACCTCATAGCGTTTCAATCATAAGGATATGTTCTTATACATGTGGATAATTACATAGAAACTATAGTGTTAACCCTTTCGTTCATCGATTTAAATGAAACCGTTCAAAAGAAACTTATCTGAATTAAAGAAGCATTATCTGTAATGATGTTAATCTCAAAAATACTGATTCTTATGTAAAAGAATCCTAATAGAAGTTCTAACAACAGATAGATTTGAAATGGACAACTTTTGATAATCAGTTGAAACATTTCTATTGACTGTAATACAACTAGTCAATAAGGTTCGTTGCTTTAAATTGTCATATTAGTAAGTGATAGACAATTTAATTGGTACTAGTATTAAAAAAGTGGAAAAATATCCCAATTGGCAAATATCTTTTGCTTAGAAGTATTATGCTAAGAAGAAACAGCTTTTTAGGTTTTACTGCTTTTCATTGGTGGACGATCTAGACGTCGCAGATGATCTGGCTCTTCTATCACACATGCGACAACAGATGCCGGAGAAGACGACCAGTGTAACAGCAGCTTCAATATACACAAACGGAAAAGCAAGATTCTCCGATACAACACAGCATGCATCAATCGAATCACACTTGACGGAGGATGTAAAAATCTATATATATTTGGGCAGCATCATTGATGAACACGGTGGATCTGATGCAGATGTGAAGACGCGGATCGAAAAAGCAAGAGCAGTATATTTACAACTGAAGAACATGTGGAACTCAAAACAACTTTCAACCAACACAAAGGTCAGAATTTTCAATAAAAATGTAGAGACATTTCTACTGTATGGGGTGGAAACTTGAACAACTACAAAAGCCATCATTCACAAGATACAAGTGTTAATTAACAGTTGTCTACACAAAATACTTCAGATCCGTTTTCCAGACACTATTAGCAACAACCTACTATGGGAGAGAACAAACCAGATCCCAGCGGAGGAAGAAATCAGGAAGAAGCGACGGAAAAGGATAGGACACACATTAAGGAAAGCACACAACTGCGTCACAAGGTGAGTCCTAACATAGAATCCTCAAGGCGTGAGGAGAAGTGGAAGATCAAAGAACAAATTACGCCGAGAAATGGAGACAAATGTGAAAAGAAAAATGAACAATAATTGGACAGAACTAGAAAGGAAGGCTGAGAACAGAGTGGATTGAGGAATACTGGTCAGCGGCCTATGCTCCTCTAGGAGTAACAGCCGTAAGTAAGCCTTTCATCGGTACTCAAAATGAAATCATTCCTCAACAAATATAACTTATAAATGGAAATGTATCATAAGTATTTAATAAGATGCTCAAATGTATTATAATTCTCTTGAAATTCTTTTATTCATAGATTACATGTTTGAATAAACAGATAGATCGTCAATATACATCTTTATCAACTACACCAGATGCACGTCATACTGATTCCACTAATCAACAATTATTAATAGCTGATTTACAAGTTCGTCTTCGTCAAGCTATTGAAGATCGTGATATTGCACGTGAACAATTGACAACTAATTTAACTAGAGCTGAAACGTCTACATTGGATATACAACAACAATATATGTTGGATAAAGTAAGCATCGCTATATATGTTGGTACATTTATGAAATAGAAATTTACTTCTTGATGGAGTTTTGTTCTCTGAGCTGGATGGTTTGGTCGTGGAGCTTTCTTCATCAGCTGATGATGTCGCTCAGAAGAACGATGAAAGCTCCACGACTAAGCCATCCAGCCTAGAGAACAAAACTCCATCATAATCATCCACCTGAGCTATAAATCTTCTCCACCATCTCAGAAATTTACTTCGGTAAACTTTCAAGGTTATTTTACAGCAACAACTGAACATATAAATTGGTCTTTCGCTTACATTTATTAAGTTCGTCGAAGGCATTTTGTTGAGGTTTACTTAATTTGTGAGTTATATTCATCATATACTGAATTTGGTTGAGATTACCGGGAGCACATTGGACAATCATTTCATCCTTTTTCTGTGACCTTTTGTCAATGGACATCTATGACCCCTTAAGTATAAAAATCAAAACAAACTGTAATGTATAGTAAGAAGTCATGACTGATGAAATTCACATATGTCAAGAATAAAACAGTTGTAATCGATAAAATTGAACAATTATTAACCAAACTGGTTGAATTTAAAACTATGGTAATGGCTTTGTTATATAAACAATCGCTACAATTGTTAAAAGTTTAGTTTTATTGGAAAATAGTTATCATCACAGGTTGATTTTAGCTGATTAGTCATAGATAAGGAGAGGATTATGATTAGCTATTTTATCCTAGTGGTACATAGATTAACAGTAAAGTACACTTGTGTTCACATAGAAAATCAGAACCAGAACTTTACATTCACATAATGTGTTGGGATGATCCAGAAAAGTTCTCGCAAAAGACAAGCAAGGATCAGGAAACATTAAGAAGCATTTTCATCCAATCAGAGTTCAGTTGGAGTTTAGCCAAAAAACATCAAGGATGTGAAACGTCACATGTAGAGGTTCTGATTGGTTGATTGTTATACCGCTACTATATTTAGTAGCATTCCAGAATCTTTGAGCAACCCAAGGACATTTAGAATATTATAAAAACCCTATGTTTTCTATATTAAATGAACCTTGGGGTAAAGTACTTTTCGCATATTTTGCGCCTTCTCTCTCGTATTTAGGTCGCTGTATAGTTCTAGCTTGAGGGTTTCAAGAATAGCTTAAGAATCGAGTATAACGTTCAAAATCGCAAGACTTATCATAATGAACCCCTGAAATTTCCTATCACTGTATTATGATTTCTTGATTCATATATGCAGTCATTTACTTCATGAACTAGTTATATTTGAGTCATTCGGTTTTAGTACAAAATGCTCAAAATTACACGACCTTAGTTAGACTGTAACACTACAGACTTGTTATTATTCTTCAGCTTTGGTGTAGAAAATACGGTGAGACTATAATTTATCGACGATCTTTGAGCGACGCTAGGTTGACCTTGAGAGTATCTACGTAATAACTAGAACTAAATGAAGGTTATAAACTTGTGTGAACCATTCGATTTATGATTTACAGTTGATAGTTAGGGTTAGGAATTACATTTAGGGATTTCATCACGAACTGAAATCATCTATCATGTCAAAACTGTATTTAGCCAAATGGATGAATGAATTTCGCACCAAATTCCGAGAACTGTTATCTTATACCTGATTAGTTCGTCCATAAATTATAGTTTCGCCGAAAATACCTTAACATGTTTCCTTATATGTATTTTAATATACTTCTTAAACTGGATGAATTAAGACGTTAATGTGTATCTACCGGCTGTATTTGTTTTCAAAATAGATTCTTTTGTCAGCTGTCATCAACTTGAGGTTCAGTGATGATAACAAGGAGAAATTATCGACCAGTTCTTCATATATTGTGACGAATAATACAAACTCATAGCAACATTGGATTATTTCATGAAACTTAAGACTTAAGAGTAAACATGGTGACATATAGTCACTGCCGGCATTATGCAACCTAATATAATGATTTCGATAAAATCGAGTTGATTAACTTAACTATGAAGCTATCTCTCTTACGATAGGTCAGAGATGGGTTCATTACTTGCTTACTTACTTACTTACGCCTGTTACCCCTCGTCGATGAGCATGGGCAGTCCACTAGCATTCTTCATCCAACCTTATCCCGGGCAATCCTTTCCAGTTGTTATTCATCCTTTTCATATCTGCTTCCATTATTCGAAGTAGTGTGCTATTTGGCCTTCCTTTTTTCCGTTTCCCTTCACGATTCCGAATTAGTGCTTGCCTCATGATACAGTTTAGTGATTAGATGGGTGAATTTCCTTATTTACCTTTTTTTTTCTAGCAAAATTTACAACAACAAATTACAAATTTAACACAATCCGTACAAAATGCTACAAATGAATCAGAACGTTATCAAAGAGAATTTAAACAAGCTAGTTCACGTGTTCAACAACTTAGTCGTCAATTACAAGAGACACAATCCAATTGTGATTCAATTGCTCGACAAAGAGATAGTTTAAGAGATCAATTAGATCAGGTAAAATCATCATTATTATTATTTCTCTTACATTACTTACATTATTATATAATCTCTTAGTTATCATGAAAGTGACGTTTAACTTGACAATATGCTAACAACTGCAGTCTCTTACTGGCATATGTACATGTTGTGTGGATTATCTCAATATTGTCTTGTATGACAAGCATTATAAGGATGCACACTCAGCTGACGAGTACCAGATAGGATGAAACGTGCTTCCTGGATTTCACTGCTAGCCACTATCCATTTCTATTTATAATGCTTGCGAAGTAAGGCAATATCAAGACAATACACATAGTATGAACATATGCCAATAAGGGACTGATCAATTGCAGTCCTAAACATCAATGAAAAGATTCAATTAAACAATACTAAGTTAATTTAAACTTCACTCCGTTGCACAAACAAGTGACTATCAGGACTTCGTAGCTAAGTGAATAACGAGATGGTGTTTGAAGCGAACAGTGCTGGATTGGAGTCCCAGAATGAACATGAACTCTGAGATGCCGGTACATCGAGCTGATGAGTCTGAGATAGGACGAAATGCTCATCCTGAATTCCACTGCTAACCACTATCCATCTTTGCTGATGGTACAACCTCTTGTCTAGTTAGATTTTCACCAATGATCCATATCTTTCGATAGTTATATGGATAATTAAAAAACTATAAAAATAATCAAGACAATTTATAAGTTACTTGGTAGTAGGATGATAAGTAGGTCAAGACTTAAGAAAATAAACTAGGGAGTGTGAGAAAAGGAAATAGGTGAAGAGAAATGTATGGAACGTAATAAGAATTTTTAAGCTTTATTTCTTATGATTAATTTTGTGATATTGTGGTGTGTGCTACTTATATGTACATGAGTAGTATATAGCGATGGTCAGGATTAGAATGTCTGGAAACAGAAGGTCGAGAAGAAAAGAACAGGAACAGAAATCAATTGATATAAAATTGCAAGAACAGTGAAGTCTGAGACGATTGACTGATTTTTACAAAAGGAACAGTCAAGTTTGAAACAATTGTTTGATTAGGTGGTGGTTGGATGTAGTCGACAGGAAAACCTGGATCCGGGTTTTGTGCTACTTGGCACTCGTCAGCAAGGTGTACCTGTAATCTTCAGGGAACTGGTACTCCCTGACGGATTCGTTCACGTGTCACCTCTCGTCACAGTCAGAGACGTTACCACTGAGTTATCCAGACAGCGACCAACCTCCTGTAGGACTGAGATGTAATCACAATTGATTGATCACTGGGTAGTGATGAATGTCATGTGTGTCAAGTCGAGTGTCGAGTCACCTAGGCTGGTGGCCACATCGCAACATTCTCTATAGCATTCGATCTGCACTAATAAGTACTTAACACACATGACATTGATCACCACTCAGTGATCAATCAATTGTAATCACAATTGATTGATATTTTGCAAATTAAGTATTCACTATATAGTTCTTAGATTTAGTAAGATGTTCTGTACATTCGACTGTCCCCAGTTATGTTCTCGTTTAATTTTCAGTATTGAAATTATTCTTATTAAAACAAATTGATTAATATCATTATATTATTTAATTTAGTTAAAACGTAGTATGGGACGAACTAGTTCAAGTACAGTAACAAATATATTTGGAATAACTAGTTCAACTGGTGGTATGCGTCCAGCATCTGCTGGTCCAGGAAGTTATGATAATATTCCATTATATGGTACAACACCTGGAACAACTCATCTTTCTAGAGAAATGGATCGTTTACATAGAGAATGTGAAAATTTACAAAATCAATTAAGAACTAGTCAAGAATCAGAACAACAAGCTCATAGTTTAATTGATAATTTAAAAAATGATATAAAAAATCTTACAAATGATATAGAACAATATAAAGAACAAATTAATGAATTAGATAAACAAAAGATTGAATGTAATAATGAATTAGTAAGTTAATCTTTAATTGTTATATAATTATTAGTATCATTGAAGCATCAAATAGATATACGATACATAAATCATTCGATTTGTGTGACTGCTGGGATACTGCAAGGGTTCACAGATCGAAACAGGTGATTTTCTTAGCAGGGGGACCACACCTGGAACCTTTGATCTAAAGGTCTAATTCACAAGGCAATGGAGCAACATCAGAAGATATAGTTCCATGGTAGTTGATGACCAATAATTGGTTCATATGCTATTTGTTCCTTCAGGATATTGAAGTCCATGTGAACCATTGGTTTAGAATCAGAGTTTTTTCAATTCGTCAATAGGTGGATTCTCTATATCCACTGAACTGGTTAAATCGACGGACATTCGTTTTTCGTCTTGTCAATTTCGTAAACAACAATAATGCCGTGAGAAGGCAGTGAGTAGGACTTCCCTAGTAGTGGTTGTATACACGTGGCCGATGTGAGAGCATTTCGAAAGGGAGAACTGACTCTCACTACTCTCGACCGTATCAGGCCATTTGCGGGCTTGGAAAAGCATTCATTTAGAACATTGAGGTTAATCTGAGAAAAAAAAACCAAACAAATGATCATTATTACGATGATGAAGTCTTTAAGGAGGAATACACTCTCTGTCTTCCTTAAATTAAGAGATTAAAATCGCTTCATATCTGTCTAGGAACTAATTCTTTCTTCCTTTACTATCTCCTTATACACAATCTTTCTTCTATATATTACCACCACTGAATTAACTACTCCTATGAATCCGGTGTTCATCTTGTTGTGCTAATGCGGTATGGCAACTTGGACCGATGCATATACGTGCCTGGTCCTACGTTGCAGCTGACTGACTGACTGACTGACTGATGAAGTCTTTCTAATTAGTCCAATCTATTTGAATCAGACGGGTTAGAAAATACATTATTACAATGTAATGACATCTGATATCTTTTGAATTTGATACTGTTTAATAAGACCTGGTGAATCTAAATAATAGACGATTCACTAAGAAGAATATAATATCTACCTCTCAAAAGATGAGCATAATGTTCATCACTTCTCATTGTATGGACTTTATAACTATGATATACAGATTTTATTGGTTGAAGATATATGTGTTTTGATAGTAAGCCACCATGAATGTTTTGAAAGCCATAACAGAATATTGTGAAACGAATGAGTGTTTGATACTGAAGTTGAGTAAACCAGTGAATGATCTTGTCAACCCACTTTGATTGCGTTGATCGGGACAGGTGTTGTAGTAGATTAACCAAAGCTAGAGGTGGATCCTTCAAAAATTACTTCTCGTCCATTTGCAGTATTTCTTGTTATACTTTTATTCAATTTATGTTTTTATTCAAGTAATTCTATTCAATAAATGTATCATTTTAACCCAGTCAGGTATTTTGTAACACACTCTTGTATTGAACTTTGTATATGTAAGTTATATTACCATGATGAAACGATAGAACTTATACAAATTAAATAATGTGCTACATTTCATCATCTTTAGTATATTGAGGTCAAGATGGTACATCAAATCAAGTCACATAACATGACTATGATTAATTCTTTCTTCTTGTACTATCTCCTTATATGCAATCTTTCTTTTATATATTACTACCATTGAAGTAACCACTCCTATGAATCCGGTGTTCATCTTGTTGTGCTAATGAGGTATGGAAACTTGGACTGATGCACATATGTGCCTGGTTCAACATTTTACCTGACTGACTAATTGGCTGACATAACATGAGATTAAGTAGTTCCAGAAAATATAGATTTTTAAGTTGGAATAGCCAATATTATCTTTTTAGAAATTTATGTGATGTAACTAGCAATCGATTGCGATGATACAAACATATTCATTCGTCATTTCTCTCACTCTCTGTCTGTCTCCAAAAGATTCTTGTGAATATAATCGTCTAAATCCCATTCCTAAGTGTAGATACACTTTAAAGAGTATATATTCTGATTAACGTTTGATCGTTTATTATATAACAATATATTCATATAAATGTTTATGCGATCTTATTTAGATCAAGACTCAACGTGAACTTCAAACGCAAACGGATGAAGCAAAAGATAAACTGACTCATACACAACAACTGTTAATTGAGAAAACAAGTCAGGTGATTTTTCAAAGATTTATAAAACATTTTCTTTTTGGTTAGATTATCATATTGAAATAACTAACAATCTAATCTATCATAGATTTTAAGTGAAGTTTTGTTCACTTTATTTATTTATTTATTTATTTTAACACATAGGTATTGGTACAAGGAGGCACCAAATACATATGCGCCACACGAATCGCAATTGATTTGTGTAAGGGCTGTGATACTGCTCGGGTGCCCAAACCGAAGCAGGTGGTTTTCTTAGGGGGCCACACCCCGAGCCTTTGACCTGAACGTCTGATCCACAAGGCAGTGGAGCATCGTGAGGAGATGCAGTCCCATGGTAGCCGGTGACCAACGATTGGTTCATACGCCATTTGTTCCTTCAGGATACTGGAGCCCATGTGCACCACTGGTTTGGGATCCGGTTAAAGCGCCGGACATTCGCTTTTCGTCCTCTCATTTTCGTAAACAACATCCCCGCCACGTGAAGGCAGTGAGTAGGACTTCCCTGGTAGGGGCTATGTACGCGTGGCCATGTGAGAGCATTTCGAGAGGGAGAGCGGATTCTCCCCACTCTCGGCCGTACCAGGGCATTTGGGGGCCGTTTTGTTCACTGATCTGGTTGATTTGATCGTGGAGCTTTCATTGTACTTCTGAACGACATCATAAGCACAAACTTCAGGTAGAAATGAAGTGATCCCATTTCTTCACATATAATTTCCAGTTTGTCCTATAGATCTTGATTTTGACTGGTTATTATTAAACTTCAACCTGTCGTTTTGATTGTATATCCCTTTGGTTTAATTCTTGGTCAATTATTTTTCTATGATTTTTTCTGATTGGTTGATAGATTGGATCAATATCAATGTGTTTGTTGATTTCTGAATGAATTGAGTGCTGAGCTTCTAAAAATTCTTTGGTACTTTTAGTATTCCCACTATTCAAGATCTTAACATTTTTCCAGTTCAATATGTGTTCATAGCTGTGTATAACATGGGAAAACTCGAACATTTCAGTTCTACGTAAAGTTTGTGCTGATGATGTTGTTCGAAAGAACATTGAAAGCTCCACGATCATACCATCTAACCTAGAGAACAAAACTTCACCTAAATCATTCACCTGAGCTAAAAATCTTCCCCACCATTTTAACATTTTACTTCTATACCCATCAATAATTAATTACGTAACACTGTTTACTATATATTACCATAATGATCAATTTCCCATATCATATTTTAAATCGCTCTTCAAACTATCAATTAAAAAAGCTAGGAAGATCAGATGAGCAACATGCACCACTCTGTAATCACCAGACTTGTAAACCTTGGTGATTCGAGTATATATGCAATACTAGACCATGATAGGACATAAATAACAAATCCGAATGTGTATTAAATAGACAAGCAAGTTTATTATTAATGTAATGGAATTTGCAAATGAAAAAAAAACTATAGAAACAGTTAACAGGTCGGATAGAAGTTTACAATCAGGAAAAATACCTGAATATCATAAGTTATATAATATAATATACCCTTATAGGTTAGCGTAAGTTTACATTAGTTTTCAGAAGAACCGGACACAATCTAGACTTTCACTTGACAACCTAAACAGTACAGCTCAATCCCGATTACATGAGAGCCAGACACTAACTAGGCCTAAAATTTATAATCCGAGCAGTACAACTGAAGACCGCTTCATAGGATAGCCAGATACCATACAGGCTCAATCCTGTAGAGCAACCATACACGTACACAGCACCTAGGTGGACCATGAATGTCATAAACTAACTAAATAATATGGTGCTTCCAAAGTTTTTTATTTTGATATATTTGACTGTTTACTTTAGTCCATGCACAAGTTAACATTCATGATCATAGATCATTTTCAACAAACAGAATATCCATAAAGAACCCCTTCTGATATTAATCAACATATTCTCACAAGTGACTAGCTTCAATAGATATTACCTGGAGTTCTAGTGAGAATCAGTGATCAGTAAAGTTCAACCGGGTCTATTATGAGATATTAACTCATTGAAGACAATGGTGGATGTGTCACTCAATTTCATGGATTATTTGAAGTTAGACACCGTTGAATGCCGATCTAGAGGTCTTGGGTTGGAATCTTGCGAGACGGGATCGTGGATACGCACTGCTGACAAGTCCCAAAATAGAACAAAACAACTATCCAATGCTTTCAGGTTGTTTTTTTTCATGATCGTCTAGCTTCAATTAACTTATGATCTCAAGTATTAGAAAGAAACAGAATAACATTTGATGAATGAACCAGATACTATTGATTTACAATCAATAGTTTCAATCATTACAGATCTTTCTATTAAAAAATAACCTTGATTCAGTTTCTTCTTAAAATTGTCACCTATTAAAGGTTTACCCTTTCTTGTTTTCTTTTAAAAATAAATGTATTTTAGCTTGAAAATGCAGTGAATCAATTGAATAATGTACGACAATATTGTACAGAACTTGAACAACGTATCAATGAAATGTCACAACGATTAAATATGGCAGAATCACATGTAAATACATAAGGAAATATTGTTTTGTTTTTTTTATTTCTTGAAGGTTTTGCATAGTGATTCACAATTATATTCATTAAGAGATATATTCGCTAAGGTAGTTAGACGGCTTAGATCATATTAGATAGAATGAGTTTATACTTTTCAATTGAATCCTAAGACAAGTTAGTGATATGATAAGTTTATCGGCAGTAATGTTTTTTGCTATGGTAATGTTTCCTGTAGCTTGAGTAATACTACACTTATTTGACTGATCACCAGATCGACGAGACTATAATTTATGGATGAACCAATCGGATATGTTTGAGTGATTTCAAGGTCACGACACCAATTTCAGTACCCAATGTTCACGTACGATCAGTTTACAGCGGATTTTAGAGAAGATATTATAATTTAGCGGCTACAACCTATGGGACTACTAAGAAGTTTCTTTATTTGTGACGGCACTAATCAAATGACTGCTGTACCATGCACAGACTACCGTGATGAGGTTGTCTTTCGATGTTATTTATGTAGGAGGGAAAGGTCTACAAGAACAGAAACGCTTTTCGTATGATCCATTCGTATGATAATTCTTTTGAATTGGATAGTAGAAGCACAAGTCACACTAGCTGCGACCATCGCAAATGTTACTGAAGCTTCGACAGAACAATGTACGAGTATTGTCGTGGTATATGTGCAATAAAAATGACAGGCTTAATCGAGTCGTTTGAGGGAGTTTGGAGAATCGTTGAAATGTACGAAACAGTAGTTGGGAAACGAAAATTCAACAAACAACGTAGTATTAAAGAAAACTGGTTAAGTAGCTTTTTCATAAAATATACCTCGCAGGTCCTTGAAATATACGATAGGTCATCCGAAAAGGGGCACTTCCAACGGGTTAGAAACCGCTTCGGTTCGGGCATCCGAGCAGTATCCCAGCCCTCACATAAATCGAATGATTTTTGTGGCGTATATCTATTTGGTGCCTCCTTGTATTAATGTTTACGGTTAGAAACTGACAGGCAACGATAATAATACCAATTATACGGGAATATATGCAGCCAGGTACTACAATACATACAAATGATTGGAGAGCGTACACATGCCTATATAGACTTGGTTATGTACATCATGTCGTTATCCACAAGCGCAATTTTGTGGACCTTACAACCGGAATTTTTACTAACAATATCGAAGGTATGTAGTCGAGGTTGAAAACGTTTTTGCGATCTTATCATGGCTTCAGTGGCCGACTATTCTGTAGCCATATGAATGATTTCGTCTACTGCATGCATTACTATTTTAGGACCTCTGAACCTCTTCCTAACCTTGACAAGTTTTTAAACCATATAAAAGAATTGTATCTAGTTTAATTCTTTGGTTTTATATAATATATTTTTTCTCTATGCCAACTGTTTTCTGATTGGCTAATATCGTTCAAGGTCTCTCAAGATCCGTTCAAAGGTCTTCCATAAATAAGAGTCTCACCTAACAAATAGAAAATCATACTGATCAATTCATAGATTAATAAATTAATTAAAGTAACTCTAGTATCATGAATATTGTGATTTTAGCTGGTTATACGTAGTGGATAGGTGATCCCGAACCTAAGTTTCACACTAGTTGGGATTTGTCACCGATGGGTAACTAGAATCTTGATGGAACTGAATCTGACTGTGTTATTCGAAATCTTGTCACCGATTTTCCTGTTCTTAGGCGTCAACACAGATTTATTCAGAATATAGAGAAAGTTTGTTTATTCAACATACTCTAATGATAAACGCCAATTAACATGAAACCTAAATCCAAGATTTCCGATCAACTAACTTCAAACATCTAACAGTAAAGATTCTTTTAGTCACTGGTATAATTATCCAAAGCATTTCTTTTCACAAAACATGTTATTCACCAGTAATTCCAAGCTTATAGAGGTATTTCAACAATCTTATTCTTTTAGAATTTTTTATCAATCAAAGAGGCTACATGATTAAGCTATTCAGATCTGAAAATGTAACAACTTCAAAATCTTTCGTAAGGGAACAAGCTTTGAACAGAAGTTAAACTGTTGTGATCCAGTAAATTCAGTTATTTATATGATTAAATGGAGGTCAGACTAATTCAATAACTTGAAGAGGTTACGATATCAGATGACTCAAACAGCATGTTCTTTCGTGTATCATATCCAAAATAAAACAAAAAAGATAGGAAGATTATAGACACAAAACGATTAATATGAGATTACTAAAGAGATTATCTGGAGATGATAAAGGAGCATCTCAAATGAACAGTTTTCCCTCTTTGACTTAAACTTTGATCTTTGCATCAAACTGAAAGGAATTTTTAAAGCGTAAATAAATAATGTTTAACTCGAAATAAATAAAATTATGAAATGAACATATGGTCACTAGGGTCTATCTTCAAGATGTAGATCCTGGTGTTCTAGTGCGAAGCAGTGATCAATGGAGTTTAACCGGGTTTGTTCTGAGATCATAGTAACTCACTGATGACAATGATGGATATGTCAATCAATTTCATGGAGTGGTTGAAGTTAGACATTAACAACGTTGGATGCTGGTCAGCTCCGTGCTCTAGTGGTTAGGCGTTCGGGCGCGAGACTGATAGGTTCTGTGTCCGAATCCCACGAGTCGTGGTTGCGGATGCGCACTGATGAAGACGAAATGGCCATCCAATGCTTCCAGGTTTTCCATGATAGTCTAGCTTCAATTGACTCATGATCTCAACTATTGAAATGAAATATTCCTTATAAATAAATTTGCTACCAGTTCTATTCATGAATAAATGAAGAGTTTTTTAATATGATGGTTGGAGGTAGTCAACAAGAAACCATGGACCCAGATTTCGTGCTATTTGGCACTCGTCAGCAAGATCTACCTGTAATCGTGAGGGAACTGGTGCTCTTTGACGGATTCACAATATGATAGTATTATATTGTCATTTTTCATCACTGAACGTTTTTGTTTTCTTTTTTAATTTTCACAAAAGACTCAACAACAAGCAGATGAATTAAAACGCTGTCAACAACTAGAATATGAATGTAATCAATTACGTAATGAAATAAAGGCTAGTCATAATGAAGTGAGTTGAATTATTGTAATTATCTACATTTAATTTGATGAATATTTCTGATGTGTCTTTAATGGCTTTATATCTGACTCCAATTGGATAGTATGAATGTTATACATGTTATACATGTCTTATATCCTCGTATATATTTATCTACTTAACTCGCGTTAGTTTATAACAGAATTAAAATAAGTCGGAGAAACAAAGAGAAGAGAAGATAGCGAAGCGAGATGACGTGCAGTGGAGAACGCATATGAGCCAATTCCATTTAATCAAGTCTTAATCATTATTCATAGTTACACAAAAATAAGCTACAGATATGTGATGTATAGAATAAGATGTTAACACATATACTCTCATACAAAAACAGTCGACGTTGATAAGTGGACAGTTAGCAAGTTCATAACGTGACTCAAAAAGAATGGATAAATTGACTTGTTCAGAAGCTTAGAATAAGGTATATGAGCTTGACATAACAACCGATACTACATGTTTAAATATTATTAGAGTAAATCTGACGGTGAGATTCACTTCTTTCAAGTTCATAAATGACAACATGCGTTAAGTTCAATCCCAGATCATTCAGCAGAGATTTGTCAAATGTAGATCAGTAAGCAGTATCGTATTTCAATTCCGAATGTATATATGGTTGAAAATAACTATAACATGAAGGTTAAATTCACTTGGTATTGTTCACATGAATCTGCAATTGATCAGTCTCTTATTGACATATGTACATACTATGTATGTGTGAGTGAACATCAACTATGAGATGAAGGTAAATCCAGCTGACGAGTTCAAAATAGGACGAAATGTGCGTTGTGGATTTCATTGCTAGTCACTATCCATCTATCCTTATAACATGAAGGGTTTATAATTTTTCCTAATTGTTCAATACAAACTATGTTTCTATTCGGTAGATATATCAATGTCGATATCATAATTAATACGATTCTAAGAAAACTGTCATTAACTGAACAAAAGAAATCAAATTCAATTGGTGAAATTTCGTGACTATAGTTCTTTCATAGTTACACATAGGTAACTTGTGGTTTAACACAAATATTTGTAAAAACAGCCGTCCAGTACTTTCAGGTTTTCCGTGAAGGTCTAGCTTCAATTGACTCATAATTTCAACTAGTGGAATTTCTAAAATCTCCACAAAACCTCTTCTGATGACATTTTAAATCCCAAAATCTATTTGACCATATAATTTGCTCGATAATTAATAAACTACTCATAACAAAATAAGTAGTTTGTATTATAAAGTATATATAATTTTGGTTCCATTTTATTAATCACCTTTTTTTGTGCATAATTATTTATAAGGTACAACATTTACAATTACAATTAGATCAATTAAATAGAGAATATCAAAATCAAGGAAGAAGAATGGAACAAATGACTATTGAATTAAGTACATCACAAGCGAATACAAATCAAATGAAACAAGAATTACAATTATTTAAAGAACGTAATAAAGAACTTGAAATAAAAATTACAGATACTCATGAAACAATAAAAGAATCCGAAATTGAAACATTGAATATTTTACGCGCGGAATTAAAAGATTCTCAAGTGATTAAACAACGACTTGAAGAAAGAATAAATTTATTACAAGAAGATTTAAAGCATACACAACAAGAATTAGATGAAAAAGTTAGGGCATTAGATGTATTAGAAAATACTCATGTAAGTTTTTTGTTTTTCTTTTTTATTTCATAGAGTTCTACAATAAATTCAATGAACTTATTGACGCTATAGAAATAATATGCCAATGAATTACATAGGTGATATACTTAATAATAAACTGATATGTTAAACAATCGTCTATCTTTGAAGTAGTGCACACTATTATTCTTTAAAGAAGCTGTTGTAGATCACCAACGTTGATGATCTCTGTCGAATGATTACGAGTTAGGGTTTTTTTAGCGAGTTAGTTTTCTACGGGATAGGGTCGCTAACGCATGCCCAACCCTCCTCCTTTATCTGGGTTTGGGACCAGCAGGAACTCTAGAAGAGCTACAGGCGGAGTTCGAATGATTGGGGGCCTACTCTAATTAGATGGGAATGATGTGATGAATTAGTTCATTTTGAAGTCACACCTTGTGGTCAGCATTTAACGTAGATTACCTTTTTGTTATATCAAAGTACAATGCCTGTTTTGAAGACCGTATAACACAAAGGACTTTATTACGAAAATATATGAGTAAGAATGAGTACAAAGAAGATAGTGAGATCACCACAGTATAGGCCAGTCCATGGCATATGGTTAACTGATGCTCATTGGTTGTCCTTGACTTTAACAGTGATCAAGAACCTGTTCGATATTCAGTGACCCAACTGCCAGATGATTTGGCTATGTCTAAGTGATATTTCATTGACCCTACACTATGAATGACAATAAACATATTTCTAGCAATTATTCAGTTCACAGTTGTTATAACTTGTAACCTGAGTGCCCTGTTCATGTATAATGTGATGATACCGCCAACTAGAGAACAGTGATTTATCGACCGAACCAATGACGCATAAGACATGTACGAGCAGTCCAGAATATCAATCTCAGCCTTTGCAATATGAATCATGTATTTCAAACATACCCGATTTATATACAAACCAGACAGACCGAATCGTACCATAAAATAGAAAATAACATTTGTACAGGATTTAGCCAAGTGTGACTGTGAATGAGGGAGGTAGTGATTAATAGATATGGTATAATTCAAGAATGGTAAATCGTATAATAATAGTTCATAGGTCAAAATAAAGCTCATAATAAGAGGAATATAGATATGACTAGTTTAGCTATTCAACAATTATACGATAAAAATATACGTATTGCATTGATCCACAAATGGATCCCAAAGTTACCATTGACATTATGCTTATTGGGACCTAACGTCAGTCAGTCAGTCAGTCAGTAACAACGTGGTACTTCGTACTTACGTACATCAGTTCGATTTGCCATACCACATTAACACAGAGATTCAGTTATCGATTTGATAATGTTCATAAAATGTGACATTATTACCCTAATGGTTTGAACATTAACAATACTTTAACAAAACAATATTAATAATCTGAAAGCTTTCTCATGAATTTGAATAATGACCAATTTTTGAATTTGGCAGGGACATATTCGAGTTGAAAACAAAAATATCAAGATGATTAAAACAAAACTATATAGTTTATTTGTATTCGACTGATTAACCTGATGTAGTAAATAAGGTCATATAGAAAATAAATGAGATGGGGGGGGGCTTCTATTGACTTTCTAAATTATGTGGCATATATCATGTAAATACACGAAGTGATCATGATCATTTGATTTATGTATTTAGTTGATAAAAATGCTCACAATCATGATAATTAACATGTATTTCACATTACAAACTGACTTTACTTAAGAAGCCAGGGAGCATAGGACAGTTTCTAAGTCATCATATAAGTGGTTTCGATAGTCCAGTTATTAAATAAAGGGTGTTTATCTTTTTGATCAACTTGTTACCTTTTGATCAATATCCTATTATTGTTGGTGTTATATGTCTCATTTCTATGGTAACTAATCTCTCTCTTCAATACGACATCAACAGTTAGTAACTACAGATTAAACAATTTCTACAATTCTCCTATGCTAACAAAATCTTGATCATTTTTATTTCAGCTTCGAAATCAATCTGAAGAAATAATCAATTTACAGAAAGAGTTAAACAATGCACGTTTACAAATTGAAGAGCTTGGAGGTCCTATTGAACCAGGTTCTAAATTGAAAGGATCAGTGAGTAGTTATATTTGTCTAAAACAGATGATTAACAACACTAAATGTATTTTAAATCCGCGATTTCATAAATTATATATATATAATGTGATGGGACTATTATCAGAATGTTTTATATGGGATTATTCAACTTTTAATCTTCATTACAAATTAATCTTGCCTAAAGAATCATAGAACTCTTCTTGAAAATCTGTTATAACTTGTGACCGCCGATTACAGAGCAGTGACTTATCGATCGGATCAAGGACGCATAAAACCCGTACCAAGCAGTCTAAAGTTCTGATTGATCTTGCTTCCTGTCTAACCCAGCCAGTTTAAGTTGAGAATATCAATCCCAGCCTCTGCAATATGAATCATTATATTTCAAATATAATTAGTTTATATACTAATCAAACAGATCACAATGTACCAATAAAATATGAAACAATATTTGTATAAGAATGAGCCAGATGTAGCTGTGAAGGAAGAGAGGTAGTGATTAATGTACTGGGTATAACTCAAGAATGGTAAAACGTATAGTAATAGTTTATGAGTCAAAATAAAGCTTCTAATAAGAGGGACATGAATATGAATAGTTTAGTTAGTTAATCATTATCCAATAGAAATATACATTTGGTATTCGCTCATAAATGGATCCCAAAAGTTACCATTGATTATTCTTGTTGGGACAATAACAGAATCCTACTTGGATTACTGCCAGCATGTGGGTAACAATCCCATTCTATGAAAATGAACTCTTTTAAGAAACTCTAACTAATCATAGAAAACTAAGGAGAACTAGGATTATGATTATTATAGAATGAAACGTTTTGTATACAGTTGCACAATTGTACAATAATAATAAGTTATTGTATGTTTTAATATACTAATTATATTATTATTCTATCTATTTAAATAGCCTTTAAAAGTGGAAATTGATACATTGAAAAAAGAAATTAGTAAACGTGAAGATGTAATTAATCGTATAGAAAAAGAATGTGTAGGTTATTATGTTATGTATATGTATATATTGAATGTTTGTTTTATAACATAGATCAGTATATGTTGTCGTTGTCATCGTCGTCATCATCATCATCATCGTCACCATCGTTGTTGTTGTTGTTGTTGAAAGTCATGAATGATCCAACCTAAGAACTGTACAATTCATTATTGTCATTTATAAATTAAACAATGAAAATTCTCTTTTTCAGTATCATCATCATCATCGTCAAAATGGTTTGATAGCTTGTTAGTATGTATGTTAGTAGATAATCAGTAACATATAAGGGATGTATCTCATGTTTACTGATGAATTAGATTTGTAAAACGAGTCATTGTACTGACTCGAGAATCTACGGAAATATTGAAATCTAAATGTGTAAAGATATAATAATTACTTTCTTACTTACTTACTTACTCACTTACGCCTGTTACTCTCAGTGGAGTATAAACTACTGACCAGCATTCTCCAACAAACTCTATCCTCAGCCTTCTTTTCTAGTCCTATCCAATTTTTTATCATTCTTTCTATGTCTATCTGTATTTCTTGGCGTAATGCGTTCTGTGGTCTTTCTATTATCCTTTGACCTTGAGGATTCTAACTGAGGGGTTGTCTTGTGACACAGTTGAATAAAGATGTAATAATAATAATAATAATAATAATTATTATTATTATTATTATAAGCAAAGACGGATAGTCGCTAGCAGTGGAATCCAGGATTCACGTTTCGTTCTATTACAGACTCGTCAGCTGAGTGTACCTACATTTCAGGGTTTACGTTCATTCTTGAACTCGAGCCCAGTACAGTCCATTTTAATTCTTTTCTTTGAATACCATCATCTCTTGTCTACAATCGTATAACATAGTGTTTTTAGCCTTTTTACAATTTGTTTTTTGAATACTCAGTTATGATAAGCTCATGGAAATTCATTACAATGTAAGTTAGCATGGCTACATATTATTATTAGTAGTAGTAAGTGACCTTTAAATTACTTCCTGTACTTTGATTGGTTTGTCGTCATGGTGACTAGCTATGATACGCATATATGATGAATTTATAAAATAGAATTCTCCATTAGTACACTATACAGCATGTTTGTGAATTGAATGAATGACAACGGATATGAATGCATGCTACATACTACTTACAAATTATACCATAATGCATTTATTTTATTTTACTACTGTTATACATTTTATTCATTAGCAAGAAAAGCATATACATCGTATTGAAACAATGCAATCTCAATTACGTCGTTTTGAAGAAGAAACTGCTAATTTAAATCAAGTTTTAGATGAACAAAGAGTTGGATTAGAAGAAAGAGATCGTGTTATAAGACAATTACGATCGGATCAAGTAAAAATACAACTCTTTCAATAATAACATGGCTAGTGGTTAGCAATGGAATCCAGTTTGACGCGCGTTTCATCCTCTTCAGAGTTGATATTCATTCTGGAACTTGAACCTAGTACCATTCGCTTTAAAAGCCATCACGTTATCCACTTAGCTACTGAGTACTGATAGCCATTTGCTTGTAAAATTGGACGAATTCCATTGCTAGCCACTAGCCATCTTTGCTTATAAAAGCTTGTGAATTAAAGCATTATCATGACATACGCACATTATGTACATATGCCAATAACAGACTGATCAATTAAAGTCTTAAAAACCTCAATGGGAAGATTCAAGCAAAACAATACCAAATGAATAACATTTTATGTTTCATTTCTGAATTGTTTGAAAGTAGTCGAAATCAAACTATACTTTACAAAGGTTTCATGCTAGATAGGATTCATCAAAAAGTTATACTTAAAGTATTGATGGGACTGATATATCTTGTAGGATTTGAAATGAGATCACTCGACTTCACATACTGGGATATTACCATTAAGTTATTCATCTCATAATTGACATTCTATAAGATTGAATTGTTTACAATTGATTAATCATTGTGTAGTGATCATTTTTACGTTTGTTTAGTTATTTAACATTAATTGAACTTTATCAATCGATCAACCTGAAATTTAGATTTTACTGTCAATTCTAAAAGTTGATTGAGATCATGAATCGACTAATGTTAGATCACCGTTGGAAACTTGGAAGCACTGGACGGCTTTTTCGTCCTATTGTGGGGCTCCTCAGCAGTGCGCATTCACGATACCGCTCGTGAGATTCGAACCCAGGGCCTTCAGTCTCGCACACGAACGCTTAATCTACTGGACCACTGAGCCGGCATCTAATGGTGCTAGTGTCTAACATCAACCAATCCACGAATCATATTGTTTAGAATGGGACAGTTATCATGAAAAATATTGCATAATCATCATGCAATGTGATGTAAACTGATTTGTAGCGTGGTGTCGAGTCGCGATTGACTATGAACACCGCTACAAGACTACGTGCCAATTAACCAATAAGATTCCCGTAGGCCAATATCAGAAGACAGATGATGGCTGTAGTCGAGATGTATTTGTTGGCGACCTCGTGGTATCGAAAGAATACGGAGATAGTGCCAAAGGAGTACAACCGTGGTTACTAAACGTAACCGAATTCGTGCAAGTTCAAAGTCAACGGGAGAGTAAGTGTAATGGCTGTCATTAGCATAGTTAAACAAACGATCACAGTAAAACAGTCACTGGTACAATTGGTTGTAATAATAATTGTTTTCATTGAACCAATCGCGTTCTGTTGACAAAAGTATGTCACTACAAGAGCCCCCTGCTAGAAAGGGTTTACACTTTCGATAGGTAGCGGTTTGATTCGTGGGACTGATCGGCAAAAGTGCGGTTGTAGGACGGAAGAATTGGCTAAACAAGAAGCGATCGTTGATCCTCGAGTTGCCAACGAAAGTCTTTTGCGTAGAACGGTACCAGGAGAAGTGTGCTGTATCTGTTGCTCGAGTTAGCATACCACACCAGAGTGGTTTGTATCCAGGATCTGGTCACTAGTCTAGGTGATTCGACATTGCATGCACTATGTTGAGGTAGAATGGTGGTTGAAGGTAGCCAACAGGAAACCATAGACATAAGTTTCGTGCTATTCTGGCACTCGTCAGTAAGGTGTACCTGTAATCTTGAGGGAACTGGTGCTCCCCGAAGGAATCGATCCCGTGTCACCCGGCTTCACTGTCCGAGACGTTACCACTGGGTTATCCGGACAACAACTGACCTCCTTTAGATATTTACAATTGATTAATCACTGGGTGGTGATAAATATTATGTTATTCAAATAATTCATCGTTCTTCTGATAAGTATCAAACCTTGAAAATGATTATTTTATTTTTTCATAACTAATAGGCTCAAGGATCATTGATTGAACTTGAGAAATTAAAAGCTGAACATAATGGTTGTAAAGATAAAATTGAACAATTGAATAAACGTATTGCCACAATAAATAAACAAGTTGAAGATCAATCTGATGAAATTTTAACAATCAAGTAAGTATATGTACACATTTTTCATTAAATAATATGCTCATAATAATAAATATGTGAATTCATAAGTCAATTGAAGCTAGATCTTCATGAAAATCTGGAATCACTGGACGGCCGTTTCGTCCTAGTATAAGACTTTACAATAGTGCGCATCCATGATCCCGCCTCAAGAGATTAGAACTCAGGGCGCACTAATGCGCTAACGCTTAATCTCTAGACGACTGAGCTGGCTGGCATCCAACGGTGTTAATGTCTAAATTCAAGCGATCCACGAAGTTGTGCCACCGTAGACCATTATCATCAATGAGTTACTATCTGACAACAGACCCGGTTTAACTCTACTGGTCACTACTTCTCATTAGAAATCCAGTAAATACATTTTGTTATATCACAATGGGTAGAAAATTTGTATTTCTGACGACGTTTCATGACAATGCGAGCGACTTATTCAGAATAAATAAATAACCGAACATTAAATTTACACAAGTTTAAATATTGCTGTGGTGTCTGCTACTGATGTTGAAAGATATAAGTAGTATGCATTATCTCTTTCTCTTGGTGGTCTACTGGATCATGAAGTCGTCAACATCTGGGGTGAAGCATGGGATACAGTGGATGGCTAGAATGCAACTGGACGATCTAGACTTCACAGATGATATGGCTCTTCTATCGCAAACGCAACAACAAATGCAGGAAAAGACGACCAGTGTAGCAGAAGCCTCAGCAGTAGTAGGTCTCAATATACACAAAGGGAAAAGCAAGATTCTTCGATACAACACAGCATGCAACAATCCAATCACAATTGACGGAGAAGCTTTGGAAGATGTAAAAACCTTTACATATTTGGGCAGTATCATCGATGAACACAGTGGATCTGATGCAAATGTGAAGACGCGGATCGGCAAAGCAAGAACAGCATATTTACAACTGAAGAACATCTGGAACTCATAATAACTGTCGACTAACAGCAAGGTCAGAATTTCCAATACAAATATCGAGGCGTTTCTACTGTAAGGAGCGGAAACCTGGAGAACCACGAAAGCCATCATCCAGAAGATACAAGTGTTTATTAACAGTTGTCTATGCAAAATACTTCGGATTCGTTGTCCAGACACTATCTGCAACAACCTACTGTGGAAGAGAACAAACCAGATTGCAGAGGAGGAAGAAATCAGGAAGACTCAATGCAAGTGGATAGGACACACATTGAGGAAAGCACCGAACTGTGTCATAAGGAAAGTCCTCACTCAGAATCCTCAAGACCAAAGGAGAAATGGAAAACCAAATGACACAATACGTCAAGAAATGGAGACAGACAGAAGAACGAATAAAAATTGGATAGAACTGGAAAGGAAGGCCGAGGAAAGAGTGGGTTGGAGAATGCTGGTTGGTAGCCAATGCTCCATTAGGAGTAACAAGCGTAAGTAAGTAAGCATCATCAATCGAAAGTGAAATGCCTGTAAGCAGAAGATTAAGAAGATCAAAGAAAATAGAACGAGAACAAAGAACGATTGGTGTGGAAACGAAGGAACAATGAAGTCTGAGATGATTGACTGATATTTGAGGAAGGAACAATCAAGTTTGAGACGATTGATTGACATTTTGCGGATGAAATATTTACTGTGTGGTTCTCAAATTTTATATAGAAGTTCTGTAATTTTGTATTCAAATACATTCAGTTGTCTCCACTTGTGTTCTCGTTCACCAGAAGTTAGTGGCCTTGAATCTGACTGCAGTTAGATCGCGTGATCGATCGTTTTCGAGATATGTATACATATATTTTTTGCACAACCGTTGATCTCGGCAGACAATCAGGTGAACGAAGCGAATAGTAGTGAACAAAGCAAAATGATGCGCAGTGGAGACGGTCGTTTCGCCCCTGTGTGGGGCTCCTCAGGAGTGTGCGTATATATATACATCGATTTTTCTGCTTCAATATCACTTATACTATGCCACCAACAATTCAAATTCATAATTAATGCTCCATATAGATTTTAAGTGCTCATTCTCTGGTTTATAATCATTGCAGACTGGAATCACTTACCGCTTCATTATGTGAAAAAGAAGCTAATATTGCTTTGATGGAATTGACTGCTCCAAAGAATGCAACTTCTAATCAAGCTTTAGAAAAATTACGAATTGAACGGGATCAATTACAACAACAACAAAAACAACTTGTAGGTCACTTGAATATTTTTTTTTAAAAATTTCATTAATAATTTTAAATGATCACATTTAATCTAATGATTCAATACTATGACGGAATATACACTGGAATTGTCTTGAATGAATCCCAACAGTTTTAAGTATTTTCCAACTTTTGTCTAATCGATCTGGCATTGTAAAACATCTTGTATGGATGTTAGATGTTTATCGACAGTCATGGAAGGTGCTGAAAGAATGCTTAGTACACATTGCTACTTATTGCTATGGTGTTTTTCTAGTATTAATGGGACTGATGTTCACCATAGGATTAGAACCTGTGCTAACTAGAAATCACTGGGTTATACAATCCTCAGTTGAATTTCTGTACGACTAAGATATCGAATCCTATTTTCATCTACTAACTAATACTATGCATAGGTTCGTCTAACTTGATTTTCATCTGTTTAGTCTGTTAGTACTCTAGTTGAAGGTTATATGGATTACTTGAATGATATAGAAATCTAATGTATCCATTGAGTGGTTTTCAAGCTACTATCGATAAGTACTCCTAGAGTAAAGAAAGTCACAGAACTGATGATGAAACATTTTCTCCAACTTATCAAAATAAACAACCATTAGTTTCACTGATACCCTCCATGACCACTCCTCATCATCAATTGTTTACATACTTTTAAAAATGTTTTAAAAAGTATATTATATTGATGACCTTTAGCACCTTTATTGACTACTCAGGATATTCTGCCTAGTTATGTAACCATTAACAATAAAAACCACGACAGCATAGTATTCTTGATGTCATTAATAGTGTTTCACATGTAAATCCATTCTTTATCATAAGGGAAAAAGATCAATTTCACACACTAGGAGTTGGGCTAGTTTGTAAATTAAGATTATAACCCTATATTGCTTTTGTCACCAACTAATACCAGCGATAATGCAAAGTCATTAACGTTAGGTAACTGAAATCAATCTAGAGTTTTATGTTAAGATTATGAATTAGGTTTTGATTATGCATCATGAACTGACACTATTTATAATAAAATGGTGCTTTACTACCCTTTTGTTTATAAACTAAAGAAACTTATGGTTGGTATTAAGAGTCAATAGTTAGAGTGTGAGAATACTATCTAACTATATAAACACACCTGGCTACACATTGAATCAACTCGACATATAATCTTCATCAGTAGAATAGATTTCTTGTAATCTAACTTCAAAACTACAGCAGATTCACTGTTTGGTTGTAAAGTAGATATTTTTATCATTTTTTAAAAGGCATTTTATTAGATAACCACATCATATAAATATTGAGCCTTTGATTTCACACAGAAAAAAATAAACAAAAGGAACTATTTTAATCCTGATTGATTCATTAGGGACTGTCAGTATAGTGTAATTTTCCCAGAGTATCCATTAACGATCTAATGTTTTCTTTTTATTCCCTTATTATTTGTTTTAGAGTAATACACGGGCTATGCTTTTAGAAGAAAAAATGTCACGTCGATAATTTCTTACTTGGTTCAACTAAATTTTATTAGTAAATTACACAATTCATACCCTACTTTACAATTCAGTAATAAAACTATCCATCTTAATAATCTGTTATCCTAACTATCTATCTATCTATCTATCTATCCATACACTTATCTATCTACCCATCTATCTCTCTATCTATCTATCTATCTATCCATACACTTATCTATCTACCCATCTATCTATCTATCTATCCATACACTTATCTATCTACCCATCAATCTATCTATCCATACACTTATCTATCTATCCATACACTCATCTATCTACCCATCTATCTATCTATCTATCTATCTATCTATCTATCTATCCATACACTTATCTATCTACCCATCTATCTATCTATCTATCTATCCATACACTTATCTATCTACCCATCTATCTATCTATCCATACACTTATCTATCTACCCATCTGTCTACCCATCTATCTATCTATCTATCTATCCATACACTTATCTATCTACCCATCTATATATCTATCTATCTATCTATCCACACATCTATCTATCTATCTGGCCACACTATCTATCTATCTATTGTTGAATCATTGGCTTTTAATTAAATCAAACACAGTAATGTTGTTTACTTTCAAATTTCAATTTTTACTTAATTATTATTATCATTTATAATTTGATGAGTTTCTCCTCACCTTTACTTGTTTCGGCCACTCTATTTTTCTTTTCTTTTCCTTTCTTCTTTTCTTGGTTATTTTTTTCTAATTTAAAATAAGCATGAGTTGACACTTACTTATCATTTTTCTGGGTTTTTTTATTGTACAGATAACATTTCTTTTAATTCTTTATTATCATTATTCATATGATAATAATAGTACATATTATATATATAACAAAGGTTTTATGTAGTCAAATATCCTAATAATTTTGTATTTGCCACGTGAATATATATACATATTGAATGCATTTAAACAAATATGATATCAATGTTCAATTATTGTTATTATTGTCAAGATTATAATTCCATGTCATTATAACATTTGCATTATATAAATGATCTATTATTATTATTATTATTGCAGAGTCACTCTCTGATTTATAATCATGTCCAATTACGAAATGTAGTTCAATATTTATAGTTTATCAGTTACATGATTTATGATCAATTAAATGAAACACTTGAACTTTTTAAAATAACTAAAGTAATATTAATAATAACTTGATTAGTGCGTGAATTTTTGTTTCAATTCTAATGATTTCAATTATATATATATGCACAAGGGAAAAAGCAAGGTTTTCAAATACAATAGGTAGTAAAACCAACCCAATCATATTTGATAGATAAACTCTAGAAGGTGTGGAATCTTTCACGTACCTGGTCAGCAGTATCATCGATGAACAAGGAGGGTCCAATGCAGACGTAAAGGCAAGTATTGTCAAAGAAAGGACAGCATTACTACAATAGAAGAACATATAGAATGCAAAACAACTATCAAGCAATAGCAAAGTCATAATCATCAACACGAAATTCAAGACAGTTTCAGTTTCATACAGTAGAACTGTCTTGACGTTCGTATTGAGGGTTATAACTTTGATATTGGTTGATGGTTGTTTTGAGTTTCATATGTCTTTCAATAAAAGGAAGCTGGTTTGTTCTCTTCCACAGTAGGCTGTTGCTGATAGTATCCGGTTAATGGATGTCCTTATCTTGATAAATTCGTTTTCAAATTGTTACCACTCGTTTCATATATCAGTGATGCTGAAGATTTAAATATTTATTCGTCAAATATTAAAGATCATCCATATTCAAGTCTTCTACTAATGTTAAAGATGTGCTTAATCAGGTTTATACTGGGTTTTCAGAGGTTCTTTTATTTAAAGACAATCATTGGTTCAGTTAAATTTCCGTAAACAATAACATTTTTGTTGCAAAACAAACCTTTGGGTATCATTTCAGTGATCGTTCAGTAGCATGTCCGATTTATTAACAAACGACAATTGTAAAACTCTTAAAAATTTCGTAACATTAAGTTTATTTACTAGAAATGATTGCTTGTAAAATGCTTTTACCACCAATTACATAATAGAAAGGAAGAAATCCTTTCATTACGTACAGCATATTAAACTTTTACTGCAAAACATCCATAAATAATGCTTAAATAATCATAGTTAATGTTCAGGCATGCATTAAAGAAGCATTAGAAACCAAATGATTTGGATCCGTCAGATTATAGGTTATTGTATGAAGCTGTGATTCATTCCCGCTTATTTCTGATTCCTATATCGTAGTGGTTCAGTCGTTACAAAATTATTTACTTACTAGCCGAATATCTGTTAAAAACATAAGCTGATCTCATCCATTCATAAAACATCGTAAACGTCTAAGCTAGTTGCCATCTCAGGCTAAATAAAAATTTTAGTTGGCGAGACTATAATTTGTGGATGAATCAATCAGGTAAAAGATAACAGGCCCCGAGTTTTGGCGTGAAATTCACTTATCTATTTGGCTAAATAATGTTTCGGAATTTTAGCCGATATCAATTCCTGCTGAAAACAATAAATCTAACTCCTAACCTTAACCATCAACTTTAAATAATAACTCTAATTCCTCGCACGGCTTTATAACCCACATTTGGTGGCACTTATTAGGTGGACACTCTCAAGGCCACTGAAGCGTCTCTCGAAGGTCGTCCATAAATTATAGTCTCACCTTTTAATTTTACAATTTATAATATTTGGACACAAGAATTTATAGTTTCTTCTGTACAAACACATAGATAATTCTTTTCTTGGGATTACTATAGGAGGTGTATACATCATAAACATACTAAAATTGATGGTAATGAAATAAATCAGTAGTAGGGTGTTAATTCAAATTTATGTAAATTGATTAAATGTAACTCTATTTGGGAACTCTCGTGTTATTCGCCAGAAAATAATCGAATCATAAGAGTTTTCTTAAATGATCACTCATTTAACACTTTTACCCATATTCGGGTTTGTGATACAGTTTTTAGAACGTTTGTTAGTTCACCTTTCAGTAACTGAAATTCCGTTAGTTTAAATATCATTAATTGGATTTGCTGCTTTTGTGCATTATCATAGATACTCTGGTAAGGAATATCGTTTCCCACTTCTTTATTCGTTTTTTTTAATTTTCTTGTTTTGTCTTCTATCATACTGATTCATTTGGCTTTTAAAAACCTTTTTTTTTCTTTCCTGTTGAAAATGGTACGCAGTGTGATAGCTGTAAGAAATGGTTTAATAAAATATATACCATTCTATCACCGACTGCGTATAAACATTTCCGCAATCCATCTTCACACTGGTTATATAAAGAATGCTGAATGAATAAAGCATATGTCCCGCACAGAGTTTCGAAATCTCTCATTTTGATGAAGTTGCAAAGTCATGGTGCACTTCCAGTGATTCAAGCATTGGGTCTGTAAAGGACTACTTGCACGATCACTAATAAAGTCAGTTCAGCCCTGAGCCTAAATTAAAAGGTTGAGAATACATTTGTCAACACACTTGAAGAAGAAATCTTCAGTTCAAGCTATTGTTACGTGTAATCGCAATATGTTTAGTGCTGTCGTGATAAAATATTACTATCCATCTTAAGTTCGTCTACAATAAATACTATCGGTAGGCTAAATACAATCATACGGTGTGAAGAAAGCAAAACTCATACAAGATAAGTTAGATAGCACAAATGAATGGATTGATCTGAAAGTCGAAACAGAAACGACAATTGAAGTAGAAGTCTTACTGGTTAATGAGAATGGAATACATTTAAAAGTTACAAAGATATTCAGAGTCTGCCGACGCCTTTACATTTATGTACGAAGTACACCGACCCAGTAAAATCAGAAGCGAAGATGTTCAAAGAAATAGATGGAAGACTATCGATTGGTTTAGTGGCGTTTGGTCTAAGTAAGCCAAAGTTTGTAGGAGACGCGTAGCAAGACGTACCCACTGCTGAGGATGTGTGACCAAGCGCTCTGAATTAGGTGTATTTGGCGAAACTAATGCTGTCAGCATAGAATGTAGAAGACTTACAGAACGTATTTACCGCTACATCTTGCTCTCCATTTAGTATAATAGTGATGACCCTAAGACGTGATCAACCGGAAGTTAAAAGCGAGCGAGGTTTTCATAGGTGAACACTCTTCTGATGGCTTACTGTGTTCAGTAACATCTGATCATCTTTCCCAAATATGAGGGGTCGAATAGAACAACACAACAATGAAAAACATGCAACGAAAGTTTCGATTTATTGTAGTCTTCGTCAGTATTTCATCTTTTTCAGTCATCTTATAAAAGGAAAAACGGAGTTGAAAGTGCGTGACAAACTACATTTGTACGTGCATAACGACACAAAACGGGAGAAAAATTGAAAATAAACCAGTACACTTGCGTTTGATAAACATGCTAGTGATAAAACTCTTAACTGATTGTTACTTTCCAAAAAAGTGCTACGACTAGAAATTCCTATTTCTATTGTCTGCTTGTGACCTGCTTCACCCACATATTTTTTTACATTGTTGAATATCCACCAATGATCATGAGTCTCTCTGTAAGCGTGTGTGTTCACCACGTTATTCATCACATGACATTATCTCATTTTTCCATCTGATCGTAAATAGTGGATCACATGGGTTGGTACATTGACATTATCTGCCTCGCATCTTTCATTGTCTGTCTGAAAAAAATAAAGTGCGAAATCTTTCCACAGTGATCTGTACTTGACTCTGGATTCCCACTGCTGACCAGATGTGGTTAGCCCTGGTAGAATTTAATTAACTATATGGATAATCCACGTTCACAAATAGTTTATCGTTTGTTTGCGACGAAGCCAGATAATGGGCTTAGAATGCTTTGACTATCCAATGATTCGTTAATTATAACTTCCCCAAAATGGTTAAAAATTTCCCCAAAATTGGGAGCTTGGGAAACAACCGAAAAAGCTGGATAAGGTGTAAATAGATAATAAAAGTTCTTCATCTCAACACCGACGAATTCAGAATCTCAGTGGATGAAGCGATTCCCTATCCATCAAATACTTCCTCACAAATCGCACGGTTACAATTTCCAGCAACAAAAACGGCCTGTGCATCGCTCCTTGTGATAGTCTAGGTGTATCTCCCCACTGGTATTTTACAGTCAATTAAACATAATCAATCCTGAGGTCTCATTCTACAAAAATTTACAGCATGATTCCGGAATCCTTCAGAACTGTTCTCAGTGTCTACCTATGACCTCATTCAGAAAAGCACATGTGTTATGTTTCCTTTATTCATGAACAATGCCGCTCACTTGAAACGAAACAGATCCTACTTAGTTCATTTTCAAACTCTCGACTTTCATCTAGTTCGGTTTAGAAGAATTATCATACGTTTGGCAGGCGAATAGATCACTGATATGTTTTAGGCAAAAGCCACAGATAAAAGGACACCCATCGATCGTAGAACGGCCAAAAACTTGTGCAAAAGCCTGCGCAATATCCAGATGTAAATCAGGGATAATCAACAATTTGCTACTTCTATCAGACACAGACAAAGTTGAACTTTTGATTCTGAAACCTCTCTACAAAAAACATTAGAACCCTTGTCAATATGTTCACGAATGGTTAGCACAGTGAAATGGTAAAGAAACGGAATGACTGATCAAAACTTGGAAAGCGCTTGACAAATACCTGATCTAGAATATTTTACAACGCTGCCAGGCAACCCGGCTTCTTTAAAGATTGTAAGCAATAAGTAGAAGCAAACCTTTAGTTTGAATATTAAAAAAATAGACAAATAAGATGTTGAAGAAAGGCAAACAACGGAGTTCGACAGTTTTGTTCGCCGCAATAATTAGGACGTTATTGAAAATACAAGTCAGTGTCTGACGAGCAGTCTTCTAAACTAAAAAGACTCAGCCGAGCAACTAGATCTTCTTGAAGACACAGACCCCATATTTTAAACCAAGCTTGAATGTATACAGACCAAAAGAAACAAGACTGTTTTTCCGACTTTCGATTACTGATCAGTGATTGCAGTTTGAACCATCTCAAAGACAAGCTCAGTTTGGTTACGTCTTCGTTTACACCATGCCCGGTACCACGTAGACCGAATAAATGTCCACCATGAATAACCAAACAAATCATGAAACTTCTTAGACGTTGGAAAAAGCATTGAAATATGATCATGTCTGATGGCTTGAAACAGAACCCATATAGTTATTGTAAGACTAGGAATGCCTGCAAAGCGTTGATAAGTAAGACTCGCCAGTCATATAAACAACAATTGGTCAGTGATTGTAAGAATATTCCGAAACGGTTATACTCATATATAAAGAAGTGAACTCCGGGAAATAGGAAATCCGTTAGTATTGACAAGAGATGATGTCGAAAAAGATGAAGCCTTACTGAAACATTTAAGTGAAGTGTTTTCTACCAGCAATGAGGAATGACCAATAATTAATCGTGATCGGGCGGATTATCGATGGATCCTGAAGTTATTGAGAAATGTACTGAATTACAACTACTTCAGCATTCCGAACCTTATAAGTCTAATGGTCCTGACGATATTCCCCCTTGGGATTGTAAAAATCCTGCCCGATAAATGAGCAATTGTAAGGCTGCTTCTGATAGAGGTTTTAGGGTATTATGTTGAAGATGCCATAGGTATTCGGAGTTTGACAACGCTTTAACCAGTTACACCTTCTAATATGAAGCGTACTCACCAAGTGAAATCAAATGACGGAGGCGAGGAGGTTCGAAGATATATTTTATAGGCTATCAATATATCGAGGATAGTCTGAACTAATCTGCCTAGCGATTGCAGTAGATGTTGAGCACGGCGTTCCCACACGTGATCTGGTACGAATGCCTGAAAGACAGCCTTCAACTAGATAAGTCCATTAAAACTATTGTGGTCAGCATCCAATGTCGAAAACTTACAGAGCTATTTATTTTGGGGATTTATTTACCGCTACAATAGGCTATTAATAGGTCATGGCAGTAATTAAACGAAAAAATAATTAGTATGTTATACCCGACTTTTGTAAGGTCGCATTTTGTATATGGAGTTCAAAAAGCGAGTCGTTGTTTCACGTGTGAAGCGAACATTATGGAACAAGCCCAACGACAATGGACTAAAATCAATAGAGACTGAGACACCGCAACTTCATTCCATTATCTTATCACAGATTACTGGTTGATATAATATTGGTTTACCGTATACTGAGCGATGATCCTGGTATTATTATGTCTTGCCTTTTTCTTCCATCTAAGTCCGACCATTTAAGAAAGCTTTTCAAGAAATTTAAAAAAACGAGATCAAATCGTTTACGTCTGGAGTTTTGTTTCTCGCACCGAGTAGTGGATTACTGGAATTCTCTACCTTAACACGTAATATCAGCATCTTTTGTTGATATATATTAAAAACGAGATTGAACCTCTACAGTGTCCAGATGTTCAGCGCTTTGTATAAAAGGTGCGCCACAGGAAGGGTTTGATTGTAAGTAAATAATTGAGCGCATTCATTAGTCAGGATAAGAGACTTTAAAACTGTTAAAGTTATGTAGAGCCATCTATAAGCAAGTACCATGTATCCATGTTCTACTGTCTTTGTTTGCTTTTTACCATCACTCGTTAATTATAACTTCCTCGAAATGGTTAGATTTTTCTACGAAATTGGGAGCTTGGGAAACAACTGAAAAAGCGGGATAAGGTGTAAATAGATAATAAACGTTCGAAAAAGGCTTCACTTCAGCCTTCCGTGTGTAAAAAATGCGAAATTTCTAGTTTTTACACCGTCTTCAAAATGTCTGCGAATATTCGACTTTTCCATTATAAAACAAACGCTGAAACATGTGTCATCTACTGTCAACTTGATTAAAAAGCCAAATGACTAAAGTCATTTACTAATAGGAATTAACATAGTTCATATGGAGGTTAATATCAGACATACTTGAGCAAAGATTGTTGCGTATTTTCATGGTAAGTGCAAGGTTCTACGTCATTTAAGTAGACCTGTGAATAAAATTATGGGTATTACGTTCTACATCAAGAATGTCCTGATTGCATATAAATCAGTCGCACTTTTAAACTAGACACTTAATTTGTTGCAAAGTATCTCATGCAGGTAAGAAATTCAGTGCGCGGCAAGAGAAAGCTTTGTTAAAATTAAGTTAAACGTACAAATAAGTCTTAATCATAACGTCTTTCTTAAACCTGACTATTAAGAATCAAAACGATCCTTCTGTGAATTCGAAAACCTAATAAATACAAACATATACAACTATGTCTAACTGCCATAATCTTTTAAAAAACTACCGACATGAAGTGAGATGGTAATGTTCAAAAATAATGAACACAGCACCTACAAAACAACAGTGAAAGGTTATCATTTTAAATTAGCACTTACATTTTCTGTTTTCATCGCATGACGATTTCGTAGTTTGTCTTTCATGTTGTGGAAACACCCTTGCGTCGCGATGTTAGTTTAGCAACTTCTTTTTCGGTGACGGATGACGATAAAAATCGTGGTGTTAGTGCGTTTAATGGTTAAGAAGAAAGACGTACTGTTTATCTGTTTTAAGACAAGCTTGCGATAAAAGTCTATTGACAAAGCATGAAAAATAGTAGCCTAATTTTTTAAATAACTAAGTAGTTATTCCATTGTTTTCCTTTCGTTTAGCTCCCTCTATACTGACGTTCTAACTGAAGTGTCAGAATTTTCCCTTTAAGTAACTGAAAACTGTTGTTTCCGCAAATGCGATTAAAATCAGTTTCTACACAATTATATCGCTATTACACATCTAGTTTTCTTTGGAAATTCTCAAACTATCCTAATAGATGTTTGTATACATATCCCTCGAGTACTCGCAGAGTCCTTTGGAGTTTGAACACAATCCAACCTAAAAACTTTTGTTGTTCAGATACTGTAACAAACCCACAGTCAACATTGCCAGTTGCTGTCACATCAGATAACTCTGAATTGTCAGATGATCAAGATGAAATTAAAGGAAAGATGTACATTGAATTCACATGCAAGGTAATTTAACGCATAATGTTTGTATCAGGAAATCTTTTCTCTTTAGAAGTGCACTACTCGGTCAAGTAAATATTTTTCTAAGTTGGCCTATGAAAAAGGCATAGTTATAATTCGTTGTGATGGGTGCCAGAGTTTACATCTAATTGCTGATAACCTGGGATGGATTAAAGACAAACATTGGTTGGTTGTTCTTTTGCCTTGTAAAGTTATTGTTATTAATTATAGGAAATTAGAGGATTGCGTAAAGGTTAATAAAAAATCAGTATGTATAGCTTAAATGCACATTTTGAGACAGAAACCATTGTGATCAAGTTGGTTAAGCTTTACTTATGTACATCTGTAATGTAAGTCTAATGATATGTTTTTTTTATTTTTTTTCCGATACTCGTTTATCTGTTACGTTGAACCATAGTTTCCTAGTATAGGAACTCAATCTTGAGATTTTCTTTGTAATGTTAGGCTACACTTTATCCATCATATAGCCAGTCCATTCATTATTATACACTTGCAGTATACCTCATATTTTAATAGGAGTTTATTCAGGTTTAAAATATGGATCTTTAGTTAATACCTAGTTTACGCCAAGAGTTAAGGATCAGTCAACGTGGAATATCCTTTATAAGTACTGTAATTTTTGGGTCGACAATGTGAGCCGGTTCACTGCTTACCTATAAAACTGGAATCTTGTGCTGTTGATTCATTTGATCTGTATTCAGTTATACTTCACTTATTTATTCTTTAATGGTAAGTTATATAGCGACCTAGGATGTAGTTGTGTGATTCATATACCCATTTTTCAGCTGAGAATGGAGCATAATAAATCTTTAGTAGAAATTATTAAAAACTGAATACGACAAACATTTACAAAAGCATCTATATTATTTTCTGAAAGACTAATTTATATTTAGAAACTAATTCAGCATCATTATTTACATGTACACTGTCTACTTACGTCTTTCTCATTTCAGAACACACCATCCAACAAGATCAGTCTCCTCAATCAATGTATCTTGAACTCATGTTTACATTGTATAGTGTAAATAGAATAATAATAAAATCTCTAAAAAGTTTTGCTGATTCTGAGCCATATCACTCAACGTCCTCATCCATTTATTCCAATTATCACGAGGACCCTAACCAGGTAGTCAACATTTATCGACATATGTCAGACTGACAGTCGATGACTTTATTGACTGATGTTATGTTTTTGACTTGGTTGCTACTAGCTTTACTTCAACCTACTCCTATACCAGGTAGGGGGTGGTTGGGCATATATAATACATGTCCCAATCACAATAAATGAAGGCTCACGGCTTCAGTGGATTTGCCACTTTTCATCTTACCTCGAGACTGCTTATTCTATACTCTCATGACCCATGAGCAATGTTTCGAGGACACAATCAAAAACTTGTAGTCTGCTCATTTCTTGCTACCATAAATCACGTTTCGCAAACATAGAGAAATAAACGGTGAAGCTATATTCGGTATACTTGCCGTTCGGTCAACAAACGAATGTCTTACGCCAGAGGTAACTGGAGTTGGTAAAATCCAAGGTTTCGGCAGGCATCAACCCATCAGGGCTGACCAGAGTTTTAAGATAAATAAAGTGGTCAGGTTCCTCACTCCTCATGATTGATCTAGGCAGTGTTGCAGACTATTTCCGAAGCAATATTTTACATCTAAAAGGGGAGGAACATTCAAATCGTGCTTGTTTTGTAATTTAGGGTCATCAGAAGGTTCGGCCCTTAGCGACTTTAAATACGACCATGTCGTATATGTATTTGAAGTCGATAAGTGTATCTCTTGGTAGATTAGCCTCTGCCAGGGATGTCCTACTTACTGCCTTCTCGTGGCAGGGGTGTTGTTTACGAAAATGAGAGGACGAGAAGCGAATGTCCGGCGTTTTGTCTTGTCCTGCTTCGGTTTGGGCACCCGAGCAGTATCACAGCCCTCACACATATCAAATGAGATCTGTGTGGCGCATATATATTTGGTGCCTCCTTATACCAATATCTATGTGTTAAAATAAAATAGTCTTAGAATCAGTTTCCAGGTAGCTTAGGGCGATTAGAGCTTTTGAAACCCAATGGGTTTTCTTAACCTTCCGATTAAAGTTGGTGACAGATATAACTGCTATATTTACAGCCATATGGATATCATCTCTAGCTTCTTCGGAATAGAGGCAGTCTCTAAGATGGACCAAGTGAATGATCACGTTTGAGTTCCATCTGCATTTTAAACAGTGTACATCGATGCATGAAATTCTACGATATCAGCTAGTAGGGGTTGTTACTTCATTTGATATTGGGTTCGTAATTCGGAAATTCTAATGTATATTTCTAGTCTTGGAATGTGTCCTAAGCTCTAAGCTTTCTACTTACAAGGGGCAAATTCAAGTTGAAGGATTTATTCATATGCTTGTATTTGAAAATATATACATTCACAAAATATAATATGTGAGGGATTTATGTGAAAGTCGTTGTTGACATTACTATGCGTGTTGTTATTTAAGGTGATGTTTTCTTCATTTTCGGTCTCGACTTTGGACCCCAATTTTTTTCAGGATTTATCTGATATCTGTTAAAAAAAAAAGGTTGGAATGAATGAAGTACTTTTAGTATCATATTTTAAAACAAAGCTGATTTTTTATCAATTTGGAACAAGTAACTGATTTTTGTATGCAGTTAAACACTTTCTGGTCGTCTCTATATTTATCTACTGATTTACCTTAAATGAGACCAGATATATTGATAGTGACCAAAGTTTGCCTTTGAGCTGTATACAGGAGTGTTTCAGTAAGAATTTACGGGGACGGCTTTTAAAAATTTGGTCTTTGAATAAATCTGTATTCTGAATTAAGGGTGTTTCATAGAGTTATGAAGTGGTGGCTTGGTGATTCAAGAGATCGATTTCCAATCGCTAGGCCGTCAATTTGAGTCTCGTTTCTATCATTTCAGTTTAGGCAGCTAGGATAATTAAAAGTGATCGAATTGGTGTTCTAAGAATTCCCAGACTAGTTCAATTTAAGGTAGGTAGAGCTCGATGAGCACAACTGAACGTATTGTTTTTGGGATTTGAATTAGCCAAGGAATAATGTACAAGGGAATCATTGTTGTATGTAAACATAACAGAAACCCAGTAATATTACAAGCTCATAGTTGAGTGCACAAACACGTACTTAGCAAATGAGTTTCCCTACAAAAAATTTCGAAATCGGTTCAATCTTAACTTAATCAAACAAGAGAATTGTTAACTATCCATTAGATAAAGCCTCCAATCTGTACACAGGTTCTTGTCTGATTTTGACTTCAATCCAATATTGTTTTCATTTTATATTTGAGAATGTGACCCTATTTCTAGTTGCTTTATATATCCACTTAGTGTTTTCAACCTTATTAGCTTGATCACTAGGCTCTGCGAGAGTGCGTCATTGAAAGTGGTACCAAGGAAGTACATCAACTTTGCACAGGCTCTCCACTCGTAAACTGATGGGTGAGTCAAGACTTATTGCGAACCGTCACTAGGATTTTCAACTTCAAGTAGTGTTCGTCAGAACTTTCCACTTTTCTCATTTTTATTTAACTTCATCATAGACATCCTCTTAAAATTAACTCTCTCATCGCCCGACTTTATGGGTTGATATCCTACCAGGAAATTCAATTTTTGATCTAGAATATACAGATTGTATAATTAAGTTTGAAGACATACAGAGTCTCCTCATCTCCTTAAGCAATAATGCAGGTATATTTAGATTGAGATTTTCTCCCTTCAAATTCAAAATGCTGCTTCAAGACTGGGTCTGTCGAAATCTCGTTACGGATTTAGAAGGCTCAACTGACTTGCCAACTTGTGGCATATGTGTAACATTCGTTTACCAACCAAAATACGAGTCTGCTACGCAACAATCCACTTCTTTCTACTCTATGGGTGTGGAAAATAGTCATTAAAGATAGAGGATGTTCGCATGTTACTAGCATTCGATTATAGGTGTCTTCGAAGCATCGCTCGTCCATTTCGGGACCAACGAGTAAGTACCCGGGTTGGAGAAAGGGTACTAGGTAAAGATGAAAAAGCGATAGATGAAGTAGCAAATCTTCAACTGAGGAAATCAGAAGCGGTAACTAGTTTATTTTCGGATAGCGCAGATCACAAAGCTGTAAGCGCATCAAGCGGATTTGAAGTAGAGGCGGATATATGTATATGTGAGCAAATACATAAGCAAATTTATAGTCAAATCGCGTAAGTGTACAGGAAAATCTAATAATAGGATTTGAGTACATAAATACATGAGGAAGAAAATGAATCATCGAGCGATATTTAAGCAATCAACATTTTAGCTAGTATTTCATGTGATCTAGTGATCATAACAGTACAAAGGAATAGATGGGTTGTTACTATTTGAATAACATTGTCTGTTAAGTAAGATAATAAAAGGGATTAGCCATAACTAACCATAATAGAAAATGATTGTAGGGTAGTTGCTATACTATTACCACCAATACTGTTAGTACCTCTACTACTCTGGGATTCGCCCTAACAATTTAATCTTGGTATGCTAATGGGATATGGCAACTTGGAACGATCTACACACACATTAGGTCTCATGTTGAATTTGGCTGAGTGACTTCCAATTGCACTAAGACTAGAACTCAGAAATTAAGTGTTGATTAATTTATTTATTTTATTTTATTTTAACACATAAATATCGGTACAAGAAGGCACCAAATACATATGCGCCACACAGATCTCATTTGATATGTGTGAGGGCTGTGATACTGCCCGGGTGCCCAAACCGAAGCAGGTGGTTTTCTTAGGGAGCCACACCCCGAGCCTTTGACCTGAACGTCTGATCCACAAGGCAGTGGAGCATCGTGAGGAGATGCAGTCCCATGGTAGCCGGTGACCAACGATTGGTTCATACGCCATTTGTTCCCACAGGATACTGGAGCCCATGTGCACCATTGGTTTAGGATCCGGTTATAGCGCCGGACATTCGCTTTTCGTCCTCTCATTCTTGTAAACAACACCCCCGCCACGAGAAGGCAGTGAGTAGGACTTCCCTGGTAGGGGCTATGTACGCGTGGCCATATGAGAGCATTTCGAGAGGGGGAGCGGACTCCCTCCACTCTCGGCCGTACCAGGGCATTTGGGGGCAGTTAAGTGTGAAATAGGTTAAGACAATGATGATTATCGAAGATCCCAGTTCTATTTACTACAAAGAATCAAACATTTTTTTCGGTTCCGCACTTGACAAGTCAATTATTTTATAATTTCAGAGTCACTTTTATTGAAAAGTTATCCGATTTTTACAATTTCGTGCCAATTACAACTAATAAAGTCCCAAAAGCTTGAAATATTTGTCCATTTTCAATTACTTAATCCTATCTACCGTGGTGTACGCTTATCTCATACAAAACTAGCAACTATTCAGTATCGATAGATTTTTAAAAAGGTACTTTACTTACCTAAGTAGACCATCATTTTTTGATGGAGGTTCAGCAAGTGGATGACGAGTGAAAGATACTGATGGATTAATTGGTCTGGCTCGTAAGCTGATGCGTACTGTTTGACTATGTGAAACATTATTGGACTCAATATTTGTCTCTTCCATGTTCGATGAGATTTTCAAGTTACTATCAGCATGCTGCTTTCTCCTGAGGCGTCTTCTACTTCGAACACTGACCTTTGGTGTTGCGTTTACTTCTGTTTCAAGATCTCCTTCATCATTTGATTCAAGGTCAGGTTTTTCTCTTTTACAGTTTGTTCTATTTCTATCACAATGAGATCGAAAACAGTCGAGTACAAATGAATGTGGAGCATCTGTTTTCAGAGAATTTTTATCAGCATGCGAGCAAGAAACACGGTAGTTGGCATTCAGAAGACAAGAACTAATGAGCAGAAAAAGTCAAGATATCAGTTATGTGTTTGAAGTAATTTGTGTAACAGATGCTAACTGGTAGTTGAAAATGAGATGTAGACTATCCGACTATGTAACAAACGTACAATGTTTACGTGATAGCAGTTTTCATCTATTTATGTCTATGATTTAATTCACGATTACTCGTCCTTTGAAAAACATCAGAATTATACTCGAAATTGAAGAATCTACATAAAACCACAACTTATTCATGATGACATTAGAGGTGTTTACTAATTCTTAACAAAATGAGAGTATTTGAAATTAGACATCGAATCAAGGTTGCACTATACATTGATCCAGGTGCTGATGTGAGATTAAGCGGTAGTGAATAATTAAATTGATCATAGAATCCCGACGTTCTTGAAAGTTCTGATTTGCCGTTAGATATTTAGACAAGTTGTAAATATTCAGTATTAAGTTTAGCGATTTTGTTTTGTTTTCCATTTAATTATTTTAACTGAGCGTGAGTAGCGTATACTAGTAGATGAGCCTGATCACTAATGACATCAAAATTATAGAAAATAGCAACCCAAGTGTTGTGATCAATTTGATATCACTTTGTTACCGTTCTGAGTGATGCGAAGATTGGCCAACTTTTCTTCTTGTGCTATATTAACACATTTTGTGTAAATTCTACAGGATATATGAAATAAATAATTTCCACTGGCTTTAAGATTTTTGCTGAGGGCTTTTACGGGCTTCGTGGAAATCTGTTGGAAATGCTAAATCACTAAATATAGCATTTAGGAAGAAATCAATCTTACGATTCGTTCAATAAACTAAAATGAATTCTGTTCATTGATCATCAGTGCACTTTCATTTGTACTGATTCATTTAATACGAAGTTAGTTTACGGAATTTCATTGTATTAGTAAATTTACTGTTATTCAGCATTTAAGTTATACCCTGTTTAGTTGATAATCACTGGAATTATTCGGTATATTATTGCATTTGTCTTTTAAAATAGCTTGGAACAGAAGAGAAGAGAGATGTTATGTAGTGAACATTGGATGTGGAGTGTGGTGTTTCAGACAGTTGTCAAAATTAGGTGACTAATTCTGTTGTACAGACCAATTTTCATTTAGTCCTACTTACGGTTCATCAGCAGGATGCAGTCATATTTCAATGTTTGATGTCTACACTTATACTCGAACTAAGTAACAACCATTTTAAGTTCCAAAAATGACATAGTAGTAAGTTAGAAAAAGGCTACATGTAGCCAAAAACGGACATGGGGTGGGTTAGTGAAGTCACTGGTTGTTGGTAGACTGTCAGGTTGAAGTCTCTTGCGATTATAGTGATTGGTAGTTGGATTGACTGTGTAATATGGCTAAGTATTGGTCACTATAACCTAAATGAATTCACTGTCTGCTTCTAGATCCTGAGTTCTAAATTCACTTTGCACATCTTTCGTGATCTTATTCTTTCCTCCTAAATCCTATTCTCTATGTCTAATTATTTGTACTTATTATCATTACTTCTGTATTCATCTTGATAATTTTATATCGTGCTAAAAACTTGAGACAGTGCGTATTTCTGTCACGTTTTATATTGCTTGTGACTGACTGAAGTGTCAAACAATTATCCATTAAGTTACTAATGAGTAACGATGAGTAACATCGTACGAATGCCTATAAACTTCTACAAGTTTTTTTGCAACAGATTTAATGTCTTAATAAACAAAATGTTCGTAGTTTTATTCTCCAAATAACTGACTAGGTATGTTTTTAATGCGCCTTAAAAACGAATTTTGTTTTATATATGGCCAATTACTTACTTACTTACTTACGCATGTTACTCCCAATGGAGCATAGGCCGCCGACCAGCATTCTCCAACCCACTCTGTCCTGAGCCTTCTTTTCTAGTTCCATCCAATTCTTGTTCATTTTTTGCATATCTATCTCCATTACCCGGCGTAATGTATTCTTTGGTCTTCCTCTCCTCCTTCGACCTTGAGGATTCCATATGAGGGCTTGTCTTGTGACGCAGTTCGGTGCTTTCCTCAATGTGTGTCCTATCCACTTCCAACGCTTCTTCTTGATTTCTTCCTCCACTGGGATCTGATTTGTTCTCTCCCACAGTAGGTTGTTGCTTATAGTGTCCGGCCAGCGGATCTGAAGTATTTTGCGTAGACAACTGTTATTAAACACCTGTATCTTTTGGACGATGGATTTCGTAGTTTTCCAGGTTTCCGCGCCATACAGTACAACTGTCTTGACATTTGTATTGAAAATTCTGACTTTGGTGTTGGTTGCTAATTGTTTTGAGTTCCAGATATTCTTCAGTTGTAAATATGCTGCTCTTGCTTTGCCAATCCGTGCCTTCACATCTGCATCAGATCCACCGTGTTCATCGATGATACTGCCCAAATATGTAAAGGTTTTTACATTTTTCAAAGCTTCTCCGTCAATTGTGATTGGATTGGTGCATGCTGTGTTGTATCGCAGAATCTTGCTTTTCCCTTTGTGTATATTGAGACCTATTGCTGCTGAGGCTGCAGCTACACTGGTTGTCTTCTCCTGCATTTGTTGTTGCGTATGCGATAGAAGAGCCAGATCATCTGCGAAGTCTAGATCATCCAATTGCATCCTAGCTCTCCGCTGTATCCCGTGCTTCCCTTCAGATGTTGACGTCTTCATGATCCTGTCGATCACCAGGAGGAAGAGAAAGGGTGAGAGTAAGCAACCTTGCCTGACACCGGTCTTTACCTCAAAGGAGTTTGTCAACTGTCCTCCATGCACGATTTTGCAGTTTAATCCATCATAGGAATTCTGTATGATATTGACTATCTTCTGAGGCACGCCGTAGTGTCGAAGAAGCTTCCATAGGGTTGTTCTGTCCACGCTATCAAATGCTTTTTCGTAGTCGATGAAGTTGATATAAAGTGATGAATTCCATTCAATTGATTGTTCCGCAATGATCCGTAGAGTTGCGATTTGGTCTGTGCTCGATCTATCCTTACGGAATCCTGCCTGTTGGTCTCGAAGTTGTGCGTCTACGGAGTCCTTCATCCTGTTTAACAATACCCTGTTGAAGGCTTTTCCTGGTATTGAAAGAAGAGTGATTCCCCTGTAGTTGTCACAGTTGCTGAGATCGCCTTTCTTTGGTATTTTGATCAGAAGTCCTTCTTTCCAGTCTTTTGGTACCTGTTCCTCATTCCAGATCTTTCTGAAGAGAGTTTGGAGTATCCTTGCAGTTGCCGCTACGTCTGCTTTCAGTGCCTCCGCTGGAATGCTATCTGGTCCTGCTGCTTTGCCACACTTGATTTGTTTGATAGCCATGCCGATTTCTTCAATTGTTGGTAGGCCAACATCGATTGGGAGGTCCGTGAGTGCTGCTTCGATGTTGGGTGGGTTCAGTGGGGCTGGTCGATTCAAGAGTTCTTTGAAGTGTTCTACCCACCTGTTTCGTTGTTCTTCAATGTTGGTGATTATCTTGCCTTCCTTGCTTTACACTGGTCGTTCTGGTTTACGGTGATTTCCGGAGAGTTTCTTTGTTGTTTCATACAGTTGTCTCATGTTTCCTTCTCTGGCAGCCTTTTCTGCCGTCAATGCCAAATCTTCCACATATTTACGTTTGTCAGTTCTGATGCTCCTTTTCACTTGCTTGTTTACTTCTGTGTATTCAGCTTGTGCCTTGACTTTTTCTGCTCTTGTTCGACTGGTATTGATTGCTACTTTCTTGTTCCTCCTTTCTTGAATCTTATCCAGTGTATCGACCGTGATCCAATCCTTGTGATGGTGCTTCTTTTGGCCCAGAACCTCATGACATGTTGAAGTGATTGCCTCTTTTATCTCTTTCCAGTTGCTCTCCATAGTAGTTCCTTCTCCATTGAGTAGATCATGAAAGGCTTGGAACTTATTGCTGAGGGTTATCTTGAATTTATTGAGTTTGTCATTATCCCGAAGAAGATACGTATTAAATTTTTGTGATATTGTCCGCCCCGTTGTCCAGTGCCTCTTGAGTTTCAATTTCATCTTGGCGACCAGCAAGTGATGATCTGATGCTATATCAGCTCCTCTCTTGGTTCTCACGTCCTTCATCGTCCTCCTGAACTTTTGTTGATGCAGATATTGTCGATTTGGTTTTGTGTGGTGTGATCCGGTGAAGTCCATGTGGTTTTGTGTATGCGTTTATGTGGGAATATAGTCCGCCTATGACCAGTTTATTGAAGGCACATAGGTTCGCAAATCTCTCACCATTTTCGTTTCTTTCTCCCAGTCCGTGTCGTCCAATGATCTCTTCATATCCGCTGTTGTCTCCCATCAGAATAGTCAGGTCCTTTGTTGGGCACTTCTCGACGATTGACTGCAGCCTATCGTAGAATTGATCTTTAGCGTCTTCATTGTAGTCATTGGTAGGCGCGTAGCATTGGATGACGTTCATTGTAATCCCCGTTTTCTTTGTTTTGAAGGAGGCTTTGATGATCCTTGGTCCATGAGATTCCCATCCTATAAGTGCATTTTTTGCTTGTTTGGACAGCATCAATGCAACTCCTTGTGTATGTGGAGCATTTTCTTGTTCATGTCCGGAGAATAACAGCAGCTCCTCTGAAGATAGTCGTTGTTGTCCAACTTGCGTCCAATGTGTTTCACTGATCCCAAGCACCTCTAAATTGTATCTTCTCATTTCTGCAGCAATTTGGAAAACTCTCCCAGTCTCCCACATTCGGCGAGCATTCCATGTACCTAAATAAATGGTTGCTCTGGTTGTCAGAAGGGGCATCGGCCTCGTGACTTCCGAAGAAACTTGGCTTTCATCATGAGGCGTCATAATTCTTCTAAACGAAGACCTCCTGACTCCCAGGGCAGAGTTTAAATGGTTTGAATAATTTTTTCTGGTTAGCGTTTCTTTAGCGAGTTAGTTTTCTACGGGATGGGGTCGCTAACCCCATGCCCAACCCTCCTCCTTTATCCGGGCTTGGGACCGGCAGTAGCCCCCGGAAAGGGACTCCAGGCGGAGTTATATGGCCAATTAAGACTATATTTAATATAGAGAAGGGACTGGATAGACATGATATCAATCCCTACTTATAAATCAATACAATTGTGAATAGAGGAAATAATGAGGCCATTAGAATTATCCTTCAAAGTTAGAAGGAGAACATTTTTAAACACATACCTACACTACTTGGTAAAAAAACTTTTATTAACCAAACAAACAAAATAAAAAAGTCCACTTACTATATGTCTGTTTGTTTAGGCACAGTACAACCAAAAATTGACGCTAATTGATCAATCATGTAATATAAAGGAACATCTGGAAGTTCTTCATACGCCACAGTAACCATACCGATGATACGTTTAAATGTGCCATAATTTTTATTCGTTGAACTATCAGCTGATACTTGAACTTTTGATTCATCTGATCCAGTACCTGAATGGATAGAATATCAAAAGAATTTTATTACAGAGTGACAACGAATAATTATCACTGAAGAAAATGTCGCTGAAACAAACATGTGTAATAAAACTTCTTGAAAAGTACGTAGGTTTTAAGTGTAGAGCAAAGAGATATTCATCGATCCTGCTTACGTGGTAGCTTTAAACCAGTAAATTCCAAGTTCGAACCCCACTTCACCCACTTTGATTTCAGCAACCGGGTAGTATCACTAGACTTCACACTTGGATGGTGGCTTATACCCAAGTACCTGGTGAAAACGTTCATTAAATCGTTAAACCACCTCGTACTTTGAACTTTAATGTTGGAAGAAAACTAGAGATGACCAACCGAAAAGATGACATCACTCCATGAAATCAATGACTGCTAGTTTGAGCCATGTTCGTAGTTGTAGATGTGTGTGAATTTGTCAAAAAGAAAATCTTTTCCACAAAATTATCTTCATTTTTCCCAAAATGACCGAATGGATCTCTTTCGTTATTAATGCGATTTATTAAAATGAGAAAGATCAAAATACTCTACATAACTAGTACTGTTATCCCCCATAAAGCTACTATTTTCAGACCAATAATAAACACATAGTATAATTATTATCACTAGAAAAATGCATTTTGTGAATTAAACCAGAGAAAACTAAGGAGAAACCATTCAAATCTTTACAATCGGACTGGTTATTAATCACCTACAGACAGTTTTATTTCCCAATGTTTTTTTTATTATCCGTCATTTAACAAAGTTATTCTCATGAGTGTATGCTGTATGACAATAAGTGCAGTTATATGCACAAAACATATGAAGCTTTATGTAATAGTTAGTTAGTCACACCCCCCATGTATGAGATTGTAATACAGCATTATCACGACAATGGAACCAGCAACAGCACGACTGACAAGTTTCAGCTGTTATAATAATAATAATCACATTGCCTTTGGTACATATTTAAGTACAAATATCAAGCACTATATTTCAACAACTGCAATAAATAAGATACACTGGATATTATTCTCAAAAATATTATTCGGACTAAATTATTTTATTTTCAACGCTTAATTACCAAAAGTCTAGTATCACGGATACGAAAAATACCTGTTGAGATATTAGCGATTTACTTACACTCCTAATTTATTTCTTTAATAAACATTAGACTTTTCAGTATATCACCAGTTTAAATAACAGTCCACTCTGTCATTTCATGACTCGTTTTGAAGAAAAGCTTTCGAAAGAAATTTAGCCTATTTGGTCAACTTACCCCCAAATGCCCTGGTACGGACAAGAGTGGGGTGGGCCCGCCCTCCCTCTCGAAATGCTCTCACACGGCCAAGCGTATATAGCCTCTGTCAGGGAATTTCTACTGATTGCCTTCTCGTGGCGGGGGTGTTGTCCACGAAAATGAGAGGACGAAAAGCGAATGTCCGGCGCTATAACCGGATCCCAAACCAATGGTGCACATGGGCTCCAGTATCCTGTCTGAGGGAAAAAATGGCGTATGAACCAATCGTTGGTCACCGGCTACCATGGGACTGCATCTCCTCACGATGCTCCACTGCCTTGTGGGTCAGACCTCTAGGTCAAGGGCTCGAGGTGTGGCCGTCTAAGTAAACCACCTGCTTCGGTTTGGGCACCCGGGCAGTATCACAGCCCACACGCAAATAAAATTTTGTGTGGCGCATATATATTCGGTGCCCTCTTGTACCAATATTTATGTGTTCAAATAAATAAATAATAAATATTTGGTCAGCTTAACTAAAAATAAGGACGATTAAAGGACCGTTCCGCCTTTCTATGGAGTAACAACTCATACTATCATCCCAATCTAGAGATAGGAATATAATGTCGGTGGATTAAACATTTAATTCTTAGTCACTTGATTTTACGTCTGATCTTCGCCCCAGCTACGCTGGTTAGGTACTGCGTTCACCCAAAACCAATCTTTGGACACTCTTTAAACCTTTTGTGCCTCTTTGATTGATCTCACTTCATCGAAGAACCCAACCTAATCCCTTCCCTTTGCCATCCCCCGGTACGTAATAACCAATTGTAGCACTCTAAAACCAATAACATTCGACGCAACTGGCAATACAACACTAAATTCTACGGAAAACGGTACAATACCAACATACTTGTGTCCAATTGTGTTGAAGATGAGTGATTTTCACCATTCAAACAACTTGATATACCATTGTTGACGTTTTTGGGAGGGTAGCCTAAATCCGAGAGAAACTCATGTAGGAATGTACGACTATGTAAAGGTCCAATCCAAATAGGACCAAACACATGAAATTTCGAACCGCATTCTATACATTGAGGTCCTACAGGTGGGCCAAGAGCTGCGGCAACTACTTTAGTAGTACTAACTGCTTCTCCAAGAGGTTGTATATGATAGGCCTAAAAACAATAAAAGGCAAACAAAAGTACAGTACCTTGTTCGGATGAAAATATCTACAAATTATTTGACTTACTGTAAATTATACTACACAAATTGAATAATTGTTTGTCTTTTTTATTTCCGTTAATGATAAGGGGATTAATGACCAAATTTCAAATACTGTGATAACAAAATTAAGCAATTGCTTTTAGGATAGGAAATGTTTAAAAGTCCCTTGAGTTTAGGATAGTCTACCTGACAAATCAGATTTATTTAAACAGCTATTAAAAATCAGAGGCCACTGGACAGCTATATTGTCCTCAGCGGTATGCATCCACGTGCCCCCCGTCAGTGATATTGATATTGAGTGACCAGGTTCAATCCTTAGCATTAACAATGAGAAACACAAACTCTAACAAATATCGTACACGTCTTTGCTATAAATCTTAATTCGTAGATTATCTTAGGCACGTATTCATTTATATACTTTATCTTCCTTATAACCATCAAATGAACAGACTCTCATATCTCGTTTCTATATACTATTTTTATTCTTATTATCCTCCAACTTTCAATTCTGACCACCTTTTAGTACCTCTGTTAATGACGCGAAAACTCTGTTCTATAGTAGACCCTTATATGTAAAAAACAACTATAAATGTGACTATATAGCTTTAGTGACATCATCCAGAAGAAAATTTTCTTTGTCGAGACATCATTCATTTTTATGAATTAATAGGTTTCTTCCTTTATCATATATCTGACTATCCACAAAAGATCCTAAAATCTTAGATTATTCGAGATATTTCCGATAATCCAACGGATAAAATCACAGTTCCCAACTACTAAACAATTATTATAATAAAACAAGATTTGAACGGAACGGAATATTCATAATCGTAGAAATATTACTCACTAAGCATCCACGACAAACATAACAAATACCATGTTTAGCTGCAATAGCTTTTACAGATATCGGACTGGACCAAACACGTACAAATACTCGAATATAGAAATCCACTGACAACGATAATAAAGGTTCAATAACTTTACCATGCTGACTGGCAGCCAACTGCATAGCATTTAAAAGTATTCGTAATCCCTAAACCAAAAAATGCAATATCGATTACTAAACATGGTTATTATGATGAATAACATTTTTAACTTGGTTTTATGAATATTGTGATACAATTTGTTTTAGAATGAAAAAGTTAGACCCTGAATCATCCGCGATTCTAGAATAAAACTCATGGACGTAGATTCCGACTTTTAAAAAAAGGTGATCCACAAAACGGAATAGTGATTTTATGATGTGCAAAAGACGGATAAATTAAGACTGATGATAACTTCCATCACATTTTGAAACCTAAATATTTAAATATGTCGAAGTAAGGTTTAGATATACTAGACTTATTTGACCTCTGAGGATTTCTAGGGGAATCGTAAACAATGGAAACGGAGGAGGGATATATGTATTGCCGAGAAAGGGAAGTAATTTGAAGGACATAAAGTTGATGTGTCCTAAATCGTGTGGTCTTATGACCTCAGTTTGTGTATTTATTGGAAAAACAACTACATATATAGCATAGGTGAGGCAGTAAGTTGTAGGTCTAAATTCCACTGCAGCTACCTCTATATGTACGACCGAGGAGGACCACAACTCTTCACACAAAGTTCGTAGTTCAAAGCTGAGTACGATATTACTCCGAAATAAATAAAACGACATAATTCTGTTACTGAGTATTTCGAAATCGATTTTAACTGATAAGAATTTTTTAAATTCACAGCTCAAAATTCCTTATGGTTATTTATTTATTTGAACACATAAATATTGGTACAAGGGAGCACCACATATATGTGCGCCACACAAAACAATGAAAAGGGGAAGAGAAAAAGAATGTAAGGTGCGTATAAGAAAAGAGAATGACGACCACAGATTCGTGTATGATAGTGAAATAATAATAATAATGGGGGAAACGGAAAGGTACAACCAGAAAGATATCTTTCAGTTAAGGAAGATACAACCACTTTTTATGAAGAAAGTAAAAGAAGGTTATAGAAGGATCGCCACTGACTTCTATTCTGAACGATATCTGATAACGTTTCTAGCCACTGTGTTACACCATCTCTCGGACCCCAGTAAGGGAGTCGTGAAGGACCAACACAAGCCAGCACTTTGCAGCTTTCTTTTATACAACGATACTATGTCATACACTGATCACCTCTCTACTTTTTCCAATCACTTCCAGCGTCGGCAAATAATACACGACGTGGAATTCTCTGGGACGAAATTTACTGGAAATTGCTTTCTTTTAGTACAAACGAAGAAAACTGTGAACGGTATGGTAATTTTCAGGCATTAATAAATGGATTTTTAGTTGGTTTTTATTCTATCTAGTTTATATTTTTGGGTGTTTTAATACTATTCCTCATCATTTTCACATCATATTTACTCAACTAAAACATCATTTTAAGTTGACTATTGCCAAATTAATCGCTGGGGAATTAAAGGTATATTCATCTGCCACCTAGTGAACGAAACCTAGTCCCTAGATCATACTATGATAATATGCAAGAACCTAATAGGTCCTTTGACAGTCGCCCCATCGTCGCACTTAGCCAGCCAAAACCATGACATATAAGTCATAGTTTCGTTGTTTTGAAGATATATATACAAGAGTTAGATAAAGTTATTAAATTCAACAGAATATTAGTTTGCAGTCCTTGGAGCTCTGTAACTCGCCTCTACCTACACTTATATTTGAGGAAACAGAAGTTAGCCACACAATCCACTGCATGTCACGACTCTGAGTTAAAGCCTATCTCATTGTCAATAGATTGAATGTGAGATTGTCCACGATTTAAATGAACAACTTTTGAGCATGTTGAGGTGCAGCTCAAACAGTGACACTGATCTTTCTAGAAAATAGTAAATTATGGCTTAGTGAGTCGAAATTATCGATACTGCTATTTGATAAGACCAATGGCAGAAGAGTTTTAATCAAATTCAAATACTTATACACTTGTGTCAGCAAGAGACTGTCTGGTTCATCGGAATGTACCTTGGGGATCTTACCACGTATAGGTCCCGGATTTTTCTGAATGAATAACTAGAAACAATTGGAGATACTATCACTGCTTAGTACTAAAATGAGTCTACCGGTAGTGTTCGTTAGGAAGTGACTTTTCACTTGTTGCATACGCCATTGAGAACAATAACAGAGAAATGAATTCAAGTGAAGGTTAGCGGAACTCAGAAAATTTGACATCATACGCTTTACTAGATCATAGTTTGTTAATATTTTACTGTGACTAAGAATTCAGAACTTACAACTTCATGTGTAGAGCCTGTTTTAATAGCCATCCCACCATATTTTCCCATCGAGGTTCCAGGAGTGCTCCCACATAACACAGCCAAATCTGTTGAAGTGACGCAAAGAAGTCCACCACTCCGTAAACACTGGACAGCCGTGTTTAAAAACGGGCTTGCTGTACCGAATGGGTCGATATCGACCACATCAAACCTAACAGGAGTCAGAAAAAGTAGGATCACATGAAATACACAAACGAGACATAATCAGACTTTTCGACAATGAGACCACTAATTGAAGACCATTACATAAACATTACCCGATTGGTTAGATTGCTTTGTAGAGTTACAGTGGATATAATTTGGTGACAAAGTACATATATGCATTCTGGATCTGGAAAAATTATGTTGGTCAAGGGCTCGTGAAACTTTACGTTCAGCATTCACTAGTCTCAGGCAATTAATCCTGACCACGTTTTTCTTACGCGTTCTAACTTTTTGATTACTGGTGTGAAGTGTTAGTAACATGGGTTTAATCGTTAGGGAGAGGCAACAATTAAATGGTGGATTCATACATCCCAAAAATCATGTTATACATAGAAAATAAATAAATTGCAATCACAACCGGACAATGGTAATATAGCATATGACAGCGTCAATCAACTTAATTTATAACACTACATCAGGGTGACGAAACTTGATAAGATTGAAGTCAGGGGATAAGAAATAGTAATAACACTAATGATAGTATGAAAAGAAATCGGTTGATGAGTAAGAAACGTGTCAGCAATCTATTTTATAATTGACAAAATATTCCCTTTATTTATCCCACCTACAGAAGACAAGTTAAGGAACTTCCTGATACTACCAAACACTAAAGTTGATTCCGTTGCTTTCTGGAACAATCGTTTATAACTGTGGACTATAAAAATTTTCTTTGATGAGAAACATACAAGGATATACAACTAGAAACTAGACTAACAAAAATACCTCACCGAACATACAACCGAATCTATTGCTATTGCTTTTACTAATTTAGACCGCATTTTAGATAAGCTTTCCATGGACGCTCAAAATGAATTATTTTGTTTATTTTATTTTAACACATAGATATTGGTACAGGAGGCACCAAATACATATGCGCCACACAGATCTCATTTGATATGTGTGAGGGCTATGATACTGTCCGGGTGCCTAAACCGAAGCAGGTGGCTCAAAATGAATTCTGATAATAAACATTGTTCGACAACATTCCGGATATATATACACAAAGTACTGATAAATCTTGTTGTCATATGATCTTACAAATTTATTCATATAGAGATGCTTCAGCCAATGATTATTTGTGAACTAAATTAACACACTAGAAAATAAACAAACTTTTCGCCAAATAACCGACGTTGATGCATAAGGTCGACAGCGTCACCGCAGACTGTACTGACAATATTCTCCACATTATTGTGAGCAACATTCTTCTGTATCAAAGCGACAGCCTCTGAACTAAGATCATTGGCAATAATACTCGATACATTTGAAACTTCGAGAGCCATTCTAACAGATCTAATTCCTGATGCTGCTAATGCCTCCAAAATCTTTAGACCGCAAGGGAAATCAGGAGTTTCTTTCGTAGTGATGCTTAATGGTCATCAAAAGGAATCATACCATCTATTTTGTCCTTCGTTTTCAGAATAGCTTCTCTTCTGTGCAACTTTCCGAACTGATTTACTACAGCTATTGTAAGGTCTCTGTTAAATTCTTGTACAGGGTTGTAAAACACGCCATCTGGAAGCATGACTTCCGCACAACCTTCTTTAATAAAAGATGTGCTAGCCATACGCACGTTGCACGATATACGTTGAAAAAGACGGACTGTTTTGCGTACCAAGGTCATCAGGGCAGTAGCGCATAAACATCAGACTTAGTCACAAGGTCTTCAGTTTAAAATGGTTCAACTGGTTCTGAACGGAATAGGAGAAAACAGGAGACCATATTGTCTCTGTTAGTCATGGAAAAAGTGTTCTCTCATTTTTTTGAAGTAGTCCACCGATGGAGCTCTAATCACGTGCTGAGGTAATGAATCCCACTCGTTGATAATTCGATGGGAAAGTCGATCGTCAGCTGACAGGTAATTTGTTCTAGGCTTATGAACTTAATTAATCCTTGGATTTGAAAGACAGGAAAAATGTGGACACGTCAGATACAAAATTATCACTAATTAATTTAAAAACTGTAGTCAAGTCGCCTCCGGATCTTCTACATGAAACTGGGAGTCGGACATCCGTAGTCACAACAGTGTCTGTCTTTATCGGTGACAAATTACATATGTCCTCCAGGCTTTGGATTTGGACTGAGTCCGATATGTTGCATATGGCCAATATATTGATGTAAAATGAATGGAACAAAATAATGTCTACAACACGAATACTGTGACGAAAATTCCGGTATATATATATATATATATATATATATATATATATATATATATATATTAAAACTTATGTTAAACTTAATAAGCAAAAAACCAATAAGCAAAAGAGACATTGAATTTGTGTCGAAAATTGGGCTCACCAACATCGAACTATGGTCTAGTTCGGTATTAGTACACTTATCTTCGCTACCACAATAATTGACCTTATCCCTTAATTGTAGATTTGTCATGACGTGACTACCTAGTCTTCAATGACTCGTCCGATAGTGACTATCAGTAATATTACGTCAAGCATTTTTGAAGAACACATTTGAACTGGGAAGATAGTAATATATTTGTTCCAAAAACGAAAGATTTGGTGAAGGGTGACCAAGCCATGCCATCTTGATTCTTCCTCCCACTCTCAGTAATGTTGGTCATTTTCTTCTGTCACTTGTCGAATGTAAATCTTCTCAGTAATTGTACTATCAGCTTCAAGGATCTTGCGGTTAGGAAGCAGAACCACTACAATATTAAATCTTAAGCCATTGCCCCCAGCTTTATCTTATACCGTAGGTTACTTGCTCTTATTGTCTTAGTGCATTGTGTTCTGCCCAGTAGTACCTTTCGAGTCTTAACAGTCGAAGACTGTGATCCTTTATGACTACATGTTGTGTGTAGCCATTGAGGATAGTACGTGAAATAGGTTGACGGTGTGTGGCTCTTTCTCCATCGAGTTGCTAACTCCACATTCTTCAATAGTCCCAGACCCTCAGTAAGGTTGAAAAACTGAGCTTCAGTAGAGTTGTCACTACCAGTATACATAATCTCTCTCTCTATATATATATATATATAATCTCTATTTTTAGAGATGATAAGGACAGGTAACTGATCAAAGAATATAAAAGAAGAGTTTAGAGTTGCGAACTGTTTGAGTAAGACTATAAGTAAGAAGAAGAACACGATACTTCGATGCTAGTGACAATTTAAAAAATTAAACTTATAGAACACGAACCGGAATGGGCTCATAATTATTTAGGACGTTCTAAGCTTCCTATAATCGACCATAGTTCAGCAGTACTCAAATGGTTAGTCAATTATCTGTTTACGAACTAGTGAATTAGGAATTATTTTGTTCAGTGTTCATGTGATTGATGTTTGTTGATGATTATTTCTATTTAGTCAAAGACAATCGGTTAAGAGATGTGTTAGTCGTTGGAGGGAATGAGGATGATTCATCTCATCGTAGTTCAAAATATTTTTGAGTCCCTGATATGTGCAACACCATCAGTAGTTGTGTGGGTCAACAGGAAACTGAAGAAACATGGTTATTTAATAATTATAAAGAGGGAATACGAAGTGTATAAGGAAAAAAAAGAATGAAAAACGACGTTAGAACTGCGACATATAAAATGTGAAATTGCAAAGGCTATTTGAGGGTTGAATAATTGCGATCTGTGACATAGCCGCCAGATGCCAGTCGGTTGTTTATTCACAAAATTATATGTTTGACGGCTCATCGTTAAGTGTAGCTTAGTCTAGGTAAGCTTCATCAAGCATGTGGGAGACTCCGAATTTGTCCTTAAAGTAGCTTAGGGTATATCTAAATTGGGTTGCTGTTTGACTTGACACAATTTTTACTGGTAACCTATCCCAAAAGCTTGCATAGCGTGTGACAAAGAAAGTTGGCTTCAATATGCTCTATTTTCTCAATATGCTGACCACAAAATGCTGGTGTTGAAGGGTATAATTACTATTTTTGGAGGATGTTAAAGTACCACAATTTACCGCAGTTTTATTGTAGAAAATTTTGAAAACTAAGGCAAGATTAACTTTAATTCATCCTAAACACAAGGTATCCAGTTTCCATGCTTTTATGTTTATGTGATAGGTCAGGCATGAGAAGTTTTGTGAAGTGGCAACATACTTTCTCACTTTTTTGCCGGTCATTGCAACGCGGGCATCTCAATATAGTTGGGTAGTATTCTAGTAGGGGCTGAACACATGCCTTATATAGAGTGATTTGGGATTCCTTTAAATGGAAATTATAGGTGATAAACCCAATAAGTCTTCGGGTTTTGGAGACTTGGTGTGCAGCCTTCTCGGTAATTGAAATACTTTTTGAGTATTTCACTCCCATATCCCAGATGCTACTTATCTGCTTAGATCTTTTAACATTTGCAATGTTCGGTCTTGTCTGCAAAATGGTGTGCTTCGTGTAACATATCGTTTTTTGAGGATAAATTATCATTATTTATGGGTTCGAAATAAATGAACAGGTACCAGATGTATTCGCCTCCATATCTTGTAGAAATAAAACGGATGTAGTGCAAGAAACACAGTTTGGACGCTAGGGCTTTGCTTCTCTTACTGATATCACCAAGAGGTTAAACCCCCGCTACTGGTTGCTTGTTGGACTTTCTAGGTTTGTGTATGTCTGCTATTGTTGTGGAAGTTTTAATGGGTAAGATAATCTTTCTTGATGCATCTTAATCACAGTTTTGTCAATTATTTGCTATTGGAGGTTTCGAATAAAAACGTTTGGCCCTGTCTGTTAATTTTTTCGGGAGCGATGAATGTTGATGCGTCAAAATACTGTCTGGCAGAAATTTCATCAAATGGACGCGATTTGGGATAGAATATGAACTAGTTTTAAGAGAGAAACAAATAATTTGACTGACTGTAAACTATTCTCTTGAATAGCGTTCTTATTGCATGGTTTGGGATCGACTTACCTGAACTAAGCCTGAATGTGGTTTGTTTATAAGTATCCTTTGAACTTTTGATTTCCGAGTCAATTTCATTAGATATTTCGATATTTTTCCTCGGGAAGCCTTAAAACTGAACGGTTGTTATGAAAAATAATTTCGTGATTGGCATTTCGATTCAGTGGATTGGCGATTCGCAAATGAGGAATAAAATTTGAATTTCGAGACCTGAAATTTTGACTTTTATATATTCTCTTGACACTCGTAAATTACTTTAATAGTCACTTTTCAAGAGAAGGTTGGAGAAATTATTCTAGATATATATCGATCAGTCCCATTAGAACGATTTTACGATATCTTCCAGTGACCTGAAGAGTGACTGGTATTGAGAGACAGTTGAGTCCATTTAGGATACGAACTACGTCTCAGCGTGAAAATCTCTGCAAATGACATAGCATAACGCTGTAAATAGCAAACCGTTTTTGGATTATCCGATGAACTCAGATTCTCCAGTAGATTTGACCCGGACGCAGACAATTGTGTCAAATAGTACGAATCTAAAAAGAATCAAATCAAACACATATTATTCAAACTAATTATGTGTGCATTATGCTGATGACGCGTCACTCACTTGATTCAGCATAACTATGAAAACACATCAAACGAACACAAAACATTCGTAGATTTAACGATCAAAAATGAGTTAAATACAACAGAAACTCTTGAGCTCGAAATCACCATGTGTTTTGCCATTCTCTTCCTGCTGTTTGACGGCGAAATTCAGCAATTGAAAACTAGGAGTCGAGTTGAGCTAGACTATGAACACCGCTACCAGACTACGTGCCAATAGACCAATAAGATTCCGGTAGGCCAAAAATCAGAAGGCAGATGATAGTAGTAGTTGCAATATATTTGTTGGCAATCTCGTGGTATCGAAAGAATACCGAGATCGTGCCAAAGGAGTACAGATGCGATCGGCAAGAAAAGGTGCGTGCGTAGGCGAAAACCGCGTAGAAGCAATCGAGTACAATGGAGGACTAAAATGGCTGTTACTAGCACAGTTAAACAAACGAGCACAGTAAAACAGTCACTGGTACAATTGGTTATAATAATAGTTGTTTTCATTGAACCAATCGCGTTCTGTTGACAAAAGTAGGTCACTACAGGAGCCCACCGCTAGAAAGGATTTACACTTTCGATAGTTAGCGGTTTGATTCGTGGGACTAATCGGCAGAAGTGCGGTTGTGGGACGGAGGAAATTGGCGGAACAGGAAGTGATCGTTGATCCTCGAGTTGCCAACGAAGGTCTTTTGCGCAGAACGGTACCAGGAGAAGTGTGCTGTATTTGTTGGTCGAATTAGCATACCACACCAGAGTGGTTTGTATCCAGGATCTGATGATTGCGTCCGTAGGGATGCGAACCAGAAAACGCTGCAGACGTAGGACGAAACCACGTTGAGCCAAGAAACCGGACGCGACCATAACGACCTAACGTGTGCCAGGCGAATTCGAGACCAGATAATCGACTGAGTGCGTTGACTAGAGCGTGGGTGGCCAAACCAGCTTTTGCCAAAGTTGACTGAAGTCGACGTTACCGAACGGGCGATGGTCGGAGGCGTGGACTCAGGATACAAAAAAAATCAAAAAAAGAAAAGTGTAGCATGCGTGTAGTATAGGAATAATCCTACACCGTATCCGTTATTGACTGTGTGTTTAGTCGCGAAAGCGTACGGGTAGTCGTACTCGGCGACAGGAACGTGAGACGGTGGTCTCGTTCGTACTTCGTGAGCCTGCGATCTCATCCGAGGTCAAGGGCGGCGTGGTCTGCCGATCTGGACGTGAGACGGAAGTCTCGTCCGTAGATGGTGCAGATGACGCGTGCTGTTGACCGGGACGTGAGAACGAGGTCTCTGATGTATCTAGCGTGGGATCCGAGGTAGACGTAGAGATCCCGCTAGAAGGTTTGATAGGTCTAGCATTGAGTCTCAAGTTATCGGGTAGGGCACTGTCATCGACGTGTGCTGGTTTGAGACGATCAATGCTGACGATCTCGACGCGGCCGTGTCGATCAACCTTGAAGGTCTTTTCGTGACGAGAGATCACGTGAAAAGAGCCTTCGTAAGGCTGTTGCAAAGGTTTGCGTACCGAATGTACTCGTATGAAAACATGTGAACAGGTAGATAACTCTCGAGGGAGAACGACCTGTCGATGTTGTATTCGAGTTGTCACCGGGGACAGCGTTCGCATAAATGCAGACAGTCGATGGACGTAGTCTGATTTACCGAAATCATTACTGCTCCGTGGTGTGAAGAATTCCCCAGGCAGACGCAATGTCGTGCCGTATACAAGTTCAGCGGCGGAAGATTGGATATCTGCCTTTTAACTCGTTCTGATGCCTGAGAGAACGAGCGGTAAGGTCTCGTACCAATTATCGTTTTCGTGTGCTTGGAGAGCACTTTTAAGTTGGCGATGAAACCTTTCAACTAAACCATTCGATGCTGGATGGTAGGCTATGGTGCGTATGCGTTCCGTACGAAGCAGCCGGGTCAGTGAGGAGAATAATGCGGACTCAAATTGTTGTCCTCGGTCAGTCGTGACAGTCGAGGGACAACCGTACAATGCTATCCATCGTTTTACGAAGCGGTGAGCAACTGTCTCCGCCGTGATAGACGTGATGGGAATAGCTTCGGGCCATCTTGTAAAACGGTCAATGCACGTGAGTTGTGATCATACCCATGCGATGGTGGCAATGGTCCTACAATGTCTATATGAACGTGATCGAAGCGAGCATCAGGCGTAGCGAACGTGCCAATGGGGGCAGCTACGTGCCTGTGCACTTTTGATCGTTGACACTGTAAGCATAGCTTCACCCACATACGAACATCTTTATTCATGGACGGCCAGACGTATTGTGCAGCGACGAGACGTAATGTGGCTGCGATACCTGGATGAGACAATCCATGAAGGACATCGAAGACGAGACGGCGATAGGCAGAGGGTACGATGGGTCGAGGAAGACCGGTAGAAGTATCACATAGGATAGTACTTGAGCCAGTAGCTAGGGGTACTTCCTGACACTGAAGGGACGAAGATTGTGGTGCTTCTGTACAGACAGGATCGTTTGCTTGCTCGGCGGCCATAGCAGGAAGATCGAGCACCGGTAAGGTAACTGCATTCGTCTGGATACGTGAAAGAGCATCGGCAACATAGTTCGACTCGCCTTTAATGTGACGAAGGTCTGTCGTGAACTGGGAGATATAGTCCAAATGTCTGCACTCTCGTGGTGAGTAGCGATCAGACTTGGTATGCAGGGCATACGTTAAGGGCTTATGGTCGGTGAATAAAATGAATTAGCGTCCTTCTACTGCGTGCCGGAAATGTTTGATGGCGCAGTAGGCTGCAAGCAGCTCGCGACCAAAAGCGCTATATCTCGTCTCCGTGGGAGTAAGTCGTCGTGAGAAAAATTCAAGCGGTTGCCAACTACCGGAGATATTCTGTTGCATGACGGCTCCCATAGCGAAATCTGAGGCATCAACCGCTATACTAAGCGTGGCTGATGGGTCAGGATGAGCGAGAAGTGTAACTTCAGCGAGAGCCGTTTTGATCTCTGAGAATGCAGTACGTGCTGTATCGTTCAACTCTAATTTGCGTGGATTACCGCGTAGTAAATCGGTTAATGGTCGTAACCGTTCTGCCGCGTGAGGGATAAAACGTCGGTAGAAGTTAACCAAACCGAGAAAAGCCTTCAGTTCCTTGATTGAGGACGGCACGTTGTACTCCTTGATTGCTCGAACCAGATCGATCTTAGAAAAGATAGTCGTGCACTTGAGCGGTGCCGTTATGTCGTGTCTGTGGGGGATGGGGTAGCTATCAAAGCGCGTAACTACGTTTAAAGCTCGATAGTCGCCGCATGGTCTCCAACTAACCCCATCCTTTTTGAGCACCATGTTTACAGGAAAGGCCCAAGGACTGTGAGAAGGACGAATAATACCAGCAGATAGTAAATTGTCAAACTCACGTTTAGCGAAGGCTAATTTGTCCGGTGCCAGTCGGCGTGGTCTTGCTGTGACTGGTGGTCCGCGGGTGACTATGTGGTGTACCACACGATTGGACACCGATGAAATCTCCTCAAGTGGTTTAGTTAATCCGGGGAATTTCTCGAATAAAGCGTGAAATTTATCGTCACGCGAATAAAAAGTGCCGAGGATTCAGTACGCGTACATCGGAGTCTATTATATTAATACTATTCTTATCGTTATCCGTCATGTCGATTATATTATATAATAAATTTAATATGAAAATATATGACAGACGTGGATAGATAAACAATAGACTCACCAAAATTGACTTCTTTGGAAGGTTTGGTTGCGATTGCCAAGTGATCGTAGATGTAGGTTCACCAGTTGTAGAAGATTTGATCGAAGTTGAGGCGTGTTTCAATATTTGGCCCACCAAATGTAGCGTGGTGTCGAGTTGAGCTGGACTATGAACACCGCTACCAGACTACGTGCCAATAGACCAATAAGATTCCGGTAGGCCAAAAATCAGAAGGCAGATGATAGTAGTAGTTGCAATATATTTGTTGGCAATCTCGTGGTATCGAAAGAATACCGAGATCGTGCCAAAGGAGTACAGATGCGATCGGCAAGAAAAGGTGCGTGCGTAGGCGAAAACCGCGTAGAAGCAATCGAGTACAATGGAGGACTAAAATGGCTGTTATTAGCACAGTTAAACAAACGAGCACAGTAAAACAGTCACTGGTACAATTGGTTATAATAATAGTTGTTTTCATTGAACCAATCGCGTTCTGTTGACAAAAGTAGGTCACTACAAGTGAAGCAAAAATGAACGATAACACCTAGATAACTATTCAGCTCATGCTCACTTATCGGCCTGTATCTATTTCTGTTGATCTGGTTCCCTAGTTGTTAGTTATTGATATTTCAACAAACCAACTCCCTCAAATTGCGTAAATGCTACCAAAGCCTGGTAATAAACTATAATAGCTGGACATAAATATAGTTGCTAAGTTGGGTGACTATTAATGACAATCAGTATTACAATGAGAAAGTGGATGTGAGCATTATTCATTAAACTGGTAGAATAAAAGGCTAATATAATTAAAAACCAACAGAAAAATTCACAGTGATTAGAAAATCTGGAAACAGATTGGGTTTCTCTATTCGCCCAATGAGGGATTTAGGTTTAGGTAATTGTTGGAGCACTTATCTTTGCTACTGGAAAAACAGACTAAATCTAACATCGTAGACTTGTCATTGTAGTGAAAGAAAACTCGGATATGGTAAGCCACTTCAGTCTATGATGAAAAAGTATAAACAATACTTTTTAGCATATGAAAACAATTCAGTTTATAATTGTTCATTCCTTCGTTTATGTACTGTTTGTATCTTTTCGTGTTTGTGAGAAATAAAAAGTACTCATTACTTTCTGTAACCTTATTCATATACTAAAATCATGAAGTATGTCTCAATAAACAAATAATTTATTGCCAGTATAGTTTAAACGTTTAACTACGGTGGTTTAAAACCCTTTAACGTTGTTTTTAGTGCAATACTTCAAATAGTGTCATTTGTTTCCGAGCTCTGAATGTCATGGGAAACACTAGCAAATTGAAATCTTATTTAGTTTTACTTCAATACATTTTATTAAATACTTCGTTTTATTTATGTGAGAGAGTAAACGATGAGGATCATCTCAAAGGAAAAATACTCAGACATGTACACTTAATATATAGTCATGGGGACAGTTCTCCAGCTTTTCGAATTCCACAAATTTACCCTAATTTCGAAAGAATTTGGCCTGAAGGGACTGACAAGCTGACAGATGTTGGGATTCAACAACAATTTATCCTAGGTCGATGGATGCGTATGAATTATTTGAACTTCGTACCCCAAAAATACAACAGCTCAATGTACCATTTAAGGAGTACAGGTACACATAAAACCTTAATGTCTGCCATAGCAAATTCAGCCGGATTCTATTGGCAATCGTCTTCACCTTTTGATAGATCTAGGTTACACAGTTCTCCTGTCCCAGTTCATGCGATCTCACAGGTATGTTTAAACAATTAATGAATAAAAATAAGATGAATGATTAATGCAGTTGAATATTAAAGTGAGCATGAGGAGTTATAAGGACATAATTTGGATGGAGTCTTTATGTCGGAACGAACCATTTATTTGTTTTCAGTTTTTAACAAGTTATATAGTTCTAAGATATATCTTACTTGAGACAATGTTTAAAACCGATTGAGATCTTTAAACATTTTTAAAAAGACGAGGAAGTGTAATAAAGCACCGCAACTATTAGTGAGATTGAAAAAATTGTTCAATAATATGAAGATCTTGCTATTGATTTTCTTCCCAACTTATGATGATAGACAGTAATAATCGGAGAGTATTTGACTAACTGTCTCCGTATTCTGAGAGAGATAAAAAAATATGAGTTCTGTAATGAGGAATCCATCTTTAAAATAATTTTCCGCTTGTATGTAGCGTTAATTATTTTCTCACTAAACCAGGTGAATGGGACTCCATCATGAGTTTTTGACGTTCAAACTTCTGTATGTTTACGCCTAGCCTAACGGTACTTTGTGCCCTGGAGACGTGTTTAGGACAGCGTATAACGTGTTCTAAAACAAAGCAAAGTGAAAGAAAATCGAGCTGACAACTCACCATTGTAATAAAGTGTATATATATTTATTGATAAAATCAGCTGATAACAATTATCTCTAACAACTGCAAGATAAAGACGGTATAGCAAATCAAGCCAGAAGTAGAAAGTACAAGTCATCAAATGTGTTACAAGTTTAAATGTGGTGTTCAAATTTTTTTTATTTATTCAGTTTATCTCTATATAGAAGGCTACGATTTTCCCCAAAGTATTCCAAAATGAAATAGTTCATGAGATTTTATCACGTATTTTTAGATAGATTCATACAGCTTGACATAATCAGTGTAGTACACCAGCTTTGAGAATTGTATAAAGCATTATTTTAAAGACGGATTATTACAATTTTGTTACAGAAATCCAAAGGCAGATCTTGGATATTTTATTTTATCCTACAAGAAATACCTCAACTTACTTTTGAATTGCTCTTTTATGCCTCGAAAGTTTTTAGGCTTACCTTTAACTAGTTTTTGCTCCTCAACTTAAGCGTCATGTATGTATTCGAGTAAATGATAAAGTTTAGTGATCTGTCCCTCAATATTTATGCTCGGAAGCTTTTAAAATTGCTATGTTTTCAGTTTTATGTGATTTATGTGGTTTAAGTACATAATTATAAGTTTACAGTCAATAAATTATTTACAAGCTTCGTAGTATATCTCCAGATGACGTTGTGATATTTAAACTGGCGCATAAAATGATGTTTGCAGTAAAAAAGAAGTTTCAGTAACACTTCGTAAGTAGCTTCAAGAAAATTTCATGATAATTATTGAGATATGATTTTTTAACATGTATCTCATGGATTATTTTGTCAATAAGCCGGTGTTTTGAAGAAGTTATTCAACGTTGTTTTGGTTTTTAGTTGCGCACCTTGGTACCCTTGACAACTTGGCTTCTGTTTTTTTTGACTGGTACTTCAAATCATCTCCGTCTTCTCATTGTTCTATCTAACGAAAATGCCAATTATCAGCTCATTGATGTAACCAAAGATTTTGTCTATTTTAATGGGAGTCATGATTAACAATTTGTTTTGAAATTTCGATAGTTAGTGAAAGTTATTTCTGTAAGAGCTATGTAATTTTTACTGAAGTTTAACATGTTTTATAATTATCTTGACTTATTACATGACTTCTCTAATAAATAAATAGACTGAATTAACTAGGTTTAAAATTAAACTGCAGAAAATCTCTCAGGAAATTCAAATGTTACTGTGAAACATTTATGAACACAAACAGCGCTTATTGAAAAAACATGAATGCAATAAAAACCCTAAATATGATAGAAAAATAGGGTAATTATTATTCACAAGTATGGAAAACATCTAACATGTGTACTCTTATATCTATCCGAATGATAAAATGAATTATTAGATAACCTCTGGAAAATCAGAAAATACTGGAATGGTGTTTCAACCTGATATGAGACTATTCATTTGTGCGCATCCACGGCCACACAGAGAGTAGAACTTAAAATTTTAGGTTCACAACAGATTTAATTGATGTTTAAATTATTCAGTTGACCTTCATTGGTTGACGCCTCCGTAAGAAATGTCAAACTTAATTCGTATCATGAACAAATTGGTCATACACCAATCAAGTCCTTTATTTTAAACCTGAATTATAGTTACTGACAGTTATTTTTAATCAAAGCATGCCAAAAGTATAAAACACCTAAAAAGTGGATATTAACTCTTAGAAAAAAATCTAAGAAGATCACTATTTATTTTTAATTTATTTGTCATTTGAATTTAGAATTCCGATATACTTTTTGGTTCATATGACTGTCCACGTTTAAAAATATTACAAAAAATGCAAACATATATGACTTATTCAACAAAATTTGAAAATCAACATAAAAAATTGTTTCAAATTCTTAGAAATAATACTGGTTTGTCAATTAATAAATTAACTATTGAACAAATTGCTAATTTTCTTAAATCTATCAAAAATTACAATGTTACATTACCTTCATGGTGTACAAAAGAACTTTTAAATGAATTATTTGAAGTTGCAGACTATTATTGGATGGTAAGTTCATTAGTATATAATTTTAGTTTAATTTAGTTTATTTATTTATTTATTTTAATTTATTAACTTTAATATTAATTAGATAACGGAAAAATAAACACGAGACGTTTTATTTTAAATTTTCTAGTATATATGTCCTTCTTGAAATCTTTAAAATAGTATAGATTGAATAGAACTAGTTTGTTTCAACAATAAAGTCACTTGATTGACAAGCAATGAAAATTAAGTTTATGTGAGTAGAACATAAATAACACTTGAAAAAGAATAATAATAACTGCTTACAATATGAAATAAACTATAGTTGTATATTGATTAGAATGAAAGATATAGTCTATTATAGTGGATATTAAAGATTGTGAAATAAAGGAAATCACAAAATTTAATGCTGTCAACTTATATACTTACGCCTGTTACTCTCAATAAAAGATAGGTCGTTGATCAGCATTCTTTAGCCCACTGTTTTCTGGACCTCCCTTTCTGGTTCTATTCAATTTTTGTCTATTCTTCTCATGTTTGTCTCCATTTCTTGATGTCATGTGTTCTTTGGTCTTCCGCTTCTCTTTTGGTCCTGAGCATTTGAAATGAGGACTTGTCTTGTGATACAGTTGGGTGCTTTCCTCAATGCGTTTTATCCACTTCCAGCATTTCTTGTTGATTTTTTCCTCCATTGGGAATTTTTTGTACTCTACCTTAGTAGGCTATTGCTAATATTGTCCGACCAACGAGTTCGAAGTATTTTGTGTAGACAACTGTTAATAAAGACTTGTATCTTCTGGATGATAGTTTTTGTAGTTCTCCAAGTTTCCGCCTCATACAGTAGAACTGCCTTGACATTTGTATTGAAAATCCTGACCTTGGTGTTGGTTGACAATTGCTTTTAGTTCCAAATATTCTTCATTTGTAAATATACTGCTGTTGCTTTTCCGATCCGCGCATTCGCCTTTGCATCATATCCACCGTGTTCATCAATGATGCTGTCCAAATATGTAAAGGTTTGTACATCCTCCAAATCTTCTCCGTCAAGTGTGATTGTATTGGTGCATGCTGTGTTGTATCGGAGACCGCTAATAAAAAAATACTGTCAATGTATAAAATAATTTAAACACTGATATCTGTAGAGCACCAAATAAAGGTAAAAATAGAAATTTTCTAAGGGCTGGAAATTGTTATTATACATTAAACAGTAGTAACTAGCGTTATATTTATCTAATTCTTTAGTGCTGATCTTTTAAAGCTAGTTGAAATCTAATGACTAATATTTACACAATTTCTTATAAATAGCAATCATGTAAAAGTAGATTGAATGTATCATCAAGTTTAGTTAATTAAACTAGTGACCATGTCGTCATCTAACCATTAGAAACAATCAATCATACTGACTAGATAATCATTAATTATTACTAAGTGATTGATTTCTTATAACTGATGCATTTCAATTAGTTGTTTATTTACAAGATAAAATATTAATTTCTATTTTAAACTCTTATATATTCAAATGGTTAAAATTATGAGTCAATTGAAACTAGAGCTATCATTAAAAATCTAGAAGCACTAAACGCCCATTTCATCCTATGATGGAACTCCTCATCAATGTGCATCCATGACTCATAATCTTAATCATTCAAATTACTATCATATCCACTAAACCTCTTCTAATCTTATATATATATTCTATTATTTATAATTTAGGAGAAATATATAAAATCATCATCTGAAATCGTTCATTTAGAAATTGGTTTATTCTTACATAATATTATTCAACATATTTATTCAATTATTCATGGAAAATTAATTCATCTTTCAAATAATATTACATTATCTAATCAACATTTAATGATTTATTCAATAACTAATCATCATTTTGCATATTTATTAAATGCTTTTGGTCTATTTAATAATCATAATTATAATTATCATCATAAACCAATTGAATATGCTTCTGTTATTTCATTAGAATTATATAGTTCATCTATGATATCCACTAATGATAATAATCAATATATTATAAAAATTTTATATAAAAATGGTTGGATAGATGAAATAGGTAATTATATAATATTACCAATATGTAAAAAATTTAATTATTTTTATAATTGTCCATTTAATATTATTATGAAACAATTAAAACTATTAGCTATTGATCCACAATTATATATCAATAAATGTTCATTGATTTTCGATCAATTCATTCATAATAATAATAATAACAATAATAATAATAATAATTTCTATGAATTACTTTCATTCAATTCATCTATTTTAATACATTATAATGTGTTTATATTAAATTTTATATTAGTTATCATTTTATGGAGTTTTGTTATATATTTAAGAAAAAAGTTAGAAAAAGAAAAAAAGAAAAAAAAGAAAATTCATAAACAATTAATAATAGATAAATAAATAAATAAACAAATAAATCAATAAATGATTATTTTCTTTTTTTTATAAATATTCATCATATTATCATATTTATTGTTTACACTTTTAATGACCTTTAATGACCTTTTATTATTATTATTATTATTATCATTAAAACAATTTCAATCATCTTATTATATTCAATAAATCTATTGTTATTATTCATATTATTTTTATGTAGTATTATAATCTTTCTATTATAACAACATCTTGGTTATTCCTTGTTTATATTTCCTCATGGAAATAGTAATTTAACAAAATAAATTTCAATTGTATATACGATTGTACAGCTTGATAATAAATTCGTTGAAAAGATGTCTCTTTGCTGAACTTCATGTTTTTTTTATTTTTTAAATGAGTATTTATCAATTTACATGTATGTATGGAGTCACATATATATGGAGAAGTGATTGAACAATACAATCAAAGATCATTGAACAAGTGCCTAGATGGCTTTAAAATCAATGTGTGTCAAATGATCCGATCAATGTAGGAGGTAAAAAACCATGTTTATGGAGTGCGAAACATATAATTGAAATGGGGTAGAAATTTAACATTAATACAGCTTTTAAAACGTTGTATAGAAATTGTCAAGGTCCAATTTACAAATTGAAGCCTTGGCTATTTGTAATTTTAAACCCCCTCTTATGTGTACAAAAACAATTTGTTGTAACCTTGATTTTACTTTGGTAATCTTTAAGTTTTTTATTAATTCTAAATGATGTAAAATTGTTACTCTCCCCTTTGTTACCATTTTACTTGAACTTTCATTTAATTGATCTTTATTAATTTTTATATAAAAATGCCTTGACAAGTATATGTGTGATCAGATTGTTCAAAATGTACAGCGCAAATACAACATTGATTTTTTAGATCAACTTTGTCTTCTCATTGTTCCATCGAAACTAACTGCTTTAAATGATCATTATGTCATTTATTGTATTTCACATTATGGAAACTGAACACATGAGCGGCAGTCACTCTAGATGAGCTACTGGCGGAGTTTTATTGTATTATACTCATATTTAATTTTTATATGTAATCAGAATGAACTAAATTTTTTTTAATTACCTATAAACTTTAGAACTTTCTTTTTTCTGTTTTTTAAATTTGGAATATATAATTTATTATGACTTAATAAATGAATTACTGTCAAGCACATTTATTCAATAGGAATATAAGTTCTAAGATAATAAATTTCTAATCAGAGAGGGGGTTTGTGAATATTATAGTAATTTCATTAGTTGAGATCATGAGTCGATTGAAGCTAGACCACTATGGGAAACTTGGAAGCATTAATATGGGACGAAACGGCCGTCCAGTGCTTTTAGGTTTTCCATAGTGGTTTTGCTTTAATTGAACCATGATCTCAACTATTGAAATGAATAATAATACGTTTGTTTATTTATTCTGAAGAAGTGACTTACAATGAGTGACGAAACGTCAGAAAATCAAATTTTTACTTATTGAAATAATATAAAAATATAATTATTTCTTAATTAATCGGAGATTTTGTTTAAATATTGAAAAGTGAATCACTAAGATCTATTATAATATCATATGTAGTATCAATTCAAGGATACCTGTAAATCTACTTTGTTTTTACTACTTATTACTGTTATATTAGAAAATTTTATTATGTACGTTTGAAAAAATATTTCATTTAATTATCTGATAGAATTGATTGATTTTAGTTTACTAAATGTATTCTTCTCTAAGCTTTTATTGTGTATGGAATTTTGATGTTAAGAAATTAGAGTCTGATACAATGGGATGAAAAGACATCAGTCGTCATCTTATAACAGAGCATCATCCGTCATGGTTAAACAAAGGACAGGTAAAAGTGATTTAAAGTTCTATTCTCGCACACTTGGTTGACACAGGTCATCAAGTTGAACTGAATAAAGCTTTTAAGATTATCTACCATATTTCATCAAATTTGCCGCATGGTTTACGAGTGCATCTTTTGCACATTGATGAATTGATTGCAATCCATGTTCACAAACCTAACCATTGAATCCAAAAGAAGTTTGTACAACCACTTTTGCTACGTTGGCCATAGGTATAATAGGGAGGTTTGTAGCAGAACTATAATAAACTATTTTCGTATTTCTTCCATTTTTGTATTTTGTATTTTACTTATTCTCAACATTGATCTCTTAATTCTTACATAACTACTATTCTATTGACCATCCATTAAAATATTCTGTTCCTTCTATTTTTCATATATTATGCAACGTAGCAACTGCTTGATTTTCGAATAATTACTTTGACAGAGCCTTTAACGAAGTTACCTGGAAATTCTTGCTTAATTTGTTTTGCAAACCCTTGATAAAACTAATAAATTTTATGCAACATACAATACTTAAATCGTTAACTAATTCATCAAAGGCATTAGTTTCTGTTCTCAAACGTCCAATCAGTAACTTTGTTGACTCAATGTGAGATTTTGTGATGCGTCAATGATTTTTAAGAGAAGGCAGAAGTTTTAAGCATTGATGTGGGAAACGGTACGGTGCACCAATCTTTGTTCTTACTCAATGTTAATTTACAATTGAAGTGTCATTATGTGATTATTACGTAACATAACCACTCGATGAGTATTATTTTATCATTGTAAATCATACTGATATATATTAGTGTAGAGCCATGACGAAAAACGAATTGAAGTAAAATTTCTTCACTCAATTCGTTCCTTCTTTATTTATCAAATATTAAAATGGAAATTTCCACTAAATTACAGTTTTGTTCAACATTACTTCAAGTTTCAATTCAGTATGGTAGTTACTCAGTTTAGTATTTGTTTTTTGTTATGCAATGTGTTATTGTATTTAGTATAATATTAATTTATTTGAGTGTAATGTTCATTCAAGATATGATATTATTGTATTAAATCAATGTGAACTATGCCAAGTATGACACACAGCATGTGACGTGTTATAACTCTGGGTATTCGTCATGAGTATATTCATGAATAGAGTCGTCGTGTTTATAGGAGTTAATAAACCTCCACCTGTACAAGTCTTGGTGTTCTTACCTTGCATAATGGGAATTGTTATGGTTCCATTTTCAAGTATGAACAATAAGCAATATGGACATCATAGAAAACCATACACGCTAGCTCACTCTATTTATCCCAATGATAATGTTAATTTTTCAAATGGATTCAAATCTATGTTATCAGTTGTTATAGTTACAAATGTCAACATTGTGCTTTTTGTATTACACAGCGTTTGTAATATCAAAATTCTAAAAATTGAGTTACTTAGTTGCATGAGATTTCTTGTAAAATAAAGAATACATATACAACTATTTTACATAGAATTCAGATTCTGTTTGATTAGTGCAATTACTAAATAAAACTAATTTATAATCTCTTCACTAACTCAATAGAAGATTTTACACTAATTTCTGTTCATGAAAACCTTTTTGTTTAACATGTTCTATATTTAATGTCACTTAAGTGAAATACTCCGATATTATTTACTGAAACCTCTATATTCTGTTTATGTGCAAGTTCTACTTTTTTGGTCGTCTGTTGGGGAGGTTAACGCCTTTTTTGTAATTAGCATTTTGTTAAAAAAAGTCATTACATTGTAGACTTGTATTATGCCACTTTTAAGACCCGTTATAATTGCTTACCAATGCTCACTTTATTGACAATATTTAAGAATTTGAAATTTAATAGTAAACACCATCTCGTACAGCAACAGTGTTAGTATCTTGTAATCCCCATTATCTAACTCTAGGAAATCTAAATAGCCTTACAAGACAATCTAGTCTTAAAGTTTTTCTAGTTAGTCATTTGATTAAATCGTTCTTCATAAATCAACTGTTTACTGAATGCTTGTATCGGTACTTGGCTATCATAGTAAAAGAGTTAGCGCATGTGACTATCCTGTAGAACGATCGAACACCACTCTTTGTGGTTTTAAAGAGGTCGGTCGAAAACATTACTTAGTTCGATTTTATCTCACGAGGCTATCGGTGGTCAAGTGATAGATAAAGCTAAATGATTTTAAGTGATCTATCGTAAACCTTATTGTTTCAAAACTGAATTCCATCTCATCTCCAATATACAAACATTCGAGCCCATAACTCTAGTCTCTATGGTGAGAGGAAATTTAAACTGGAATTATGTGAACAAAAGAAACTTGCACAACCTCTTCTTTTACCATGATCTTCATTTCTCACACCTTTTTTCTTCTTTCGTTTCTCTTATCCATTTACTTCTATCATCTTCTCTATCGACCTTTTACCATCAACTAGTTTGTTTCTGTTCCTATGATCCTTCCGATTACAGTTAATCTCAATTTTGACATGTTATTTAATCACTATGAAACTTCCCTTATCAATCATAATTTCTCTATTCATCTTCATTATGAATATTCAAGCTCTCAATCAAAGAAATATAGTTAGTTTCATTCTTACTTACTTACTTACGCCTGTTACTCCTCGCGAAGGAGCATAGGCCGCTCACCAGTATTCGCCATCCAACCCTGTCCTGGACAATCCTTTCAAGCTCTTTCCAGTTCTTATTCATCCTTTTCATATCTGCTTCTATTTCCCGACTTAATGTGTTCTTTGGCCTTCCTCTTTTCCCCTTTCCTTCACGATTCCAAGTTAGCGCTTGTCTCACTTGGTGTTACTCACTTGTATCTTCCGATTGTTATTTAGGACTGTAATTGATCAGTCTTCATCAATGCATCCATCGTTGCTTACAAAGCTTGTGACTTCAGACAATATCGAGGCAGTCCGCACAGGATGCACATATGCCAATAAGAGGCTGATCAATTGCAGTTCTAAATAATGATACGGAGATACAAATGGACAGCACCAAGTGAATTAAACTTCACCCCATCGCACAATCTGGTGCCTATCAGGACTCAGTAGCTAAGTGGATAACATGATAGTGTTTGAAGCGAATGGTACTGGGTTCGAGTCCCAGAGTGAATATCAACTCTAAGA